TTCTCTCTCTCTCTCTCTCTCTCTCTCTCTCTCTCTCTCTCTCTCTCTCTATCTTTCTGTGGCTCTCTCTGACTAACCCTACTCCCGCGCGCAGTCGCAAGTTGTCGCGCTCACAGGCGGAGCGTCGCCAGGGAGCAGAAATGGCGCAGATGAGCTCTCCTCGTGCTCCTGGATCGATTCGAGGTGATTCGATGTGGGCTCTGGGCGTGTGCTGGTCGCGAGGGCTGGATTGCGCAGTTTTGTCGGGGGGGGGGGGTCGTTGACGGCTGCTGTGTTTTGTGTTTGCCCAATCTGAGCGAAGGTGCGTGCGAACTGCGAACTGCGAACTCCCAACTGCGAAATGCGAAATGCGAAAATGCGGCAATACAATCGAGTGTCGCCAGTAACAAAGCTAGTATGGCGTATGAACTGTAACTCGTAAGGGTCAAGTCAAGTGCAAGCTCAAAGCTGCGAGCTGCGAGCTGCTCTCTCATGCAATGGATGAGGCGGGGTGGTCCGTGAAACTTCCTGCTCTGGGGTTCTGCCACCTCAGCCGAACGTGAACGGCAGCCCATTGCAGTAGTTGACGCTGAGTGGCTGATGCGTCGATGCGTCGACTCCACACCCACCACCACCAGCCAAGCAGCCAAGCCAACCCCTTCCCACAACACTTCTCCCGCCTTCCTCTCTCCCCCGATCCTTGCCAATTCTCCAATCCTGTCCTAGGTCCCATGCAAACTGTGGAGCCCCGTCCCCCTCTGTCCCCCTCTGTCCGTCCGTCCCCTTCCCCTTCTCCCCCCCTTTCTCTCTGCTCTTATCCCCTTTTCCGCTGCGCACTGCTTCTCTCCTAACAGCAACAGGCAATGTCACTTGCCTGAGCGATCAACGGAAGAGGGCGGTAGGCTCGCACACAGCCGTCTACACTAACACTAGCCGTTGTTGGTTCTAACACTGCCGTGTCTGGTCACTCGCAGCACTGTTTGTTATGATTTTGATTTTGAAGTCCTCCCGCCGAAGCTCGAAAAAGATGATTGGCCCCGTTACCCTTGCGCAACGCGTCGACGACGCGACCCTGCGTGTCTGCTTCGCTGTGATTGGCTGTATCCTATCATTCTATTAAAGTATGTGGGCCATTTGAAGCACTATGATTGGCTGGAAGCCCGGTCTCGCGTCTCGCTTCGAGTATGGAAGCTATGTACGTACCGCCGTCGTTGTTGGATCCGTACGTTATGTTATGCACCCGTTACAGACACTTGTTCTTCATGTCTTTTCCCCCCCCCTCCCCCCCTTCCTCCCCCTCTTCCCCTTCCTCCCCCTCTTCCTCCCCCTCCCTTGCTTGATGCGCTGCCCCTCTCTTCCTCCTAGCCTCTCTTTCTAGTACTCACCAACTGGTGATCCCTTGGCCAGCATCACTGAGCACTGGAGGAACACTGCCGTTCTTTTGTTATCGTAATTACTGTGAGCGGCCCGTCGCAGGTGAGCGAGCTGGTCACCAGACATGGGTCGCATTGCGAATGGGTCTTTTTCTTTCCTTCTTTTTCTCTCTTCTATCTTTATCTCATCGCGGTTGTACTCTTCCGCTCCAGTCTTGGGATATCAATTGTCTCGCCTTCGCGAGAGGTACTTCACCCCTCCGTCCCACAATGTACATGCCTATCTATGTATCTCCAACTCTCTTACCCTTCTCACATCCAGCCATCGTCTCACCAAACCCATGGATGGTGTGGTGTGTGTGTGTGTGTGTGTGTGTGTGTGTGTGTGTGGTGGTGGTGGTGCAGGTGGCATCCAACAGCATACACATGATCGCCATCTCCCCTTCCTCTCCCATGACCATGGACAACCCTATTCCCCTCCCCTCTTCTGCACTGTCCTAAACCGGAATGGAGGGGCAACCATTCTAATTAAGAATGGGAAATGGGAAAGTCGAGTTTCGTAGGTTAAAATCTTACTTCCCCGGGAAGGATGGTTATGGATGATGGGGCAGAAGCTTGTCGTGCCACCCACCCGCCCCTTAAATCAACCCATCATCCATCACCCCGCTCGATCCATGGCTTCATCCTGCAAAATGACGACACAGGACCCCTCTGGCTCTGGCACTAACCGCTCCCATCACCACGCATGCGATCGGGAAGATCCGGGGTTGTGGATGTTGGTCACACTGTGACATGATTCACAGTGACTTCTGTACATACCTTTCCCCCCCCCCCTCCCCAAAACCAAAACAAACCAAAAAAAAAAAAAAAAAAAAACAAAACTGGACAAGAAGTGGGATGAAGGTCTGTCGAGGCAAAGACGGTAAGGCGTAAGATAATGGATGAGGCTGAAGATGTGTGATTCCTGGATAGGTAGGTAGGTAGGTAGGTAGGTAGGTAGGTAGGTAGGTAGGTAGGCGGGATGGATATCAGCGTGCATTTGGCATCTCCAACACCTAATGATGCCCTTCGTCAAGGTGCTCATGCTCACATCCATTCACTGTCCTTTTCAGGCCAAAACATCCACATCCACAAGAGATATGAAATGCCGTGGCCCCCTCCCCTAGTATCATCGCCATAACACTTATCCTGGCATAAGACTTGTTTGTAAAGCCCTTCAACAACCCCCCCCCCAACTTTCCTCGCCTTCCCTTCCAACCCCCTCTGGGATGCTGTCGAGCCATCCGGAGTGTTCCTCACATGATGCGTGCAGAGGGGCAGCATGGGAACATGGGAATTGAGCTCAATACCATAATCACTGCAGTTTGTGGAACAAAAACGGTGAACGCAAATTCTGGTTAGGTATCTTCAACATCAGTGGGGACATCCTGAGCCAATGGTGGTCTGTGGACAACTTAGGAAAAAAAAAAAAGTTAGGTAGATAGAGACAATCTCGAGCTATGTCTCTGCTCTGTTGTTGTTTGTGTAGTAATGCTTACTACGTCGAGGAACCAGCCAACATCAGGTACACCTCACACTCAACAATGAGAGCCAGCTATGTGCAGGATTGAGATATTGGGTTATATTCCTATGCAACTATATGTAGCTATGTGTAATTGTCTGAGACTGATGTATGCTTATTATCATCTCTCTTCTGTTCTGTTTCCCATTCGTATAGATCTGTCTGTCTGTCTTTCTGGATAACAAACATCCAATATATCCAATATATCCAATAATCTAAACAGTAGATGCAATGCAGAACTTTACTATCCGAACGCCTCTTCTCCCATGCAAAACAGTCCCATATATGCTCTCCTTGCTCTTAGTAACGATATAGTAATAACTATGCGCTTCTCTTATGCTCATCACCCACCCATCCATCTTCATCAATAATAATACACACTAAAGCTTGCACCTCGGCCTCTTATATTCCTCAAACATCCCCCCAACTCCCCATAGGCCCCGTGCTCGCAATAACGCTCCCACTCGCCCTACTCCCCCCAATATCCCAATAATGCCTCGACGACGCCCTCGACGACGCAATACTACTCCTTCTGCCCGTCCGTCTCGTGCTCTGGCTCGCACAGCTACCCGCCACCATACCATGGTGATGGTGGTGATGGTGATAGTGATGATGATGATGATGATGATGATGATGCAGCCTTCCCGAGACAGACCCACTACCGGGCCGTATGATCCCCCCTGTTGTGGAGCGACGCTCGCCGCCCGCGGGACCGCTGCCTAAGGAGGTGCGGGAGCGGTGGTGGATGTGGGAAACCAAGGGATGGTGTTGGCGCACGCGGGCTGCTTTGGCGGCGACGTCTTGGGTGCTGGATGTTGCGAGGTGGGATGTGCCACTTGTGAAACTTGGGGCAGTTTGCCGGGAGGAGGTAAAGCGCGAGCGGAGGTAGCGGAAGACGAGTTTGATGTCGAGGTCTTGTTCCCATTCCTGTTGGGTAAACGCCGGTAAATCGGAGGCTAACTGAGAATGGTGGGCAGATTCGGACGGGACGGAGGTTGTGCGGGTTTCTTCGAAGAGATTGGGCTTGGAGGTGATGGTGGGCTTGAATGGAGGCATAGAAGCGACACTACCGTCGAGAGAACGCTGTTTCTGGCTTTCGGCGTTGCTGCTGCTGCTGTTGCTGCTGACTGCCTTGGCCGCCTCGGCGGCGGCTGGGGTCTCGGGGATGACGGGGAGCCCGGCATACGGCAGTGGCTGGTGTAAAACCCGCTTGTAGGTGGCATAGGATGAAGGAGAATGGGTTGACATGCGGTGCACCAGCATGCCTAGCTCGCGGGCGATGCGGTCTAGCATCCGCAGCTGCCACGCCTTGTCGTACTCCGTCTGTGCTTCAGCAATGGCTTGAGGGGAGATCTTAGGCGTGGCAGTTCCCTCGAGCATCTCTTCGTCTGGCAGGGCTTCGCCGAAGAGGACTGCCAGCAGCTTGTCGTCGATGCCCATCAGGTCGCAGATAACCTTACGCGCGATGCGGCTTAGGAGACCCTCCTCTTCCTCACTTGTTTCAGCTTCGCCTTCCTTCTTCTCCTCTGCGTCCTCCTCCTTCTCAACCGCCTTGGGCGCGTCCTGATCATGCCAGTCCGTAGCACCCAGGTGAATAGCAGCTGCCTCTTCATCGGCAATGCTCTTCTCGATCGCCTCCGGGTCCAAGGGCAGCGAATCCTGCCTTGCAGAAAGAGCCGCCGACGCCTCGGACATCCTCCTCCTACGGGTCTCCCTCTGGATGTCTTCGAGCAAGAGCCTGCTCTGCTCAAGCCGCCAGGCCTCTATCCTGCGCATGCGCTCCATCTCTTGTGCCTCCTCGCTCTCGAACTCCAGCTCGGCCAGCGTGAACCCGTCCAGTCCGCGAGTGACTCGGTTGGGGTTGTACCTTTCGAAGGCGTACAGCCTCTCTTGCACTTCGTCGCTGATCATTCCATGCGCGTCGAAGTGAAATGAGCCTAGCCCATCATGCCCTGGCAGCACGGGCGCCACAATCGGGTCGTCTGGTTGCCCGGTATAGGGATTCGGCACGGCCCGGAACTCAGGGAGGTGGCTGTCTAAGCTATCCAACTCTTCATCGTCTATCGCACTCTCTGAAGCGGGCTCTTCTGACTCAAGCGCCACCGCGGAGGATAATACCCCTCCTCCAAGCTGTGACGAGCGGGCTATCGTCCCGAGACTCCCCAGATCGCTGGCATGCGAGCGGCCAGGGGTCGTCTGGTCGTCCTGGATGGACGAGTCAAGGTATGACGCGGTGGTACCGGAATCGGTGCCGGGGGTGAAGAGTACCCATGTCTGCGACTCATTGCTCGGGGCTCCTATGTGCTGGTTGTGATGATGGGCCGAGAGGATGACGGAGTCGCCATCTTCGGAACCGACGCGCGCTGCTGCTCGCTGGTGCTGCGTAAACTGTCGCGTGGGTTGCTGGAAGGCCATAATCTGTTGAGTGTAAGCCAGACGTGTTGGCTGGCTATGTGTATATAGATCGTCAGTAGTATAATGCTATTGTCTCGAGGTGTGATCTCGGCGGGGTGTTGTCGTTCCCGTTGCTACGCTACTCGAACAAGGACGAGGTCAAGTTCGGCGCTTGGTCTTGGATCAATGCTTCGCACGTTTCTTGGTTCTCGCAGGCTTCCTCTTTTAAAGGGTTTCTGGATTTGACAGGTTGCCCCAGCGTGGGAACTGGCCTTTTGGGGGGGGGGGGGAGGGGGCCGTAATTATGCAGGGTCGCGTGTTTGTTGCAGGCGGTGAGACGGATCCAAGCTTTGTATCCCGTTCTCGGAAACAAACCTGTTGAGATTTTGTTGACTGTTGACCAAGAGAAGGATGACGCCGTCCAACGAAGCTCAGACCGCAATGACGAGCCACGACGCGCCGATCTACGATAAGCGGTCTGCTGTAGCACTGCTAAGGACACTGAATAGCTTTCACCAGAAGGGAATCGAACACAAAATGCGGGCAGACAGAGGGGATAAAATACAATTTACGGAGTAAAAAAAAAAAAAAATAAATCGCAAGACCAAAGACCCAGGACGCAAAAGAACAACAGGGCTGGGAGCTGGGGCGGCGGCAGCGGCAGCGGCTGTGGTAGGTAACAACAAAACATGGACGAATCGTGTGCGCCATCGACGCTGCTGCGCGATCCCAGAGCAACCAAGCAGAAGCACGGGAACCAGCCCCTGCTTGCACCACTAGCGCAACCAAGCTTTTTCCACTCTTTCCACAGTGGAGGAGCTTCCCAGCGACTCAGCACGCGCGGGATGTGATAGCCGTCTCTCCCAGCTGGGCTTAGCGAATACGGAAACTTTCGTAACGTACCGTCTCAGATCCGGGTCTGCCCCACCAAGTGGCCAGCGACAGGCGGCCAGCATATGACCTGCAAAGCCAGCAACACATCTCATCATCCATCCTCTTGGATGCCGTGCTTTGCACTTTTGCTCTGACATGCTGTGCCTCCCATCAACCATCATCAATGATGACCGAAGGAACTTCAATTGGGTGACTGGACCCCAAACCTACCTAATCATTCGAGAACCAAGCCCCTTCTCACTCCATATATCCGTCCATATTCTCTATACCCAAACGCCTTGTCCACGCAGCACGCAGCCTCCTCCTGCAGCCATGGTCACAACCCCTAGGGGGAGGAGGAGGAGAGGGGGGGAGTGAACTGCATGCATGAGGTCGTGTCACGTACGTACGTACGTACCGTCCAGCCATCGTTGTCTGCCCGCTCTCTGAGGGCGGCCCTCTCACCCCACCTTTTCAGGTCTTAACAGCATCTTTGCCCGCCACCATGGACTGCATCACTGGATCATTCAACCATTACAGCTTGGGCACCATCACCACCATTGGAATGAGTAATCAATAAAATCTGGGTTATGAAACGATTCCTAGTGTCTCTTAGACGAGCACCGGAAGCGGGACGGCTCAAACTGTATCAGAGCCGAACTTCCACTCTCAGTGCAAGAAGCTATCTCGGAACGGCACTTCCTCCACCACCATCCAGGGATGTTGACAGTATCATCGTCTCTTCGGTATCGGAAGCAAACAGCACTTTAGCCTACACTTAGGTTAGCTCCAAAACGTGGGTTAGGTTAGTTAGGTTAGGCTAAGATGTTTTTTTGTTTTTTTTTTTTCCTTAGTTTAGGATCAGCAAAACAGCAGTGCAGCACTGGGCTGCAGCAGCGCTTTGCTTTGCTAACTGCCGCTCGTCCGTTCATGATAACCTAACGTAGCCCCCTACAGACGACATACATCCAAACTTGCTCTCAATGCAGAATTGTGAACAATAGGATTGCCCAACTTCTTGCCCCGCATCGTTTACCTAACCATTATTCTCCTCATCTCAACTGCACAATGAGGAGTCTTGTGTGTCTGGGCAGAAACCAGGAGGACATGCACGAGCCTGGCGCATGATCATGTAGGTTTACCTTCTCCGCAAACCTGTCAAATGTATGGGGAAATCAGGAAACCAAGGCCATCCATAAGGCATTGAGACACAGCCAATCTGTAGGCATTAAAGCATGGAAAACGCACCTGATAGATGAGTGGGAACGAATCAATGATCTCATCCTGCCCAGTCAAAAACCCAGCCTCTGGGTGTTGGTTGGTCCGCCTTGTCCTGCCTGCTGCTGTCTTGCTCACCGAGTTGGGAGCTGTCATTCCTGCGGCAAGCCCCCGCCATGCAAAGATGGGCTGAATGATGTCAGAGTCAGACCTCCAATCCTCTGGACTTCTTGCCTCATCAGCCCAACGCTCACAACACCATCGTACGGCCCCATTTTGGATCTGGCCGCGGCAATGGCCCATCGTGGAGCGCTTATCAGGACGTTTGATATCTGTAATGTACTGTTAGAACTGGCGAGCTCTGAATAAACATCCTGCTTGGTATTAGCCTAGTGGAGCATGCCTTGTGCCTATCAAGTCCGATCCTGTCGAGTCACAAGAGGCAAGATCACAGCCGCAGTATGATAAGCTGCCACCAAAGGCAAGACACGAGAGCGACAACCGATGATTGAGATGTCCTATGTGCCCATCTCAGACCCATCTGCGTGAATGGTTCCATTGACTCTGCCCGAAGCAAGACCATGATGCTACTTAACATGCTCTCGTTTCAGTCCCAAAATGACCGTTTGCGCCACCCTCAAGCCAGAAGAAGAAACCCATTCCTCTCCCCCCCTTTCCAAGACTCGCATTTAAGCCTTGAAGGCGTCGGGGAAGCGACGCATGTTCTCCTCGAGGTTGCCGTGGTTGGTGAGGAACTGAACATAAGCACCATCGACGCGGACGCGGCCAGCAGCCTTCTTCTCCAGGTACTCCTCGCGGCGGAGAGGGGTGAAGCCCCAGTTCTTGGAGACGATGATCTTTTGCCGGCCAGGGAACTTGTACTGGCAGCGGCGCAGAGCCTCGAGGGCAATGGCGCGGTCTAGTCACTGTTAGATCTAGGCTATCTACAGGTATAGATGTAAAGGGAGGGGGGGGAGCGCAACGTACTGGAGTCACGGGTGCGGACAGAGATCAGAATCTGACCAATGTCGACACGGGCGACGGTACCCTGGGGCTTGCCGAAAGCACCACGCATACCAGTCTGCAATCTATCGGCACCGGCGCAAGAAAGCATCTTGTTGATGCGGATGACGTGGTAGGGGTGGGCGCGAACGCGCAGGTGGAAACCTTCCTTGCCGGCATACTTGACAAGGTACTTGTTGGCGCAGATACGAGCGGCTTCAAGGGCCTCAGAGCTCAGCTGCTCATACTCGTTGGAGACGAGGTGGACGCAGAGAGGGAAGTCATCGACGGTGGCGCGCTTGCGGCCCAGATCGTAGATCTTGATCTTGGGGTCCGGCACACCACGGTTGAACCGCGACTTGGGGTACGGCTAGAGACACCTCCTGTCAGCATATCGTCCCATATCATCGAAGAGTATATCCAAGAAAAAAAATGATGTCCAGGCGTAGAAAAATCCAATAGTTCCTCCTCTTGACCCTTTGGTCCCCTATCCCATCCAGCAGGCTCTTATCAACCGACCAATCACCCCATCTCTCTCCTTCGCGAAAAAATGCTGACCGTCCCAGGCCATGTGAAAACGACGAATTTCTCGTGCAAAATCGCTTACCTTGTTCTTGCAGTACCGGTAGCAACGGGCAGGACGGCGGGCCATTTTGACTGATTTGGGTCGGCGATGACACGGATGTGGGTGGTCGCTGGGTGTTCTGGGGGAGGGAGAGGGACGACGACGGAGAAGCCTCAGCTTTTTTGGCGAAATTCGCCCTCCAGATTACCAATCAACATTCCTAATCGGCCGGCTGAGTTGAGCCGTGAAAAAGTGGGGCACTTAGGGTTTGCAGAGAGACACCCACACTTCTCCGTCCCAACCAATGAGAATTCGCCTGCACACTTCGTAGCAGAAAGTCCCTTCGCATGAATTATTTCCAGGTTTACAATTCATCTTCGACTGACCGTCTTGCCAACGCCTAACGACCCAGGACATCACCACCGGAGCCGCCTTCTTTCGACTCCTCGACAGCAAAAATCAGTCACAATGGCCCCCAAGAAGTCCAAGTCCGAAGCCCAGTCCATTGGTGCTAAGGTTCGCATCATCAACCTGGAGTTGTGCACAAGGAGCCGTCACTGACGTTATGAATAGCTTGCCCTCGTCATCAAGTCGGGCAAGGTCGTCCTGGGCTACCGCAGCACCCTCAAGGCTCTCCGCAGCGGCAAGGCCAAGCTCATTCTCATTGCTGTACGTTTTTTTTTCTTCACGTCTAAAAGTCAGGGTGAACGCTCGGATGCTAACGTCTTTCAGGCCAACACTCCCCCGCTGCGCAAGTCTGAGCTTGAGTAGTACGTGATACCTCGGTTTCTCTGCAGCATCAAACTTCCAAGAGATGGACCTGATTAGGCATGCTTGGCTGTTGGCGATCGGATATCTTAGAAGTGCTCCAGCCATGCATCCTAAATCACATGCCAAACCTTGGGACCACATATAAGGGATGACGGCCGGCGCTGACACGACAAACAGCTACTCGATGATGTCCAAGACCCCGGTCCACCACTACAGCGGCACCAACGTAAGTCTTAAACCTCCTTTCCCCTTGACAACGATGCAGTTCTTCGAATGGATGCAATCACGAACGTTCTGCTCGTAATTGTGACCAAAGGGACCCTTTTATTAGGATCCTTGAGGTCTGCCCAGAGAAGAAGTCTCGTTGTAGACTTTGGAGGGTGCCCGTACTCATGCTTACTCCTTTGCACGACAGATTGAGCTTGGTACCGCTTGTGGTAAGCTCTTCCGCTGCTCCACCATGGCCATCCTCGATGCCGGTGACAGTGATATCCTTGCCGACCAGCAGTAAGCTGGTCAAATGAGCACATCGGCAGGCTTGGGATTGGTACGGCGTTCGGCTTTGAAATCGGGAACATAAAACGGCATGCCTTGACGATATCCAACCTCCAGGACGGAGAGTTTTTTGATGTCCCTGCTCGACCCTCGGATGAGCCCCAGGGGGGCAGTCCGTAGATTAGTTGTACTTTTATGACAGCTCGGGATTCTAGCCTACGTCCAGCTACCAATCCATGTTTGCCGCAAGCTTCTTTAAGAGAGAACTTTGTCAACATATCGGGTGCCTTTGTGATTGGCTTACCCCCCCCCCCCCCAAAAAAAAAAAAAAAAAACTAATGACAATGAGACCGGCCGACCGGCACAGGCTCGGAAACAGAATTGGGCTGGTTTGCTATGCCACATATATACATCATCAAAGTAGCAGATAAGATCGGCTTCCCCGGTTGCACTGTGTAGGTTAGTCGTAGATCTTTGCAACATGGATGTGGTTTGCCGGACTCCGTGCCATTTCTAGTTGTGGGATGAACCATGTTCGGTGACGACAAAGCTGCAGGTTGCATCGAATTGCTAGATTGTCATCATCAAGCGGACGACCCTTTCAGTTCCTCCAGATCCAAGCTAAGACGCCAGGACAATGCTCCGAGTCATCATCAACACCAACTTTTCAACTTCCCTTTCCATGTCTAGGAGACTCGGTTAAAGTCGTGGAGTCTATATGCACAAAGGCACCAATTTTCCAAGGCAAAGGCCATGAAACACACCACAAAAACGTAGCACTCCACAGCATCAATGCATGAATGTTCTGATATGAGCGGACACCGGGTCCGATCCTGCAGACCCTGCGTCTGAGACCCCGATACTCGAATCTCTCGTTTGTTCTGAGAATCCTATCCGGAGAAAAACAGCTGGATGTTGGACGATTTGTGCACGAGTTGAAAGCTCTCTCTTGAGCCCCTTCTCAACAGCAACTGCAAGTGATATGACACGGGGAGCGGTGAAGACCTGGAGCAGACGACTGGAGTCACTTGGACCACATGCATGTCATGAACTTCCCCTCTCTGGCTTGGCAACAGGCCTCTTTCAAAACGGGGCGATTGCTTAAAGCGAAGAGAAGCCGCTTGCAAAGCGTAAGGAAGTGGGGGGGGTGCAACAGGATGCAGTGAAAGGTAGAAACAAAAATAAAACCATATCAACCAGTCCAGCATGCAGGTGTGTCACCAAGAGCATTGCCTCGAGAAAATATAGAACCAGACATCACCCACGCTTTGACAAATGGACAGCCCTGCGGCTGATGCTGACCGTTTGAAATGCTGACCGTTTGAATGGCTGACCAAAGACATGACCCACAGGCCATCTTTGAAAGGAGTGCACATGCTTCTATCCAAACAACGGAACGGGAGTTATGGAACAAAAGGGGGCCGTCTGAACTCGTTAAGGAACCCGTATCTTAGCGCCAGACGCAACGTCCCGCCCATACCCCCCTGCTGCTGGAGTAACCTGGGACCCTTAAACGCCACTTTGGGTCAAAAATACCACGGTACCAGTGGCCACCAGCAGCGCCCACGGGGCGCCAGTGCAACAGGAGACTGAAGTCAACGGTAAGGCCGAGTGCTGCAGGGCTAGTCTGTCTCTCTGTTTGGTGGTTGGTTTGACGCTCCTTTTCTCTTCTCCCTGGCACAAAACAAACACAGCAACACTCAAAGCAAGTATTTTTCAAGTCTTTCTCGCTTTCTTTCTTGTCTTACTTCGTGCTTGTGAGACCCGTGCATCACCGCAGATCTCGGTGCCCAGAGAGACAGTTAGGTCGCGCTCGCGTGGCCCAAGGGTTCTACAGCGGGCTTCTACTGGCTCAAACAGTCCCCAACGGTTCCAGTTCCAGTTGTTACCACCGACGGGAGCAGTGTCCACCCACGTTTCTCCTGCTTCCACACCCGTCCACAGTCCACAGTCCACACAGCCCTCCACAGCCCAGGACCAGGCGAGTCAGCAATTGTTCCAGGTTCCGAAGCTGACGGCAGAGGGAGTAGGGAGTACTGTATACGGTGTACGCAGCGGTTCACAGCATCACAACGTCGTTCCACCTTCAGGCTACCCTTCCACGGCGTACGGATCCCCATCCTAGGGCCCCGAAGGTTGCATCGCGCCCGTCTGCATTATTTTGTACAGCACACGGAGTTGGCATCCAGAACACCCCGTCGGGTCACTTAGTCACCCTCGGTCACGGCAAGGAGCAGTACAGTACAGGGTACGCGAGAGTACGCCAGGTTACAGTTTACAGTTTCCAGGAGAGAGGTTACGGTCTCAGCCCGATCCGCGTCCCGTTCCCCGTCTCCCCGTCGCCGCTCTTCTAGACAAGCCTTGTTCTCACTCTCCTGAATATTTTTTTTAAAAAAAATGGCGAGCGTCGCCAAAAAGCCTCCGGCATCATCAGGCCGTGAAACGCCGACCGGCACACCGCACCGACCGACCGCTGGTAGAGCAGCCTCGTCACCGACTGCATCGTCCACAGCTACCGCTGCCCCTGGCATAGCTCGCACAACCCGTTCTGGCCGTCCCAGCACTCCTGTTTCTGCCCGTCAGTCCATCCATCAGCGTCGCGAATCCATGTTGGGCCTTAATGGCGCGTCCGTCAACGGCAAACTGGCCAACTCGAGTGACCTTGAGCGCGAAGAGGCCATCCGTGCCGAAAGTATGGCAATCATAGACGATCTCAAGGAGCGCCTGGCCCAGGCCGAGTCGCAGTCCGAGCAGTACAAGCGCCAGGTCGAGGTACTGCAAAGCAAGCTGGACGACGCACTGAAAGAGCAGGCCAAACTGGAGGAGCGCCTGCACGAGAGCGAGGAGCAGATCGAGGTGCTCAAGAACGAAAAGCGCGAGGCCGCCCGCCAGATCCGCGAGATGGAGAATATCTACGAGGCCGAGCGCAGTGCCATGATGAAGGAGAAGGAGGAAATGGCCAGCCGCGAGGAGGAGATGCAAGCTGTCATCCAGAGGCTCAAGGACAGCCTTGCTCAGAGGAACTCGGACGAAGACAGACCCTCGAGGCAATGTATGTACCACTTTTCTTTTTCTTCTTTTTTTTTTTTCCCTCCTTCCCTACTCCTGACTCACTTTTGAATTCCGCTAACTGAACCAGCAAATAACAACTCCTCAGGTGTCGACAGCGGCAACTTCGCTCCTCCCTCGTCCATTCATCGTAGCGACTCGCGCAACAACTCTAAGCTCCTGCTGCAAAAGGACAAGGTGATCGAGCAGTTGCGGCTCGAGCTGGCCGAGACACAGCTTAAGCTGGTCGAAGCGCAGAACCAAGACGGCGGTCGTCTGGCCGAGGTCGAGCGCCAGCTTATGGAGGCTCGCATCGCCAACGCTAGGCTGATGGAAGACAATGAGAGCTACCAGCTGCTGCTCCAAGAGCGCACCATGAAGGGCGATTTCGCCCCGACTGGTTTCAGCAGCTACTCGAGTAGCGGCGCATCCGCCAACCAAGACGCCCTGGCCGCTCTTGAGGGCAGGAGAAACGAAGGCACCAGTCTCGCCGACGAGCTGAACGCAGCCGATGTCGAGGCTGAAGCCGAGGCAGCGCGCCGTCTAGAGGCTGAGCTGAAGTCGGTTAAGGACCAGAACAAGGCTCTGACCCTCTACATCAACGAGATTATCGAGCGCCTGCTGCAGAGCCAGGGCTTCGAACACATCCTGGAGCAAGACCCCGTCGGCGACAAGGAGCAGCAGCAGCAGCAGCAGCAGCTCAACACCAACAAGGAGCTTCCTCCCCCTCCTCCCAAGCCGCTACCTCAGCAACCTCTTCAGCCATCCCTCCTCCAGCGCGCAAAGACTATGTCTATCCCCAGCCCCCTGACTAACTTCACCACCAAGCCCAAGCCGCGCCCCGTTACCACCATCCTCACCTCCAACCAGTCCAGCCCCACCGCCCTGGCCATCAGCAACCCCGAGACCGCCCCCAGCATCCCCATCGGCCTGGCCCGCTCGACCAGCGCTCGTCGCCCCCGCCCCATGAGCGAGCAATTCACCGGCGCCGCATCCATCGTCAATGCCATGTACAAGCCCTCTCCGGAGCACACCTCGGGCGGCCCGCTCTCCCCTGCCTCCTTCCGCTCCAGCGGCACGTTCTTCCCCATCCCGGGCAGCCGGCGCGCAAGCGGTGGCGGGTTCCCCATCGCCGTGGGCGGCAGCAGCAGCGTGCGCTCGTCGGAGACGAGCTCCATTACTAGTAAGGGCGATGATCGCGAGAGTGTGACGACAGGTACCGGGGATACCCCCGCCAGCGGTAGTCCGCCTAGGACGCATCGCGAGAGGGAGGCGACTACGTTCACTGGGAATAAGCCTAGGCCGCTTAGGCTCGTGCAAGAGACGAATGCGGAGAAGGAGGCACAGAATAAGAGGCAGAGTTGGGTTGGTTGGGTGGGGAGTGCGTTTGGGAGGAGAAATACCGCCGAGGAGTAAAGTTTTTTTTCCTCTTAGGGAAGAAAGAGGGGAGGTGATGAGCTGAGTGCATGTCTAGAAAAGGGGGAGTTGAGGGGTAGGGAGAGGGGAGGATACATATCTCCATTCAGACACGATCGATCGATTCCATGGGTTTTAATTCCTCTTTTTCTTTTCTTCTTTCTCCTTCTCTCTTTTCGCGTTTTCTTTTTTTTCTTCCCCCCTTTTTTTCTCTTCCCTTCTTCATCATTCCCCCTCTTGTTTTTGGATTCTAATCGCGGGAGGATGAAAGGATTTCTGATATGACATGACAACACACACAACACAATGAACAGTTGATGAATGGTGGACACTTTTCTTGATGGTTGTGGCGGGGGCTGTGGATAGAGATTGATTGAGTGATTGATTGATACTGATCCCTGACGATCGATGAACAGACACAGTAATGAGACAGACAGGATGAGATGGTGTGAAATGATAGCGTGGATGAGTTTCTTGGAGTTTTGAGTTACCTCTGCCTTCTCTTTTGGAGGACATATGTGTGGGGAGGTCTACCTCTTGAGAAGAGTTGATGTCCTTACCCCCCAAGATATGTGATGTTGATTGTTTGGATTCTGTCTTGGTGGTTTCAGGTTGTCTTGCTGAACTATTTTTGGTCAGCTACGGGAGCTTCGACTTGGAGCGTCCATGGGCTAGGTGACAATGTATTGTTGAGCTCAGTAAGGGGATTCTCTGTTGCAGTTCAGTTCGGCTTCCTCTTTTTCTTTCATCTTCTCCATCCATCCTAGTGATATCCAGCCATCCCATCCTGAGTCTGATGAATGATCGACACTTAATGTCTTTCTTTCATGAACTCTTTTTATCTTATCACTTGAATTCCTTGCTATGAAGGCCCAGGTGGTATGTCTATCGTGATTGAGGAGTGAGGAGTTCCGTCACGACAGGATAGATTTGGTGCTGTTGATTGGGTTACGCAAGGCATGCTGCTTTCTGACCTCATTGAAGATGATGTCTTTTTTTTTAAAAAAAAAACTACGGCTAGCATCTCTCGTTTTCATACACATTCAACTGATGGTTTTATGCTCTGAACACAGCCAGTTCGCTGGTTTTGCATATGGACAGTAGGTAGTATGTATAGTCAACAATCCCTAGGCTGTTCCCTCGGGTTCGGATATCACATCTGCACAATATCTCCTTAGGAGGATTTGGATCTCTCATAGAAAAGGTTGTGGTGATGTTCGGTCTTCGAGAAATTTCCTCTGCTGACAGAGCCCTAAGCTGAAGACAGGCCAGTCCTTGAACTGAGTTTCAGGAGCTTTCGACTGTCACTATACTGCCATCCAACTTGGTCACCATAATTTTCATCATCAAGGAACTACAGAATTCCTTCCCAGTTCCCTTCAAACTAAGTCTATTCACCCAATTGAACCAAGTATGGATATGGGGTTGCCTCTCATGACTCCTACGCCAGAACAAGCCGAACCCCCACCCCGGCTTCTTCCTCCATATCTTCCTATTTGTCCGTAAGTCCTTACACACAGCAGAGTACCGTGGTGCCCGGCTGACGGTTGGATGATTCGAGATCCCATACGGCAGTATTTTACCATCTAAGGCACTGTTGACTGGATGATGGTTTTGTGTTAGGGAAACCACTCAGACATAGACATGCGGGTCAAGCGTGGGGGAGAAGTCAAGCATGTGAGAGAATTTGTGTGAGAAGGAGTCTTCGTCGGCCTACAGGAAGATATCGCGGTAAGGTAGAAGCAAGGTAGTTTGCCTGTTGGCTGAGAGGGGAAAAAATAATGAGCAGAGAGTCAGTTGGATGGGGGTTAATCCTCATGTCATGGCTGCAAGGCGTAGCAGAAGACAGTCTTCTCCCCAAGCTTCTCGAGCAATAAGTGAGACTCGGTTTAGAAAACTGGACAGGATTGGACAGGAGATTAGAAGAAGTCCTTCCAAGTTATCCCAAGACTAATTGTTCAGCTGTCTATGTCATACTGACTCGAGTTTGCTCACGTGAATCAACACTCACGGCTGCCCACAGACTCGTATCGGAAGATATCTCAAAATACACAGCATAGGTAGGGTTTCAGCAGTAGCAGAGTCACACAGCAAACTCTGTGCCTGACGCGAGATAAGCTTCTTGACTCTGATCAGTTGTGATGGTTCGGGAGTTAATGTTGTGTATGGGCCGTACATGCGGCCCGATGGCTAGAGGCTACTGGCTCCTCAGAGCACAGACAACTCGGCCGTTTGGAAAGGAGAGCCGAAATCTGATAATGATAATCCCTTGGAGAGAGTTGTCATTATTTCCCATATAGAAAGCCGAAGAGTGCCAAGTGTTGTTTGACATCCGGATGGTAGTTCATCCCTAGACAAAGTCAACAACCAACCATCCGCTCCCCTCGCTCAATATGACGAATCCTATCTTCTCCCAAACGAGATATTTTCCCTCGTCGCCAATCACAGACCCCAGACAGCTAGATGCGAGATCTCATTCGCAAGAGCAAGTCTCCGCGACATCTGGCGATTCATCAGAGACATACAGACCAGCAGGGTCACCTGCTGTCGAACTTTGATCCATCCTTTCACCGTTACCCAAGCACATCCCTCCGTATCCGTACCTATCAGACCTACAGGATGTCGGCTCCCTACCTACCCAGGCCACAGATGCATCTACATGCCTTGATCCGTGGGGGTGATGCCGCCATACATGTCGATCTCCGCGCGGAGTAAACAAGCATATGTAATCTATAAACTCATCTTGAACTCCTCGCGAAGTAATAGCAACATGCCTTATCAGGCGGCATCAAACAGGGGCTAGACTCCTCTCCGAATCTCCGAAGAGACTTTGCTGCACGGGGAGCTCCGGACCCCAGAGTCTACGTGGACCGTGGCGCTGCCCGTCATGAAGCGATGGTGCTCGCTGCCCCGCGGGTTCCTGCGCAGCGGAGTGCGGATGGTGAGAACCATCTAGGTCCCCCATGTACGTTGTATCTCTGCCCAGCGCTTACATCCAGTCTCTGCGTGCAGCAGAGTGAGCCCAAGCATTCCAGTGTCAAGATGAGTGCGTAGGGAGGGTAGCAGCGAGCCTCTCCTCCAAGGCAACCTTTCGTCCTCTCAATGTCTGGTTACCGATCGTCATGCCGAACCAGCAGCTTTGTCACTTTTGGTTGAATACAGTGGTTGAACCCCAGCAAAGTGAAAAAGTTCCAAGCAAGCAAGCAAGCAAGCAAGCAAGCAAAGGAAGGCTTGCATCCCCCAGTACGCCTCTGCAGCGAATCCTCCCATGGGGGATGGCGTCGGATGGGGATTGGCTGCATCACGGGACTTTTTCTTGGGGAAGAGGCGCTGCCAGCTGCCCTACCTTGACTTTTACACTGTCCCGTCTCGATATGGGGGACTGACGTTGGATTGGGGGGACATGGGCTGCTGGCAAGGAGGGGGAGGGGTCATCAAGAGCCAAGCAAAGCAGCAAACGCAACCCAGCAAGAAAAAAAAAAAGGCCCGTTCCCACCCGCACCACGTGTCACGCAGCCGTTGGTATTCCTGGCCCCTTCGCCGGTTTCACTTCTCACGCCCAGCCCTGCTCGACATGAGTGGTTTAAACACTTTGTTTGTATAGGCAGCTATGTTGCTGGACTTAAATCTAAGTACCTACCAGGTTGATGACTGTCGTATGAAAGGGACCGGTTTGCTCAGTGCTAGCCGCTACGGACGAGCTACTGAAAACGGAGATATCAACGCTTTTGTAGGAAGCTCTTTAAGCGTTTTTACAACCGCTCTGCAGCCCCTGCACATCCTGACCCGACGAGCTGGAAGTGCTGCTGCTGCTGATGATGAGCCCGAAGAGAGAAGTTTGCCTCAACTGCCTGCAGCTGTTCCGAGACTCTCTGACAGGGGGCCTTGCATCCCAAGGAGCGGGAGAGCCCCTGGTGGCCCTTCGGCCCCTGCCGGAACGGCCGGGTCTCGGTTACAGTCTGCGCTGCTGTGTTCCGTCATGGTACAGTTTACGGTATTGGGATGTAGCAAGTAATGTAATGACGTGTAAATACGGTGGTGGAAAGGTACGTACTTGCACCACCCAACGACGGAGAAACAGCGAGCAAATGTCTCGAGCAGCGAACTGAGACTTTCCCATCCCTAATAGCAAAGGTTGAATCACCTACGCATTTCAGGCAGTAGCAGAAGGCGCAGGGTTGTGGCACAATTACAACGCTCAGTCTCTCTGCCCTGCCCTTGCGGCGCAAAGACAGTTCAATAGAGGACCGAAACGGAACCTCAACGTGGTGACGAGGCCCCTGTGCTCGCTCTGGATTCTCGAGACACCCAGAAAAGGGCGAACAACAAAGGAAGAAAACCACAGAGCACGAAAAAAAAAAAAACTCGCACATTCACGATCTATCCATTGGAGCTGGAGGCCCAAAATAGTGTGTTCCCGTTCCCATGCCACCCAAACTGCCGGGTGTGTAGCGCGCATCGCCAAAAGTGTGTCACCATCCGTTCCGTCGTCCACTTGGCCGTCTATGAGAGGTGGATAGTTAGATTGAGCCGGACTTGAGAGCCAGAGATGACCCAATTTTTCATGGAGTCATGGCACGCCGATGAGGGAGAGGTAGGAGGGTGACACTGGAGTTTGGATGGATGGATGGAAATCATGGAACAGATACCGACCCGTGCCGTGTTATCCCGCTCCGGTGAGGACATGTTCGCTCATTTGAATCTGAACCGGACGGCGATGAGGAACGGGTCGGAGTTTCATGGACCCAGTCAGGTTGATCGATGATGTTGATCAACATTCGGTCTCCATGATGAATTCTTCATACGTACTCATATGGAGAGAGCAAGACGGACATGTGCGATACCCCGAGAGAAAGCACCAGATTAAACAGATTGCTTGCTTGCTTGCTGCTTTTTGTTCCTGAGCGAGCGGTGAGGCGAGCCTTGTTGGGTTATCGTCCCAGCGGTTGAAACAACTTCATGACTGCTCACCCTATTGCTTGTCCTCGGCAGTGTGGAACCATTCATTTGCAAGAGGATCATATGGCATATGATATTCCCATCAAGAACGTCGTTCTTACTGACCGCATCGCTGTCATCGCTGCCAACAGCGGTCATGTCGGCTGTTTTTTTTTCTTTTTCTTTTTTTTCTTTTTTTTTCTTTTTTTTTTTTGCGTGGGAACTTCTGCCGACCGCCCGACAGTCAGAAAGCGGGGTCCGGCAATATCTTGGAAGGCGTCATCACCTTTTCCTGGCGGGGTTGATGATGACCTCTGTTTTTTCTTTTCGATTCGCTTGTTTACATACACTGGCGCCGCCCTCCGAGAACGGGGTCCAGACTTTTGCCTGCAACTGCGGGCCGCCGACGTGTATCGCAGGCAAGCAAAGGCAAATCTTGATTTGATTGATAGAAACTTTGGTCAATTGAGACCCCGCCCCGGAGTCGCTTGCTCTCAGATGAAGGCCTGCCGCAACGAAATCCGTTCATGCAACATTCCCGGTGGCCGGGGACAGCGCTGCAAAACACTGCCGATGTCACACTTTAACAGGACGTCCTCATAGGAAGAGCAGCACATGGGCAGCAGAGGGATTCGGTCACTGCCTGGGACTTGCCCCTCGGCAAAGATACCTGTGGGTACGCGTGTTCTCACCTAGATTTTGTGGCAAATTTAGGGGAATCACGTCATCCATTGGTACCGATCCACCCAGTAAAAGTACCTCAACCGACTCGCCAGGGCGGCGAGCAGATCGGGCTGCCTCTGGACGTGCCATCCGTGGTTTAGAGATGACTTCTGGCTTGATCGGGTCCAACGCTCGCTTCACACGTTTCCAGGTTTCGCCGCCACTCTCGCTGCACGTTGATATCTTTTATCATAAAAAATGCTAGTGTTTCCAGAATCCTTCCGTAATCAAACCGTCGGCGGTAAAAAGCTGGCGATTGCTGGGTGATACCTCGAGCTGTGACGGTGGAGAGGAGACACTGGACCGACTCCATCGAAGACCTGTCGAATCGTCGGCGATTGATCTCGACCCGATCGACAACGCTCTTGCGCCCTTGCCCTTGGCTTTCGGATACTCGATTGGGCTGACTACACTGTGTCGCGCCTCCGTTTTGGGTTGGGGAAGCGCCTGAAAGCGTGGAAGCCAGACCCAAAACGGAGAGGGCGGGCTGGCGCAGTGACCGCGCTCCAGACGGAGCTCCAGGGGCCAAGCTTGGAACGCTGAGGGAGCATGCTCTTTGTTGTTGGTGTCCAAAGTGGACTTTTTTTGGGCAATCAAGCCAATCATAAAAGAGCGCTCAGCTCCAGAGGATTGGGAAGGATCGCGGACCTGTCTTTTTTTGCGTCACATTTTGCGTAAAGTTGTAATTTACAGTACGTATATTACAAGTCCACATGCGCAAGCCGCCGGGGCTCCAGTCATGACCACTGCAAAGCGGACCTGCGACCGACCGCTGCTTGCACTCCCCAGATCCAATCTTCCCTCCACACATCAAACGTCTGCTACCCGCGCTGCCCAACCACGCTGTCAACAACCCGCAAAGCCCGCACCTTGCTCTCCATGCGACTAATTGGCGACGTCTGATTTTTCTGACGCAGACACTGGTCGCCGATACGTTCAGAATACGCCCGCAATTCGACCTACGGAACCCCACGGCATCAGATTTTTTTTTTTTTTCCCTGCTCGACTTTTCATCGACTCTGTCAGGCCACTTACAGCAGGCTTGGCATCGCTCTGGTCGCGGGCTCTGGACTCGAAAAGTCTGGCATCGTGCGTGTAGACTGTGGTCTGTGGACGGTGGCATCGTGTGGCCGCGCGGTTGCTTGATCTCTCCGGCCGTTAACCAGTCGGTTTCTTTTCCTCCCGTTCGCCGGGGTCCCACGACTCTCCTAGCAGCGAAACGGTGCTTGCACTTCCTACCTGTCGACTTGCTCTTCGCCAGTCTGCAGCTCCCCACTTCCAACAATATCGAGCTTGCGCCGAGCCAACACCCGCTCCCGACGCACAACACAGCGAGTGACGCACGCGCGCGACGGGCAGACGAGTGGATATCGGCATCTCTGTGTGTGTTGTGATCCTGGATCTCTGAAGCGACTTGTTGGTGGTTTGGCCTGTGCCGCTGTTAAGCACAAGAGGGTTGGCATCACGAAAGTTGTTTCTGTCTGAGCCTAAGCAGTCTCCCTCCGCAACATCGTTGGGCGTACGGAGTCACCACTCCCCCCGGGCTGTAGCTCCGTACACAGCATTGCACCACGACGCAGCTACCAGATCATGCTTCACTGGCCCCCACTGAGGAGTTAGCCCATTGTTTGTCTCTCCGTCCCTGCCGAGACGCCGGCGTGGCATGTGTGGCCGTCGTCGACCCGAGCGACCGTCTCGCCTGAGTCGTCTGAGCCGTGGTCGTCCCAGCCAGGCAGGCTAGACAGGCTAGTCCTACGGCATCCCCAGACAAGCTAGACAGCCCCAGACGAGCCAGCATGGACAAGTCACGGTCCCAGAAGTCCCATCCGACCACCATACCTTCATCCGACTCCGCCAACATCACCACCACCACCTCCTCCTCGACCGGGCCTGTCCATCCCACGTCATCCCACGAGCTGTCGTCGAGCGCGAGCACCAGCACGAGCACGGCGACCATCACCCCCAAGCCCGCCAACAACACCGCCTCTCCTGCTAACAGCAAGCCGCCGTCGACGTCGGCCTCGCAACAGCCCTCCGCTGCGCCTTCCACGTCGTCATCTGCTGTCCCATCGCCTCTGACGTCGCGCGAGCCTTCACCGACCCGCCCCTCTGCCCGGCCTGGTGCCCCCTCGCGAACGCCCTCGGTGAGTGCCGGTGTTCGTTCTCGGCAAGGAAGTGTGCAGGATCTTCGCCAGTCGAGATCGGGCATCAGCAAGCCCCTTTCGTCTACCAGCATCCCGACCCTTCAACCTAGTGCATCCGATTCCAGCACTTTCGCAGGAGCCCCCATGAAATCACCAACTTCGATGGAGCACATTCGAGACACCCCCCGGTGGCCTGTATCGCCCAGGTTACGGTCCCCGCCGCCCATGTTGCAGAGACCGAGCTTGGGCTCGCGCAGGTCAACTGAAGTTGAGGCAACGCCCCTCATTAACGTCCAGCGTGCGACACCCCAGCAGCCCCCCGCAGAGGGTCAGTCCGATACCGATGTCGACGACGGTTTTCTACCCGCCGGTATGAGGACGCCAGCTCGTGGGGGTGGAGGAAGCACTTCGACCCTAGAGACTGTGCAGGAGGTTAGCCCGATAGGATCGCCCAAGCGGGTCGGAGAGTCGATGGAAGAGAAGCTGGAGGAGAGCATGCTCTCAGAGACTTCACAGGCCGAATCCGTGATCGGACTTGGGCTCTCGAGGAAGCCCACGACATCGTCGACCACAACATCCCATGCGACCCAGCACCATCGGGTTAACGAAAGCGGCAGCGAGAGCGAGTACGCCAGGAACAACTACCACCAGCAACGCCGAAGCGTCGGATCCATCGTTCCCTCCCTCACGAGAAGACAGTCGAGCACGCGCATCAGTCCCGGCATCGGGAGGTCGAAGACTGGCGAGATGCAGAGCATGACGGTAGAAACCGAGACGGTCACGTCGATCCCGCAAGCCCCTCTTGTACCGGCCATCGCAGCGCAAACTTCGAGCACCAGCCTGCGTAGGAAGCAGAGCACCGAGACGATCCGGCCCAAGAAGGAGAAGCGCAAGACCCGGAGGCAACCCGTGAATGGTGAGCAGAAAGCTCTCCCCTATTCTAGACTGCGCCATCATCAGTCGCTGGGATCTGTCGTTCCCTCCGCGGCTGATAAGGGCGCCTTACCGGCCAGGCGCCACAGAGGCGAGATGGCCGATGGCCGTCTTCGCCGGCAGCACGGCCGGGCTTCCAGCTTGAGCCTGTACCAGATGAGCACGCTGCTGACACGCCAGCGTTTAGTGTCCTCCAAGGCCGACATTTTCGAGGCAAAGGTTGCCAGCGCGGTCGAGGAGGCGAACTCTTCCGACTCGGAAGAGACCTTCGTCTACGATTCTAACCCTCCAGATGGCCGCGAGCGCCCCCTGCGATTCCACTCGCGCACCCCGAGTGCTACGTCCATGGCCAGCCAGTATGATCGTGGCATGCGGTCGATCCATGCTGTCATGATGGAGAGCGACGGCCCGCCGCCGATGCTCGTCAAGAAGAGCATGAAGTTCTCGTCCAACTCGAACAACCTCAACAACGACCTGGGTATCATGAGCGACGATGGTAGGGTCCCCGGCAGAAGCAATGTCGGGTCCGCCAGGGGAACCCCACGTCACCATAACCAGCACTTTAACCGATGGGCCCGCAACGGCGGTTATGGCGCCACCAGCGCTGGTAACGGCCATCCTTCGGTGTTTGCTGAGCACTCACCTTTCACCGCGTCTCAAGCTGTCGGTAACGTCGGCTCACGTCAGCCCTCCGCTCCGCCCAGCCCTAGATATGGCCCAGGCCGCGGTTTCTGGGGGAATGGCAAGCGTGGCGCGCATCTACTACCGGGTTACGATTTCGATGATACTACGACCGGCGCCGATGACGAGACGACCCCGCTCATCCCTTCAAGTATTCGTCCTTCGAGGTACAGCCGCAACCGGCGCGGTCACTCGCTGCGGTCCATCGAATCCCAGCAGTATCGGTCCCCGCCTTCGGTCCTTAACCGGTTCGCGAGCTGTCTCGTCCTTACCGTCATGCTCCTGCTCGTCGTTTCGGGCGTGATCGGCTTTATGTTCGCCACATCGCAACCGCTTACCGATATCGAGCTCGTGTCTATGGACCACGTCGTCGCCAGCCAGCAGGAGCTCATGCTCGACCTCACCATCCGCGCGCACAACCCGAACGTCGTCGTTGTTACTGTCGACTCGGCCGACATCGAGGTCTTCGCCAAGTCCCCTCACGCCTTGTCGGACTCGGAGTGGTGGCGGCATACCCATCCCGGCGAGATCGGCCCGCCACCTCCTCGCAAGGGGGGCGTGGGCGACATCGAGGTTACCGAGGCTACCCAGCCGACCCCCTCACCATCCCCGAACCCGAACCAGCCCGACGACTCGGCGCCCAACATGCGTCTCGGTACCATCACAGGCTTCGACTCGGCGCTCTCCTTCGAGGGCTCCTTCTTCCACAAGGGTATATCGTACTCGAGCGGCGAGGTCCGTCTTAAGAACCCGGGCAACGGCACGTACGGCGGCCCCGAGCGTTGGGAGCGCATCATGGAGGACGAGTTCCAGCTTATTCTGAAGGGCGTGCTTAAGTACACGCTGCCGCTTAGCCAGCGCGTCCGCACGGCGACCATCTCCGGTAAGACGACGGTCAAGCCGAATGCGGGCGGTGATCCTGCGCCCAAGCCGGACCAACCTGAGCTGCCGGGGCCCGACGAGGGCGGTTTAAATGGGAATGGGACGGATATCACTGGCGGTGGCGAGGTTAATGCTACGTCTTCGACTGTCTTGGCGAGGACCAAGAGGATGAGGGTGAGAATTAAGCTCTAGAGGTGTGATGCCCCGATGGTTATGGGTTTGACGACTAGAGCCGACGACGATGGATACGATGCTCAATTGATGACCTTGACGACGACGTGATGACTCTCTGGATGGAACGACATGGAACGGAACGGCATTAGACATATAACACGGCAACACAACATTTGGCGAAAAGGAGTAGACTTGATTACGACAACAACGACATTTTGACGACGGCGATGACCGATTACCGATTACCTAACCACCTTTACCTACTTTGACTTTGATCATTTTCTTACCATAGGAGTTTTTAAATAATACTATGTGCGCAGGATGGTTTTTTTTTCTGGTTTCTCGCAAGAAGCGTACCCGCCCATCCTGCTGCGTCCCGCTGCGGAGCCGAGCAATGCACCGTTTCCTTTGTCGATGAGTTTTTGTTTTTTGACTCGAGGGTGAAAAAAAAAAAACAACAAAATTACCTGATGGACTGGCTGATACTCATCACCGGTATTATTACCGGTGTCGTCGTGACTCAACAACCGTGAGTTACGGTGATGGGAGTGAGGACAGTCAGATCTACCAACCACCAGAACAGCGATCAGCAGTATTTACCAACATATTACGTTGAGCTGACTCGAGTCGTTACCCTCCCTTGTCTACAAAATATTACCATTGGTTTGAGGGTGATGGCTCACAAGTTGCGATCCACCTTCCATGTTGGATCGTCAACTACAGCCAAGATTTATTTACAAAATCTTTTTCTTTCGACACTCTCCTCTCCGCATATGAGAGTGAGCGGCTGTTTGCTTGTTTTCATCTTCGCCCCTACCCTTACATCATAACGTCGTCGTCGTCTGCCGTTGCTGTCTACTCTTAACCGGCTTGCTTTATGGCCGGTTATCTACTTACTTGAATGGACCTCTGGATGGGAGGCATTACTGATCACTGAATGTGGTTCTTACTGTCTGTCTGTCTGTCTGTCTGTCTGTCTGTCTGTTTGTTTGTTTGTTTGTTTGTTTGTTTGTTTGTTAACTGAATGGGCTCGGTTGGTTGCGGTGGGTTGGTTGGTTGGCTGGTTGGGTGGAATTGAATTGCAATTGTAAATGCATGGCGTGGCATGTTTGGCGTGTTTTTCTTTACTTTGACTCAGGAGTATGGAGCAGCGGAGGGTAACTGGGTTTTCTACTACGTACTATCTTTCACTTCTTTCCCTTGAAGAGGTGTTAGTATACAGTGGTTAGGCTACTTCTTTGCTTTGATTTCTTGCTTTACTCTCTCTGTGGGCTATGCTGTGTTTGTTGTGTTAAGGGCTTGCCTCTCTCTACCTTCGTGATGATCGGAGATATCATACCCCACATACCCATACCCTACCTACTTACACAGGAAAAGAAAATAAGTTACTCCAGGGTTGCTTGATTTGTATCACTTACTGTCTTGTCGTGTATCACTAACTTGCCTTCGTATTGTCGTTTTTTTTATCTTCCCGCAAGGGCTGGTTGCTGGTGTTCGGTTGGTTTTTTACTTGTTGGTTGGTATCTGGGGTGAAGGATAGGTAGAAACGGCGTTTGAGTGAGAGGGTCCAATTTCTTCTTCTCTTTCAACATGGAGGGAAGAGACTTATTTTTTCTCACTCTTGTGTTCGGTGGGGGAGGAGGGGGGGAGGGTGAATCAAACAAAGGTACCAGCGTGTTTATTAGGCTAGACTAGTTGAGCACTGTAAACGATATTCATATTAGCTAATATTAGTGACCTGCGTTGTGAAGATGTTGTATTGGAAGTCCAGTTTACTGTCGAGGATTTAGGTTTCTCTTGATGATTGGTAATTTTGTTTCATGAACCCCCCTACGATGATCACAGACGTCGAAGCTTTTCAGGTCAGAGAACAGGAGCTCACTTCACCAAGGACGTCCAACTAACATGAGGGTATCTGTCATTTTGTCTTCCACATATTCCCCTTCAGATCTGGTCTACACTGGAGCTAGTCCCTCAAGATGTAAGCAAAGTAATGCATTTCCCAAACGCCAAACGCCATCATTCCACTTTATTACTTCCCCTTGCTTACGAGAAATGAATCCCCTCCTCATGAAAAGCCAACAACAGCTTCAAAAAATCATTCTGATCGCACTGCCTAGCACGCTTATTCGCCAACCCTGTCTTTGTTAACACCTTATTAATCTTCGCCCGCACAATCAGCGCCACCTTGCTCTTGGGGTTCTTGCTTGGCGTCTTAGCTGCCTCTTTCGCGGCTTCGGCTTCCTTGACTTCTTTGAAGAAAGTCGGCATGTCATCATCGTCTTCTTCCATAGCGTCACCGTCGTTATCGTTGTCGGTGTCGGAGTTGGCGTCCATGTCGACGTCCATGTCGGCTGTGAGGGAGGGATCGGAGAGGACGGATTCGTCGAGGGGGATATTGTGGAGGGTGCAGTAAACTTTGTAGTTCTGGATAGGGGGTTAGTGATAATACTGAGAGGGAAGGGGGAAGGGGGAGCTTGCCTTCTCGCAGAGGGCGAGGACCTCCTTGATGCTGAAGGCGGCGCGGAGGGTCTTGTTTTTGCGGTTGCTGTGGGGATTAGTATGTTGTCAGTGGGGTTGAGATGAGGCTAGACATACAAGGCGATGCGAAGGAGGCCGTCGAACTCCTGCGAGATGTTAGCAGAGCTCATGAAAGAACATCTTAAGGGATACATACCTCAAATGCAATGTTCGGGCGCGCAGAGCCAAGATAAGGCTCAATTCGGACGACTTCAAGTTGTAAGCCGATATTCCCAAAAAAAATTGCATAACGAGAGAGAACCTACCATCGCTTTCAACCTTAGGCGGCGGCTTAAAGTTCGCCTTGCCGACCTTCATAATATGGGTACACGTTGCCCAGAAGTTGACATTAACCGTCAACCTTGAATATAACGAATCACCCGGCTTCGCGACCAACCGCTTGGCGAACTCTCTTTGGAACATTAGCACAGCGACGCGCGGCGGCTGCGGCATGGAGAGCATCTTGAAGATGAGAGGACTGCTGATCTGGTAGGGAGTGTTGGAGATGAGGGCGTCGCACGGCGGGATCTGCGGCAGCTTGATAACGTCGCCTAGAATCACCTCCAGCTTCTTGGCCAGCGGGGTGCCCTGGACTCGTTTCGTAACTTCGGCGCCCATTCGAGGGTCGAGTTCGATCGCGATGACCTTCTTGGCCCGCTCCAGGGCGCGGACGGTGACTGGGAGGTCAGCACTCACCGCGCAAGCTGGAGAGGAGGAAGTGTGACCTACTGTTACCGGTACCCGGACCAACTTCGACGACAACATCGGTGGGCTTGAGGAAGGCCTTCTCGACGATAGCGTCGCTGATGCCGGGGTTCTTGAGAATGTGCTGGCCGTAGTCCTTGTCGAACTTGAAGATGTTGGTGCTGCCGGAGCCCTTGGATTTCTTGTCATAGGGCCCGGAGGCCGCATTGTTGCGCTTGTTCTTGGCGGTCTTGGGCATCTTTGACGGACTGTCTGGATGGCGAATCACCTCTCTCTCTCGATTACTTATACACCGCCAACGTCGTGAACCGATTTTTGGTGGTGAGGCCGGCAGAAAAAAAGTGCCCCGCCAAGAGATAAGATAAGGCCTGACCGCCCGTAACATAAACCGTAACTTACATTTCCTGCGGTAAGTTGCACAGCTCACACGCGGAAACCCCGCGGCGACCAAACATCGGCGGCCGTCTTGGCTGCCATCCCAAGGCTGGCTGTCATGCTTCCCACTGCCCTTCAACTGGGACCACTGACGTAAGATGGCGCACTTGTGTTGAGGCGAAGCTTTTGTTATGGCCCGGGTGGCCTCGGCCGTTGGCACCATGATGAATCCATTAATCCAGGAGGCCTCGCCCGGAATGAAATGATGGACCGCAACACATGTGCAAGCCGAAACTGAATGTAGAAATTGTTTTGCGAGTGGCCTTCCTCATCCAGTCTGTGCTAGTGCTTCATGTAACTCTGGTGAGCGTGGTGGGGTCCAATTTTATACATTGTTGTCTTTGTCAACTTTTTTTTCACCACTCTTGGGTGAGCTCAAGCCTGAAAACATGTCCATTCGCATCATCCTTGAGAACCCGCCAGAATTCTACACCAACCTCGATGTCATCCGTGGCCAGGTGATCCTCAACCTCTCACGGCACGAGTCGGTCAGCGCCGTGGTGGTCAAGCTCGAAGGGGAGTCGCGCACTGCTCTTGGCGTACCAAATGACATTCCCGGCCTGGGCATCGCGCGTGACCGCGGCGGCCATCAAAACAACAGCAGCGATGTTGTTCACGAAAACCACAAGATCCTGTATAAGGTACTCCAGGTCTTCCCCGACGAACGCACGCCCGCCGTCAACCAGCCTACCATCCTCAACCCGGGTCAACACCACTTCCCTTTCGAGTTCAAGTTCCCCTTCAACAATGTCTGCTCCAACCCCGAGCTTATGTCACGCATTGGAGGGCTGGTCAATCCTGGGGGTTATGGTTCAGGAGGATTGTTTGGCTTCTCCGGGCCCCGGGTCATGGACGGCACAAAGCAGCTGCTCTACCAGCACGTCACACGCACCCTACCCCCGAGCTTTACGGGCTTTCCTGGCGAGGCAGAGATCCGGTACTACCTGAAGGTGACCGTCCAGCGACCGGGAATCTTCAAGGAGAACTGGCGTTACGAGTTGGGCCTTAAGTTCCTCCCCATTGAGCCTCCTCGTCCTCCTAAGACGAATCAAGAAGCATATGCCCGGAGGCCATATACCTTCCAGCCACGAGCCCTCCCCACTCCTACTCAGCCCAGGAAACGCTCTGGCTTCTTTAGCTGGGGATCCAACAGCTCAAGCGACCTGAACCTCCAGACCTCATCGGCTTCGTCTGGACCTCCTCCATCAATAGAGATGTCTGCCCGCCTTCCTCACCCGGCAATCCTTACCTGCAACAAGCCCATCCCCCTGCGGCTGATCGCCAAAAAGCTGGTCCCCTCCCGGGCAGAGGTTTTCCTCACCAACCTGGAGATCGACCTCGTTGGTAAGACCAACGTGCGCTGTCGTCATCTGATCAACACCGAGATCAGCCGGTGGGTGGTAGTTGCGCGGCATGGACTGGCCATCCCTGTCTCCAAGCCAGACGACGCCGTCGGCACGGAGGTGCTGGTGCCGAACTCACTCTGGAGTGACGTCCCCCTGCCGAACACAGTCATGCCTAGTTTTGTCACCTGCAATCTCAGGTAGGCCCTCCCCTCCTCATCCTCACTCATAATACTAACCTCTCCCCAGCCGGGATTACCAACTCGAGCTAAAAATCGGCCTCTCTTGGGGCCGCCCACAACCCCAATCCCCGCACTTCAAGGGCAAAAACCGCCTCGACGTCTCCTCCCTCTCCCAAGAACTTCACCTCCCCCTCCACTTCAGCCGCATCGAAGTCTACTCTGGCTTAACACCCCCGGCCGCCCTGGCCGAGGCTGCAGTACGTAACAACGGCCGGCCGAAGCCACAACCCTCCTCTCGACCTGCCGCAGCATCTCCTGCTCAGGCGCAGGCGCAGGCTCCTCCGCTGCCGCCTAGGAGACCTGTGCCAGCCTCCCAGGCACAATCACAATCACAATCACAGTCCCAGCCCCAGCCGTCGCCATCGACGTCAACGCAACCACAACCCCAGCCACAGTCACCTACTCAGGGTCAGGACCAAGAAAATCTGCCAGCTTACTGGCCCCCTGAACCCCCCTATGACGATGCCCCGCCCACGTATGAGGAAGCCATGGCCGAGATGATGACGGGACCGATGTTTCCTGCGCAGGCGAGGCCCGCATATAGCGGGGTGACGGATGTGAACGGGCCGAGCACGTTGCCTGACGGGGACGCGGGTAATACCCAAGGACGGACAGAAGCAGGGGCTGTGGGAGGGGGGAGGTCGGAGAAGAGATGATATTATATTATGAGTCCGCGGTGTGGAATAGGAGAAAATGAGGACAGAAGGGAGGGAGAGGAGGGGGGGGGGCAACGCAAAACGCAAAGGCAAGTAAAATGTAATAAGGCAGCTGAGAGTTTGAGAAGGGTTGAGGGTCGGTTGTCTAGAGAGAAGAGCACGGCTTGGGAAGAATGCTTTGCAGATGATACCTGGGAATATCAGGAGAAAAACAAAGAAAGGCGCTGGATATAATACCTAGGCGTACAGGAGCCGTCACTTACAGTAATGCAAGCGTTGATTTCGGGATAGATGAAAGTCTCAAATGATGTGCGCCCGGTCAGGCAATTAAGTCCATCGCATGAGCCCAAGTCCTAGTTATCTATGGTTCCTGTCCGAATGTACATTATCATTCATTACACACTCATATCAAATCCATCTAATCCAATTACCCATCATCATCACCATCTATTCAAAACCACCAACCCCCTTACTCACTCCCTCGCCTCAACTTCATCATCCTTCCAATCCGCCTGCTTCGCCACCGGCACAGCCGTCCCACCACCCACAACCCTGCCCCCCATCTTCCTCTTTACACGACACTTCATGCCGACCGTCGGGTCGAAAATAAACCTCCACAGAACATACACCCAACTCGTATGCTGTGGCAGCGGCTCATAAAACTCCTTCGCAATTTCATACAGCTTCGGCAGCCTCGTCCACGGCACGGCAGGGAAATCATGATGCTCGTTGTGCAGTCCCACGTTGTACGTCACCCAGTTCAGCGGGCCGTAGTAGCTGTATGTCTCCGGCACGGGGATCATATTCTTCGGGTCGCGGGCTTCGGGTGGGATGGTCTCGTAGACGTAATGCTCGGCGATGAAATGTCCGGCCGTTGGATGAAGAGAGCCGGCCAGGAAGGAGGACAGGAGGAGGTACTTGAAGGAGTTGAGCGTGAAGTAGCCCGGAAGGAGATAGATCATGGCGTAGTCGAAGGCGAATTGCACGAGGATATTGAGGTAGTGCACCCAAGTGAAGGGCACGCGGTAAATGGCCATGGGGCGGAGGGCATAGAAGAAGATTTGGAAGGTGCAGAAGAAGGCTTTGCCGAGGATGGAGTCGAGGACGACGGCTTCGAGGGCGGTGGGCAGGTCGGTGTCGAGGCCGTCGACGCCGAGGGATTTGTGGTGAGTTAGGTGGTACGGCTGGAGAGTTTTACATACGTCAGCGGTGAAGATATCCAGGGGTCTGGGAAGGGAGGGGGCTCACCCTGAACGAGGCACTGTATGGCAGGCCGATAGGAAGATTCGCAAAGATAGCGAAAAGCCTGTTCGCCAGCGGCGAGCGGAAGGCCAGGTTATGCGAGATTTCATGAATAGCCAGGAACAGGTTCTGGTTGGCAGTGGCTCCAATGACATAGGCAACGAGCCAGAATTTCCATGACCAGAACGGTGTGTCGCGCAGCAGATGGGCCATGAGCACCTGTAGACCAACAACAAATGCAACGCAGTACTTGGTCAGAGGCTCGTGGCCACACAGCTTGGTGACCTCCGGGTGCGCCTTGATGATGGCGAGACGGCGGGTGCGGTGCGGTTCCTCAGTGTATGTCCAGATGAAGTCGTGGAGTTTGGGGTCGTAGAGGTTCACCGTCTCCTTTTCTCCCGAGTTCTCAGCGGAATTGGATTGCCCCTTCGCTGTGGAAGGGCCATTGGCCGCTGCGTTGCGTCGAGCCATGCCGTCAGACCTGCTCCTGAAAGGCCGAGAGGAGACAAAATGAAGGGAGAGAAGGGTTAGGTAAGAAAAGAAGAAACCCGACAACCTCCGGCCGCAAAGGTTCAAGCAACTTTTTGGAGGAGTTCTTTAGGGGGACGCGACAGCTGCAAGCTCCAGCGGGGCTGCCACCCGGCTTGGGGCTTCTCTGGCCTATTAGAGGGCGCCGTTGGCCCTGGACAGCGGGAAGGACAGGGGGTTGTGGTTCCAAAACCAGGGCTAGATCATCTGATCAGATAAGATGCGTTCCCAGGCCTTCCGTCTTTGTCTCTTGACACCGACTTTTCACCGATTTTTATTTTTTTTTCTTAAATTTCATTTTGCACGAGTCGAATCTTGAAAATTTCATATGAATTTTATTTCAAATTTCGATTGCTGTTCACGTTATTTCGAGGTCCCTGAGCTACCGTCTACGGAAACCGCATCATCACTTCCGGTGGCTTGTTGTTCAGCACCTCGTCGATCTCGGCCATGATCTCGGGCGTCAGTTTCTTGTACACCCTCAACGCCTCCATATTCTCATAGATCTGCTCCGGACTGCTCGCTCCCGTGATAGCAGAGCTGACGTTCGGGTTTGCCAGCACCCACGCCAGCGCCAGCACGCTCTGCTTAACCCCCAGTCTCTCAGCAATCGGCTCCAGCTTCTTGACCTGCTCAATAATAGCCTGCCACTCCTCCTTGCCGGTCTGCTTCCAAAACCCGGCAATAAACTCAACCTGTGTCTGCGCGAACCGACTCCCCTCCGGAATCCCATTCTTGTATTTCCCCGACAAGATCCCCTGCCTCATGGGCGAGAAAACGGTCAACCCCAGGCCAACCTCGCGATACAAGTGTGCATACTCGCGCTCTACCTGGAAGCGCTCGAGCATGTTATAGCGAGGTTGTTCCATCAGGGGTCCGATCAAATTGAGCTTGTCGGCCCAGCGCCAGGCTGACGCGATCTCATCTGCGTCCCACTCTGATGTACCCCAGTAGAGAGCTTTGCCGGTGTTGATGAGGTGGTTGAAGGCGCGCACGATCTCTTCCATGGGCGTGTGTCGGTCGGGACGGTGCGCGTAGATCAGATCGACGTAGTCCAGGCCGAGACGCTTGAGTGAGGCGTCCATGCCTTCGATGACGTGTTTGCGGGAGAGGCCAACGTTGTTGATCTTGCGGTCGCTAAAGGCGGCGCCCCAGTAGAGCTGTCCTCATTTATTATATTAGCCTTTGCCCTTCCATGGCTGTAATGCTATGAGGTAGTACCTTGGTCGAAATCACCAGGTCATTCCGCTTCCAGCCAAACTTGCGGATGGCCTCGCCCATGACGCGCTCCGACTCACCGTCCGCGTAGCCCTCTGCGCAATCGAAAAAGTTGACGCCGCAGTCATAGGCCGCCTTCATGCACGCGAAAGTGCCCTCGCGGTCGACGTGCCCGCCGTACGTCAACCACCCGCCCAGCGAGATGGCCGACACCTGGAGCCCGGACCGGCCCAGGAAGCGGTACTCCATTTCGGGGAGGTTGTCAGGCTTGGCCATTTTATGAGTAGGCTTGTGATGTTTGTGTTTGGTGGGTTGCAGGAGTAGACGGAAGGAGGATAGCGATCGCTTTATTAAGCCACTCGGAGTCTTGTACGCCCGCTGCCACTGCTGCAACAACCTGCGACCTGCCTTGGTGGATCGACATGCAGTCTCGCGGAATCAGATCTCCCGTCCTACCGTAACCCCCCCTCGGCGTCTCGTGTCTTTAAGCTGCCCGTTCCATAGTGCCGGCGCTTGCGGAGTCGCGATGGAGCCCACAGTCACACAATGCCAGCTTGATTGGATTTCTTTTCTTTGCTTCACATGCCGGTTGGGACTTGTGGCTTTGGCTCTTAAGGCTATCGTCTCCTGTTCTGAATTTTGCGGGCCGGCTTCCGAGAGAATAGCATCCTCTTCTCCAGTTTCTGAGGTTGCCTAAGGAAAGCTGGGGAAGTTGAGCCCGCTCGTTTGGTGGGGTTAAAGTCTCCATTGGACTCTCCAGTCTTTGGTCGCAGGGTCAAGGACAAACTCAAAGCTTCAGTTTGATCTACCTAAAAAGACATATGGTTCTTTACTGTCTCTGTATCCATTTTAATTGTTCGATTTCAAGAGGTTCAATTTGATTTTAAGCTTGAGTGTCCACTTGAAGTGATGCCCTTGTCAAGTGTAGTGCTCAGTTACCCAAAAAAAAAAACCCATTAAGATACCCTGGTCCAATTCATGTAAACTACCATTATCATAAATGCACATAATTTTGATCACTGGGTAATCACAATGAACACTGTATTCATACTCCTGCGGTCAGGAACCAGTTATAAAGGGTAAGCTCACAGGATGCTCTATTAAGCCGTCTCTAGTGACCGTGCTTATGGTATATCACACTGTGGTAACCACAGTGTTTGTTGACTTTGGTTCCGTTCCCCCTTTGCCCCTTTTCTTTCGTCTCTCAAGCACACTTAAATGTGGCACCATGAACTTGGACACACCAATATCACAAGAGCTGCCCACGGATTTGGTACATAGAGTCTCATGCTCCAAACACTATCTCAAAGCATGGTTTGCGCAATACATCCATGTATACGTCCCGGAGACTCATGCCTTTGTCAGGACACAGACCGGCTGGCGCCCTCACCTTAGAACTCATGACCTCGTTCAGGATGCTTACTTCCTTGTTTGTCAGCATAACATAGGTACCGAGGCCACGAGACCGCAAGACATCGACACAGCGGGTTCTCTAGCTGACGAGTTTTCTTTCATGCCCACAAATTTTGATTTTTTTTTCCTTCCTGACATTCTCCCTCTCTCACTTTTTTTGCTGCCACTTTAGACTTTCCTGCTTCAACCCGACGCCATTAGGTCGCGTAACAAGGTTGCGCGTTGAGGGAGTTTGGGTTACTGCCCAGACAACTTGCTCAGTTATGTTCGAGTTTGTGCTTGGTTGGCAAGTCTTCTTTCTTCTCTTGCGTCCATGATTTAACCTCTTCTTTCCAACGATGACTTGGAGAACCAAACCTTTTCCTCAACTTCAAACCGTCGCCTAGCTTCTTCCACTACTTCCACTACAGAAAGGTCACTACTCCATAGATCTGTCTACGCTTTTTTTTTTGCCCGGAATTGAAGTAAGTTTCCACTCGTTACCCTTCATTTTTTTTGTCAGCACTACGAACTTCTTCTTCTTCTTCATTGCTTTCCCACTTTTCCCTTCATATCTGCCAAATAACATTCTCACGACCTGCTTTCGCAACAAAGCCTTTTCAAATCCCGCTCTTGCGCTTGAAGCTTTCTTTTCCGACTTCCTGGCCTTACACCGATGCAGGAAAATCAACTGTCAAGATGTCGGACTGCAGTGATAACATTGGCACCGCGGTCAACGGTGTCACCAATGGTTGGGATAACGCTGGCGCCAACGGCGCTTCTGGCGGCTGGGACAGCCCTGGTACCAATGGCGCCGCAGGTGGTAGGGAAAATGGCAAATCTAATGGATTCGACGACACCTTTTGGTGCTGAGAATTCAGGCCTATGTCAAGGCTGCTCTTGAGATCACGTATCCCGATCTTGAGCGTCTCTTCTGCGATAAAGACATCAGATTTTGGCTGATCGCGATTCCCAAGAATCTGACGGTCACCGTCACGAACATGGATCTGCAAGGCAGCCTCGACAAGAAGTACGCTGTTGCCTATCGCTTCCAGTGGAATCCCCCGCGCCCTCATGACCGCGAGCTGTGACCAAAGGGCGAAGATGAGAACCTCGAGCGCCTGGCCAATGCCGGTTAGGTTGTTTCGTGTAAGCTTCCCAAATGCACTAACTGCGGTGAGGTTGGGCCACGCCTTTGAACGCTGTCCTCAAGAGAAAGTTGAGAGGGCCGTTATGGAAGTCAAATGCTACAGCTGCGTCGAGGCCGGCCACCGCAGCGTAATTATAAGTCTTTTCCCATGGGATAGCAGATAGCAGACTAACCAGAATTACGCAGGTCCCAACCCTCACGTGGATAAGTTTGCTTGCAAGGACTGTAGGTATGCATTCACTAATCCTATGGCAATGCATGATTCTAACAACGTTCCAGACAGCCTGGCCACAGGGCGTCCGATTGTCAGAAGCCCCGCTCAGCTGCTAACCGTCGAGTGCCGTAATGGTAATATGGGCCACTTCTCTCGGGACTGCCCTCAGGGCGGCGGTGATAACCGTGGCTGCCGCAACTGTGGCCAGGAGGGACACATGGCTCGCGAGTGCCCTGAGCCTCTCAACATGGATCGCGTGCAGTGCCGCAACTGCGACGAGTTTGGTCACATGAGAAAGGATTGCCTCCAGCCACGCGATAGCAAGTCTTTATTCCTCAGTTATATGCCGATCATTGCTAACTGCTCCAAGTTACTCGCGTCAAGTGCAACAACTGTGGTGAGATGGGAAACTACAGCCGCAACTGCCAGGATGGCGCTGCTCCGGATGCCAACGGTGGTGACAACGGGCTTTGGCAATGGCGCTACGGACGCCAATGCCCTTCTGACTGACGACTGGTGATTTGTCTTCGTATCTGGATGGGTTAAACTGGCTATCTCGGCGTTAGGATTTAACAGTGCCATAGTTCGTTGGTTGCTGGCCTATTGGGTTCATTTTTTCGGTTTCATTTAAGGGCGGGTGGATTGATTTGAGACTTCGATAGCCAGATATGGCGGGAGATTGGTAGCAAGAATGAAATGCCTTGCCCATAACATCATTTTCCATTGTTGCTAGGGTTGAGGTCTACTTGGTGAGAACGCCGATGACGTGTGGCATGGTGTAGTACCACGGCTCGTCGGCCAGCGGGTGCACGTCGACCTGCGACCAGGGGCCGGCCTCGCGCAGCCACTTGCCCGTCTCGCGGCACATCTGGCAGCCGCCGACGATGTGTGGCCAGAGGAAGTTGAGGAAGGCTGTCATGTGAGTGTCTGCTTTGCTTGGCACTCGAGGGGGGAAAAAAAACAATAAATGAAGAGAGCAACACTTACACTGGTACACCCTCATCCCCCATGGCTGATGCTGGAAGCACTTAACATGCTCATACACATACCATCGTCCGCCCGGCTTCAAGTAGTTATACAACAACGCCATATTCTTCCTCGGCTCAGGGATACTGCACAGACACATAATCGTGACGATGCAGTCCACACTATTCGGCTTAACCTTCCCTGACTCTGCCAAGCTCTCCACGCCGACAGGGACGATCTCATAATGCGTCTGCCCTCCAGAAGGCTTGTCCAACCCCGCCTCACGAACTTGGGTTTTCAGCAGTGGGTGGACATCGGTGTTGGGCTCAACACCATAGATCTTCGCGATCGGACCCAGGCGGTTCTCGCGTTGGGAGGTAGCCGAGAAGAGGGACACCCACATGCCTGAGCCGGGGCCGAGTTCGAGGAGGGTGCCGTGGATGGGGGGGTGGGGGTTATCATTTGGGTTGGAAGATGGGACAGAGTCCTCGGGGGGAACCACACCAGCTGTGACACGGCCTTGGAGGAGGGGGAGGACGTTTTTGGTGGCGTTGAGGCGGACTTCGGGGCCGACGCGGGACCAGAAGGCGGCGAACCACTGGGTGGGTTAACTTCATGTCAATAAACGGAGAGGGAGCGAAGGAGGAGTTGAGACGGGTGTTGAAAGGGAGGAGGTATGACAAATGATAGGGAGGGGGGGGGTCTTGACGGTCATTCAAGGGGGAAGAAGTATCACCCCGGCGTGAGGCCTTTTATGACCTTGTTGGGTACTGTATGAAGAAATTAAGGCGAACCAGATGGGAGAAAACCTACAGCAGCTTGAAACCGAGACCAAGAGAACAGCGTGCGAAAGTCCCGGGCGACGACCAGACGGAGGATGGTGCCCGGCAGATAGGACAGCGCCAGGCCCATGAACATCCATGGGTCGATGAGCGAGGCTAGGACGGGGGGAAGCATCTTGCTTGATTGATTACCCCGCGAAGCTTGATTTTAAGTCTGATGAGGGCTGATGAGGAGTTAAGATGAAATCTGTGTTGAGAGGAATGCCTGAAAAGAATATAGTTCTGAGAAAAAAGCTCAAGCTCAGCTATGGTCATGGAAAACTATATCCCCCACCATATACGCGTGAGAGCCGCAAGCAAGTTACATCTCTCCATCCAACTCCTGCTGCAAAAAACAGGTAAAATCCAAGAAACAACTCACTCGTCGGCCCTCGGTGACTTTGCGGATACTTCTCCGTCAGCCGACGCACTCAAATGCTCCCAAGCATGCAGATGACGTCTGAGGTCCACGACCCCGGCCAAGTGTCAAAAACGGCAAAAAGGAACCTTGTTTTGAGGGTTAGGGTTTATCAAAGCTTGGCGCTGCACCCCGGTTGTGATAAGAAAGCTTGGCTGGAAGAAAGGCCAATCCTAAGGGGGCGATAAGATATCGAGACTATGACCACGCTGGCTGCTAGGCGCTGTTGCGCTGCTGGAGCTTTTCTTTTTGGACCCTGGTGTAAGTCGATCTTTGATCTCGATCTCGAAGAGTTTTGAGAGAGGTCGAGTTTCTGTGGCATGCTAGCTGGTTGAAAAACCTGAGGCTTAGGGACGGCGAAAGCAATTGGGATTATTCTTAACAATATCTTTGAGAGAGAGCAAACTTGGAGGGAAGGGGAAGAGAGGAAGAGAGCGCAGCAAAAACGCAGACGAAGAGGTATTACGCCCGGCTGCTTGTACAGCGCCGGACGGATCGTGAGAGGGAGTGTGACGGAGAGGACAGCACAGCCATACCGAGCGCACGACGCAAATCAAACCAGTCTGGCTTTCTGAAGCAACAGCCAGCACGCAGCAGCCATGAGGTTCTACAAGACCATTCTGCTACCTCTCTTAGCGCTGGCGCAGTTTGCGCTCGGCGCGGAGGACTACTACAAGGTGCGTCCCCAGAGATGTTGGTGATGCGTCTTGCAAGCATGCTGACCTTTCTAGATCCTCGGCCTCAACCGCGACGCCACCGACAAGCAAATCAAGTCCGCCTACCGGCAACTCAGCAAGAAATACCACCCCGATAAGAACCCGTACGTTCTCTTTCCTCCCTCCGTACTCCCGACCTCCAACTAACCCCCAACAGAGGCGACCCCTCCGCCCACGAAAAATTCGTCCAGGTGTCCGAAGCCTACGAAGCCCTTTCCGACCCCGAATCCCGCCAAATCTACGACCAATTCGGCCACGAGGGCCTCAAACAACGCAAGCAAGGCAACGGTTTTCAGCACCACGACCCGTTCGATCTCTTTAGCCGGTTCTTCGGCGGCGGCGGGCACTTCAACACTCACCCGGGCCAACGCCGCGGTCCCAACATCGAGGTCAAGGTCTCCGTCTCTCTGAAGGATTTCTACAACGGGGGAACCACCGAGTTTACCTGGGACAAGCAGGAGATATGCGAACACTGCGCCGGGACGGGTGCCGCGGACAAGGTTGTGCACACGTGCCCGTCGTGCGGCGGCAAGGGCGTCAAAATGGTGCGCTCGCAGTTCGCTCCGGGCATGTTTACCCAGGTGCAGATGCAATGTGATGCGTGCGGGGGGAGGGGCAAGACCATTGCGAAGCGGTGCCCCGTGTGTCATGGGGACAGGGTGGTGAGGAAGGCGACCCCAGTCACGGTGCAGGTAGAGAGGGGCATGGGGGATGGGACGAGGGTTGTGTATGAGAATGAGGCGGACGCGAGTCCGGATTGGGTCGCGGGGGATCTGATTGTTACGTTGGTGGAAAAGGAGCCGGAGTTGGAGGAGGGGGCAAGGCCCGAGGAGAGGGTAGATGGGGTGTTCTTTAGGAGGAGGGGGGATGATCTCTTCTGGACGGAGGTTCTTTCACTTAGGGAGGCGTTGTTGGGTGATTGGTCGAGGAATATCACGCATCTGGATGGGCATGTCGTCAGGTTAGGACGGAAGAGAGGGCAGGTCGTGCAGCCGGGCCATGTAGACACTATCCCTGGGGAGGGCATGCCAGTGTGGCATGAGGACGGGGATAGTGTGTACCACAAGACAGAGTACGGGAATCTGTATGTGGAGTATGTCGTCGTGCTGCCGGATCAGATGGAAAGCGGCATGGAAAAGGATCTGTGGGCTGTGTTTGAGAAGTGGCGGGCGAAGAAGGGGGTCAACTTGCATAAGGATAGTGGACGGCCAGAGTATATTGTTACGGGGGAGAGGCCGCCTGTGCATGAGGAGTTATGAGGAGTTGGTAGAGGGGAGGGATTAAACAGTTAGAGAGTGGTACATAGGATATATGGGACTGTTTCTGCTTCTGGGTTTGGAGGTTTTGTTCCATGGTTAGATGACGTCGTTTCATGATGTTACTAGTTTGTGAATAGACTTGAAGTCAACGGTTACAGACACATGAAACTATGCAGAAACAGAGAAATATCGTTCCTATGTGATAAGAGCGGACAGACAGTCTAAGGCCAAACTCAAAATGGGACGTATATATTCGTCAAAGGGTACTTCAAGGTCATGTCTAGCAGAGTGTCGTCAAGGCGATATATAACTGACAGATGGGAAATCATCGCAGAAAGACAGTCGTAACTCATCAAATCATAAGCCGAAATGATTCCTCAAACTCCCATGCCAAACCTCCGCCTACCTTCTCCGATGTCTCCTCTTCGGATCAACATCATTATCGTCATGGTCATAAACATGGTCATGGTCATCACGAAGGCAAATCAAATCATTTCCCCGGATCCTCCCCTTGCTGCTTTCCTTGCGCTCATTGGTTTTTGAACGACCAGAGCGCTTCTCTCGTTCCTCTTCCCTCTTTCTATCCCTCCTTTCTCTCGCATCATCACTGCCGTGTCTGTCTTTCTTCCGACGGTCCCTATCCCGTTCTCCTTCCCGTTCCGGCTCCCTATCTATAATCCTCTCCCCATCCTTCCGATCCTTATCTCTATCGCGGTCTTGAATCCTTTCTTTTGCCTTCCTCCTCTTCTCCTTCTCCTCTCTGTCCCGCTCAATATCCTCCAACAATCCTCCCCCAAGCAACCCCCCAATCAGTCCCAACAACCCTCCACCCGTCCCCTCTAAAACCTCCGTCACACCCTGCACAATCTGCTCCACAACCTCCGCATCCGTTCCCGACACCCCCCACTCCCCATGCACATTGCGGTAATTGAACTCCCCCCGCCGACTATGCATCCTAGAACCCCCTGTCCTAGACGAGGTAGGCGACCCATCGAGCGGTCTGCCCTGAGAGTCGAACCTGTCAGGAAGGAACTCAATCGAGTCGTCGTCATCTATCGTTGAACGACGGGTCATGCTAGGAATGGTTATATCGGCATCGCTTATGGTAGATTCAGTGTCGGATTTGTTGTCTTTACCGTCCAGCTTGGAGTGATGCCGACGAAGTGTAGCTTGGGATTGGGGAGATAAAGGGCCGAAGGTGACGGATTTGACTGTGCGGGGGCTTTCGGGTTCGGGGATGTCGGGAGGAGGGATGGGTGTGGTGTCTAGACGATCTGTATTGTAGCGTCAGTCAGCATTCCACTGTCTCGCAGGCCTGATGTCGTGATAATAGTTAAGCGGTCCCGCAGAGCAGAGCAAGCAGAGCAGACGCACCCTTGTTACCGACTACGGAGGGAGCGATGGCTTCTGCTGGTGGTGCTTGTGGCTGTGACTGTGGGGTTGGGTTTTCTCCTGCAGCGGGACGACCAGCACAAGAAGCTTCACTCACATGTTCAGGTCGCGTTGGCGTGGCCGGAGGTAGGGCGCCCGCCATCGTTGCTGGAGGCGGCGGCGGCGGCGGCGGCGGTGGTGGTGCCGGCGGAGGGGGACCATACTGTGAGTTCGGAGGATGGTATGCCGTGTATTGCTTGTCCGAAGGAGACGTGTACTGGGGGTATCCGTTACCCGAAGGCGGAGGCGGAGGAGGAGGAGGAGGAGTAGGAGGGATGTTCGAATAGCCCTGCGGTGGAGGGGCATTCGGAGGAGGGGGAGCGTGAGGCGATCCGGGGAGGTCATATCGGTATGCCTTCTCCTCTTCCTCATAGCCTGTTCACTTGTCAGCACCCGTCATCAACAATCTGAGGAAGACAAAAGCAGCTCACGTCTCCGATCCCTCTCCAGACCCTTTCTCCTCTCCCGCTCGCGCTCCCTCTCCCGATCTCTCTCCCTCGACCAAGACCTCGACCGGGACCTCGACCTGCTTCTCTGTCTCTCCCTGGACCTGGATCTCCCTCTCTCTTCCTTCTCCTTCCCCTTGTCACTCAACTTCTTCAACCCAATGGCAGCAGCGCCTACAGCCGCCGCACCAACTGCTGCATCACGCAACCTACTGCCACTTCTCTTCTTCTCCGGCTTCTTATGCTGCTCACCTTCGCTATCAACAAAGTATTCATCCTCGCCTCTGCGTCCCCTCGAGCCGCGCCGATGGGTCTGGCTGCGGCTCCTGCTCCGATGTCTTTCCTCACTAGCCGAATCATACCCGGCCGTCATCTCAGGAGGATACTCATCTGGGTACGGAGTTTGAGAGACAACAGGGCGATCGCCGTACTCGACCATGCCCAACTCCACGTCGGGGTATTCCGGGCGGCTTCTGCTTCTGCTTCTGCTTCTGCTTCTGCTTCTGCTTCTGCTTCGGCTTCGGCTGTGGCTGTGGCTGTGGCTGCGATCGCGACGGCGACGGTCGCGCTCGAACTCAGATTCATAGTCGCTCTCGCCGCGGTCGCGATCACGCTCGCGCTCTTTGGCTTCTTTCTTCTCCTTGTGAGAGTCATAAAGCTTCTTGGCCCCAGCGCCAGCCAGGCCAGCAGCAGTCATCTCGGCAACAGTCCTGAGACGAGACCGCGACCGGCTCTTTCCATCGCGCGACTTGCTCTTGTGGCGATAATGCTGCAACAACCCAGTAGCAGCGGCCGTGGCCACCGCCGCCTTAGCCAGCGATGACGCCCGGCTCTTGGAGCGCTTGCGACTAGGTGACCGGTCCGGATCGGTATCGCTATCCTCGCGACGAAGCGACCGGCCACGGTTCATCTCTTCTTTCTCGATCTTGCTAGCCTCGTAGTATTTCGCCGCGCCGGCCGCAGCAAGCGCAAGGGCGGCGATACCCAGACCAGTCTTGAGCTTCGAGTGAGGGGGTGAGCGAGACCGTGACCGCGACCGGCCTCTCTCCTCGTCACCGCCAAAGTGCTCCTGGAGAGCGTTGTGTGCGCGCCGGGCAATTTCAGTTGCGACAGCGCCTAGAGCAGCACCAGCCAAGACCTTGCGACCGCGATGCTCCTGCAGCTCGCCGTTCGAGTCGCGCCGCGAGGCCATGATGGCGCCCAGACCAGCGCCGGCGAGAGCACCCTCGGCGATATGCCGCTTACGGTGTGGGCTGCGGCTGCTTGATGAGCTGCGAGAACGACTGCGACTGCGACTGCGACTGCGACTGCGCTCCTTGTGGCTGTTCTTGCGCCTGATACGGCGCTCGCCATCGGACGTCGCATCGCTGTGCCGTCTGCGGCTGCGACTGTGGTGACGGGAGCGATGATGATGATGATGATGATGGTGATGGTGATGGCAATGATGGTGTTTGTGGTCATCCTCATCTTCGCGACGGTCCCCTTTGTAGGGTGTCACCTCGCGAGTCTCCCGGTGATAGTAGTACTCATCAATTGACGGGCGTCGAGCGAGAGCGATCTCTTTGGTGTCAACCTCGCGCTCCCGGAGAACAAGCGGTGCGCCGACCTCGGTGTAGACGACTCTTCCCTCCGGGTGACGGTCCCGGTCCCGAACCATAACTGGCTCATAATACTCCATCTCCCTGCGCCAGCGTTCGCCATCATCATCCCGGCGCTCTTCAATGCGTCTCTCAACCAAGACCTCTCCATGCGATCCCCTCCGCTCAATGCGCTTTTCAACTCTCACTTCCGTCTCCTTATCATCATCCCAATACGTCCCCGACCTCCTCTCCCAGTCGCGAGGGGTCCTAGGCGAGTGAGGATATGACTCCGGGCGATCAACCCTCTCCACCTCCCTCGTCGTCGCCTCATAGACAACCCGTCCGCGATCACGATCGCGGTCGCGCTCATCGACCCGATAATACTCAACCCCATCATCATCCCTATCCCTCGCCGCAACTTGCCTCTCCACGACGGTATACGTCCGCTCAGGATACCCCTCGCGGTCGTGGCGCTCGACCTCGATTACATCGTCTAGGCTGGGCCGACGCGCACGAGGGGCGTAGCGAGCGCCGCTGCGACGTTCCTCTATCTCTGCTTCTTCGATGACCTCGACCTCGTCAAGGTGGTCGTGGTAGCCACTCTCGCCGCTGCGGTCGGGGACGACCTTGTATCGGCGGACGATTGTTCGCTTGTAGCCGCCGTCGTCGTCGGACGCGTCACCCTCACGGGTGTAGCGGTACACCTCGGGCATTGTTGTTGGGCTGCCGCACGCGGGGTATAGAGTCTTGTGTGGGATTGAAAACAAAAGTGTGCCTATGACGAGCAGGTAAAGTGGTAGAGCAGCTTAAGTTGGTAGCAAATGATGCTCGATATTGGATCAGGTGATCAGACCTGGACAGCAAGCGGGGTTATGAGGTTGGGAAAACAAAAAAAAAAAAGATGGAAGCAAAGAAAATAAGGTTGGAGGAGGGGGGGAGGGGGAAGAGAGAGGGAAAGTCAAGATGTTTCGGGTTGGATCAAAAAATTCAAGCGGGGTCCACGAGATGCCTTGGAAAGTATAAGAGGGCTGAGTGAGGTTGTGAGCAGGGCAGTAACGAGGCGGTGGTACCTGCCGGTATAAGAGATGATGAGTAAGAGAGGAGGGGGTAAAAGGGTGGACCTCTTGAGTCTTGGTCAACAACCTGGAAAGGAATGAAAGAAGAGGGGGGCACAAGTGATAGTGGTAACTGGTGAAAGCTAGCTCCTCCTGCCTGCTGACAGTCCCTACCTGGCATTTGCTGCAAGAAAGAGAAAGCAGGAAGCAGGATTACGTTGAATTATGTGAGTGGGAGCCAGCCTACACCTGTCTAGCCAATTGCCCTGCATCCCTCTTTAGGGTATCTTCGTGTCTCTGCATTCTGGAAGCGCTACCCTGCTGTGCCCCGCGATGACATGCAGAACGTCGGAAACCAACCATGCGGCGCAGCGAGATCCTCGTCCAACTCAAAGAAGCATAAAAATGCCCGCCTCCCCAAGGCTCGATGTCTCGATTCTTGACGCTGTAACGACTAGAGTGTTCTTGAAGTCCCTTTCCAAACTTGTTGGCCCAAGTAAATGACCCAGAGAGCTCGAGATTGAGCTGTCTCCCTTCGCTTAGTGCGGTACGAAACAAAGTCAAGATGTGTGAGACCAACATGGCCATTAACAATGACCTTGCATCAATTAATGTAAGTGCCTAACCAACGGGCCTGTAGCTGAGCACCAACAGGCAGACGATAGGTAGGATGGCGGCACTGATGCCGTCCGGTGGCCGAAGCACACCGCTCTTGACCTGACCTGCATCATGGTGGCAGCCCGTTGGGTGACCCTCCAGCGCAGTCATAGTGGCCTCTCTTTGTCCACACCATCCCTTCTTCATCAACACTTGTTGATGATACCGAGACTGAAAACAGTATCTGTTCAACTATAGTATCAGCAAGCAGACCGATGTTGTGCTACATCTCATCTCACAGACGAAGCTTCTAACTCCCCTCCATCGAGGGTATCCCGGGCTCAGAGCCAGTTTGTCAAACTCATCCCCCAAATCTTTTTTGCCCAGAAACCCCCAACCTTCTCGAAGCCCTTGACCTGCTAGATAGGGGCGTTGACATCGAGGCGAGGTGCATGCCCAGCAAGCCGCAGGGCACCGACTAACCCCACCTGCGCCCCCTTAAAACCTGTCTTATAAACCAGAGGCCGGGAGAGCCGTTCGTTACGGAAGATAGCGAAGTAATAAAAAAAAAAGAGAGAGAGAGAGAGAGAGAGAGAGACCTTAGTAAATCTGCTCTAGTGCCAGTGGGCCAAAGGGCGCAGGTCTGTCTGTCTGTGACATGACCTACATTGGTCACCAGAACAGATGGCCTCGTGACATGACTAGATTGGACCGAAGGCGGCTGGCTTGGATACGGGTGTGTATGTGGCTGCCTTGTCGGGAGCCCGTGGCCGGGGTGGACAAAGCTTGGTTGAGGGAGAGCTCGTGGTCGAACTCGAATTTAGTGAGACTTGAGAGACCAATGAATGAGCGTACAGGTTTTCGGGGTTTGGTTGCTGATGTTCAGATTGGGCTTCGGCAAACATTGCTTTTGATGATGATCGATAATTGGATTCTGCGAATGGGAATTGTGTTACCCCTCCCCCGCATTGTCTTGGACGTGGGCAGGATTCTAGATCCCCCAACACAATTTTAGAAAAGATGCTTCAAAACTTCATGAAATGGATCAAGAATTTCTACTCAAGAAAATCTCATTTTTATTGACATAAATGCCTAGCTAGAGATGACTTAGGAGGTAAGAGATGAAAGCCGTTTGACGTTGATATGAGTTGAGCTCCATTTCATTCAAGCCGGGCAATTTCGTCACTGCTTCACAGCGTGGCCGAGATAAGAACGCCAAGCCTCCACATTCAGGATCAATTCTCGAGGGTGCTTTGGTAAGGTTAAAAACTTAGGGTGACAGGAGTCAAGGCACAGATTTTGTAGAAGGAATCTATCGCGCATAATAATCGCAGCAAACTCATCCAGGGGCTGTAACTGGCTGATCACCGGATTCAGGAGAAAGCGCCACTGACGGCTGGGCGCAGATGGGGCTTCAAGTCCGGCATTCCCCGGGGCCTATCACTCGGAGTCCTCCTTGACCCCCTGGATGACCATAGAATATCATCACATCAGTCAACAAACCGTCAAGTCAGAAGCCCAAGAAGATGGTCATGGAAGAGCGTCGCATTGTCTTGGCGATACTCTGGGTTGCGGGCGCAACAACACGGCCAACTTCGCGGGACGGGCACACCACGAGAATCGGCGCGATTCCCAGGTCAGTCAGATCCTGACACCGCCAGCTCAGCCCGATCCGCACTTGCTCAAAAGCGCATCTTTGCTCAAATTCCGAAAAAGCTACGCCCATGAACCAGGATCCCTAACATCATAACCTCCATCCCTTTGGCCGTGAATGCGAGACGCCGCCGCATACCCATGCAATTTTGAGGAGTAAAAAGGGAACCCGAAGAGTCAACGCCGCGCCCTGCCCAAGTCGAGAGCAGTTTAGTCGAAGAGACCGAAGCCCATGTCCTCGTCCGACTCCTCCTTCTCTGCACCGGTTGTCAGTCGTCCGTATTATGAAACATGGGAACTGCCATAGCCTGGCAGCGGGAAAACTCACCCTCCTCCTTCTTCTCCTCCTTGGCCTCCTCGGCGGGAGCAGCAGCAGCAGCAGCCGCACCACCGGCCGCAGGGGCAGCGGCAGCACCACCGCCGGAGCCGACGGCAGAGAGGAGGTCCTTCACGTCCTTGCCCTCAAGAGCCTGTAGTGTAAAACAGTCCCAGTCAGCCATCCTGAACCCCATATGTCTAAAAAGAAATCCCATCTCAATTTGATCGCGAAATCCCTTATATCGCGAACTCTCGTGATGTGGCGTCGGAATTTCGTACCTTGGCGAAAAGGGAGGCCCAGATGGGCTCGACCTCAGTGACGCCAGCGGCCTTGATGAGGGTGTTGATCTTGTCGGCCTGAATTGGAGCATATTAGCGACTCATCTCAACTGACTGTCTGGGCCCCGCGCAAAATCGCCCAGGTCACAAAGGCTCAGAGGTGATGCTCACAGTGATCTCAACACCGTCGTCGGCGAGGATCAGCGCCGCGTAGGACGTCGCAAGCTCAGCGGTAGACATTTTGAATGTGGTTGTCGAGGGCGCAAGTGCTGAACTCGAAGGACTGGTGGTTTGACGTGGGATGTTGAGGCCGAGCTTTGAAATTCGCGAAAAGAAATTAAGTTGTGGGCGCTCGAAAACAGAATAGCGTGGCCCTACGCCTGGCAGCTGGCACAAGCTTTTCGCCGGCTGTCACCATTCCGTCGGCCCAGGTTCGCTCGAGAAGACCCTGATTGGCCGGAACCGATGGAGACAAGGCCAACCAATCCTCCGCTCATGTCTAGGGGGATTGCCTGCATCTCGGCGTCCAGCTGCCCCACCATCGAGCTACCCCACCATTGACGTCGGACGAGGGCGAGCATCATGTTAGGGAAGTGACAAGCACGAGAAGAGGCAACTTCTCTCAAGTCACAACTAGTGTGGCCAAGAAAGTCGGCACCATTTACCAGTGCACCCATATAAAAGCTGGCGCTTTACTGTATGCTACCAACCTACTGTTTTGTTGCTCCAGGAATCAATTCAAATTCGATACACTTACAATTGACCATCTTCCAGCATCGTGTCGGGTGGCGTCAGTAGCGGGCCATCCCCCCCAGATCGATCCTCCAACCTTGCCGATCGAGCCGTGTGGAGTGTAAACTGGCGGCCTCGTGTCCTGCTCTTCCATCCTACAAGTTCTGAAGAGAAGGCCGACCTGCCCCTGAGACAACTCTCTGTAACTTCCATCCAGCATCCTCTCCATACCTACACCAGAGATGGACACCCCAGCGATACCCTTACCCAAAGATGAACGGGAGCGCCAGATCCTCGACAAGCTCACGGTCATCCGGGACAAGCTCATCCTGCTGAAGCGCGATCGCACAAAATATATTCGGTCGCAGGATGTCATGGTACTGTACGATGAGCTCATTGAGCAGGTTAAGCACCTGAACGAAATTCGGAAGGGGCAGTGCCATGGAGAGAACCGATGTGAGGTGGCCTAGGTAACATGGCTCCAACAAAGACGTATGCTGACACCATACTAGTGGATAAGGTATTGGAGAGCTGCTTCCAGCTTATTTCGCTATTCTTCATGACAGTCGGGAGAACGAACGAAGCCCCGGCGGCGTATGCGGTGACCTCGACCATAAAGCGGCTGTTGGACCACCTGACAGAAGCCGGACTCTACTCGCCCAAAGACCTCGAGAGCATAGCAACCACACTCAGCAAGCTGGACGTCATCCTGGAGAACGCCGAAGAGACACACTCCCCATACCTGATCGAGCTGCTCGAGCATCGCACGAAGCTGTGCAAGTACATGCTAGCCAAGCTGCAGACGAAGCTGGACGAGATGGACAAGCCGCTTCAGGCGATATACGAGAAGCTCATCTCCATCATGCGATCCATGTCGTTAGCCAACACCAAGACTAAGGTAGGCCACCGAGCACCGTGTTACTGGCGATGGCTGACCTGGCCCAGTTCTCGACGAAAGAGGTCCTGAGACTACAGGAAAAACTCAAGGAGATAGATGCTTCTCGAGTAAACGGCAAGTTCGTGGACAAGGATGGCAAAGAGTACTCTGGGAGCGACACCGTATCGGAACTGCTGAGCCGCTGCCTGACCTGGTCCGACATAGTTCTCGACAGGTATGTGCTGAGTAATCCTCAATGTCTACTTCTCTAACACACACATCAGGAAAGGCGCAATCCCTGAAGCGTTCCGCGACAAGTACGAGGTGCTCATCCGGATTCGCAACGACTTGGAGCGCATTTCGATCACACAAGCGTGGTCGCTGCGCGAGACTGACCTCTACGACTTCCAGCGCGAGCTGGACAAGATCGACGAGGCGCGCGTCAACGGCAACTTCATCGATCCCGACGGCAACCCGGCCGAGCTGTACGTGCAGCGCACGCTGCTCTACTTGATTCGGCGCAGCTACGGCTACATCTACTACCTCATGTGCTCATCGGAACCCGTTTCGGAGGCGCTTTTGCCGGTCTACAACCAGCTGCAGACGCTGAAGCGATGCCTGGTGGAGGTCAAGAACAGTGGCGGTGTCAGCTCGGTGCGCGAGCTGTACCCTTACAGCTTGAAGCTCAATTCTATCGATAACATGCGGGTTGATGGCAAGTTCATGGTCGGGAATGATATCCCTGAGGGCCAGGGCAGCGTGTGCGAGCTGCTGGCGGAATGCTTTGACCTGGCGTATGAGTTGAGAGTGCAGGCGGATGAAATGGAGGATGAGGAGGAACGGCTGGCTCAGGGGCTTGGTGGGTCGAAGGATTGATCTACAAAAGACATGGCCGGTTGTGCGGAAGGCACGTTGTATCAACATGTGGTATACTATATTTGGCGCTTGGTGTTGGATGGGATCTGGGGAACGGGTTGACAGCGTTTTTGAGTACATTTCAGGGGGTATGAACATTGCATGGAGCGTTGAATTGATATATTGATATGGCCTGCTATGAGCTCTCATCATGCATGAAGTGATTATCTTCCTTCCTGGCTCATCGCTCTCCTGAAGGAACTTATTTCTGGGTCCTGAAGGCACACAGCAGAGGCCAGATTTGGGCCTGCACATCATACCCTGTCAACACCTTAACTTGCTTGTAGTAAACAAGGTTATATAACTTACGTTCTCGACATCCCACACACCAACCTGCGCGTAGACGTCCTTGCGCAAGATCTCCTTGATCTCCTCGCGGCTAGTGGCCTGCACGACCAGGGTGCTGCCGGCGAAGCTGAAGTCCTTGGGGTCGTCGGAAGTGGGGACGTCGTTGAGGACGGCGCCTTTACAAGGGGTCAGTATGGGCTTCCGTGAGAAGGGATTGTGGTGTCCAGTTTGGGGGGAGGAGATGAAGTGTGTGGATACGAGAGTATTGAAGGATGGGCCCGATGTTAAGTGAGAAGAGCCGCCGAGGGGGGGGGGGCAGGGGGGTGTATGGTATGAAACTAAATAGAGAAAAGATTCGTAGGAGGGTTTTGGTCTTGACATAAGGCTATATGTTGGTATGGAATTAAAAGAAAGCTTATACATACCGCCCATCTGATAGACGCCAGACTCCTTGAAGGGGCCCAGACCGGCGAAGTGCTGACTGTTCATGATTCCAAGATCAGCATTGAGCCCAATCCTCACTCGATTGACTTTGGATGGAGTGGTCACATACGGCCGAACCTCAAGCCTCTTTTCATGCGCCCCAGGGAAGTCGGGCACAACAACAAGCCACTCGAACTTCGGAGCGTCGGTAGCCATGGTTCTCACAATTGTTCTGTGGATAGGAGCAAAGCGGGGTTTGAAACTAGGAACGCTACAATTTCTTGCAACGGTGGTGCAAGCAGAGTTTGTTCTGGCCAAAAGAGTACGAAGAGGCCGGGTCATGGGGTGATGCTTGGATGTATAAATAAGGGCGTGAGAGGCGACCGACAGGATCGGACGGGGGTCAGGTACAATGGCCGATCGGTAGTGAACAGAGAGCGGCGGGTCGGCAATCGACGGGATGGAGGGGTCGCGCAGCGCGGGGCTCCGCTCGTTGCGAGTTGCGCCGAGCCCGCTGAGGATGAGAGATGCGGGGGCCAAGGCTGAGGGCGGCTTGAGACTTAGGGTCTTGTGTTTACAAACGAGGGGTGAGGGTGTGTCACACAGATGACAGAGAGGTCATCAGAAAGCAGATTGGGAAAGAGTTGAAAATTTAAACCATATCTCATTTTCCGCTTGTATACCGCTGTCATGAGGAGTTCATTCCCACACGGAGGAGTGAGATGGGTCCCTTTTAACGGTCCACGGGTGTAAGCCAGATGCTCATAAACACATAGCCGTATCCTCCAATTCCCGTAACCCCCTCCCTCTTTCTGCTTAAATACGCCCACGGTTCCTCAAGAAAGCGAGCAATCAAATATCTCATACGCATCATCGTCTTCAAAATTCATTATCGGGCGACAACGGGGCCCCCCTGATTCTCACTTCCTTGCCTACCCTCTCCTTTTGCTCTTCTCTTCTCTTCTATTCATCTCCTCGCCTTCCTCCTAATTAACCACCAGCACGGCGCTAGGCGTCAACCCAGCCTCGGCCAGCGTCTGCCCAAAGTCTACCTTCTCGAACACCTTCCGAGGGAACGTAGTCGAGAACTTCTCCACGGGCGCGCCCACCTCGGCCTCAATAGACTGTGCGACCTCAAAGAGCGTCGTCTCGCTCGGGTAAGTCTTCACCAAATTTCCGTTTTTGGTCTGCAGGCGCAACCGAGCCGTGGCGGTGCTAGAACCAGAAGAGGCAAATGCCGCAGCAGCAGACGCCGTTGGGGAGGGGGCGTTAGGCTGCACGGTGTTCGGGAGCCGGCCCTCACGGAGAGCGCGGGCCTCCTCATCGCGGCGCTTGCGCTCGAGACGGTCGGCCTCAATGCGGGCCTTGATGCGGCGCTTCGCCTCAAGGTCCTCGAGCTTCTCTTGTTTCTTGCGCTGGGCCTCACGGATCTGCTCCTTGCGCTGAAGCTCCTCCTTTAGATCCTGAGCTTCTTTCGTGTTCTTCAAGCGAATCTGTTCGTTCCGCTTGGCTTCCTCGGCCTCCTTGGCGGCTTGGGCCGCCTTCTTCTCTTTGATCTTTCTGCGAAGCTCCTCGAGACGGGCCTTTTTCTCTTCCTCCGTCAGAGGAGCGATCTCCTCGGTCGACTCGGAGAAGTCGGTGTGCTCACTGGGATGGTTAACTTAAAAACAGGCCATTGTGAGAGGGTGTTGTACATACGTCTTAGCAGCATGGAAGGTCGCTTGATCGTGGTTCCGGAACCGCTTGCCACACTCATTGCAAACTAGAGACCTGGCCTGCTGTCCGGCACCCGACGACTCGGCGCCCTGCCCGACGGTGATGGCCGGGCCGGGCTTGGCCTCTTCGGCCTGGATCTCCTCCAGTGATTTGTCTTGATTCTCCTCGAGCCAGTTGAGCGCACCCTGCACTGCTGCATGTCAGCATCGAAGACGGATGAAGAGAGATCATGAGCGCAAACTCACAGCCGCCCCCCTTCTTCAGGGCGATCTCGGCCTTAGCCGGGTCGAAGCCCATCTCCTTCAGGAGATCGAGATCTGAAGTGGTCATGATCGCTTATTCGAGATGGACAGAAATTGGATTAGGGAACTTTTCGCTCTAACAAAAAAGCGAAAGATTGTTGGCTTAGGAAGTTAAGATCTTGGTCTCTTCAGCTTAATATAGGAGAAAGATGTCTCGAGTCGTTTGCAGGGTGGTGAGTGCAGCCGCACTGGAACTGGAACGTTCTGCGATGGCGGGGTAGGTAGAAGTGAGATCAACCCGTGGTCTAAGAAACGCAATTCCGCAGATGATGATCCGGCCAAGAGCAATGAAACGAGAGTTCTAAAAACTGAATACAGTTCCAATTGGATTCGAATATTTGTAAATATCCGTCTAAGTATTCAATCATTGCCACTCAAACTAAGGCAGGCACACACCAAGCTTAACCCGGCACTGAGGAACACCTGCAGGCAACCATAGCGCTCGCTGCGCTGCCCCGCTGTCCGCTGCGTGACAGCCTGACAGTTAGAAGGGCTCTCGTCTACGCAGCGAACACAGCGGTTGTCAGCGGAGGCAACACGTCATTGAGGTGCGCCCCACTGGCACCCATATTTAATTGGCAGACTCACGTGCTCTCCCACCATTCGGCTGTCGGAGATCACTTGACGCACAGACCCACAAACGTTGATTGGCTGGACCTAAACAGCGAGCGGGTTCGCTCCAGCGCAGCGCCGAGAAGAAGCAGGGGCCAAGCCGAGCAAAGGGAGGGCCAGGGCCGGGGGGGTGGCCCCAAGGAGGCAGCAGAAGAGCAACTCACTCGCTCGCTCGCTCACTCAGCAGAGTAGCCCAGAGACCAGGCCAGCTTTTGCCGCATCACACTCTCGTCCTGTTCCATCTGTTGTTTGTCTTTGACAGTCTGAGCGAAGAGTCAGAGAGAGAGAGAGAGAGAGAGAGAGAGAGAGAGAGAGAGAGAGAGAGAGAGAGAGAAGAAGAAGAAGAAGAAGAAGAAGAGAGAGAGAGAGAGAGAGAGAGAGAGAGAGAGAGAGAGAGAGAGAGAGAGGAAGGACAGACTTGCGCATGTCGTAAGACCTGACCTCGACGCCTGCTGCCAACAACTTCGACCTCGACCTGACCCTTTTACCCATTTCATCTTTCCACAGCCATTGTTGTTGCTGGCGCTGCAGTAGCCCCCTTTTCAGCCTTCGCCCGCGCTTTTATAATCCTCGATTTCCGTTTCGCTGTCGGCCTTCCGCGCAACTGCAGCGTGTCCATACCTAGCCGCCCGCATCTCACCGTCGCCTTCTCGGTCGCTTCAGCATCCATCGTCAATCACGTTCCTCGCACTTCGCGACCCGTACTGAGACACCACATACCACTCGATACACATCCGCAACCATGTCGGTCGCAATCAATCCTCTTGAGCTTGCCTTCCGCAGTATGTTTGAACCGTCGTCGACCGGATCTTCTGGACATAAGTGTTTCCTGACGCCATGTAGGGCCCTTCACCTCGGAGGTCGCGCAGATCCTCAAGATTACGAATCCCAATAACCAGCCTGTGGCTTTCAAGGTACGACCTGGCTCTGCTTCGCCGTTGAATAACGTGGCCATCGCTAACGACAACAGGTGAAAACAACTGCGCCGAAGCAGTACGTCTCCCCCTCTGCAGCCCCCGATCAAACACGTTTTCTGACGATCCCAGGTACTGCGTGCGCCCCAACTCGGGCCGCATCGAGCCTGGCGCTACTGTCGACGTGTCAGGTGAGTTGCCTAATGCCCCTATCTGTGAGAAAATTACTGCCTAACCCCCAGCAGTGCTTCTGCAGGCCATGAAACAAGAGCCCCCGCTCGACGTGAAGTGCCGCGACAAGTTCCTGGTTCAGTCTTGCATTATTACCAGTGATAAGGAGTTTAGCCCCGTTCAGCAGATCGTGGGTTCGCCCGGCTTTAGAGCTACTTACGAACGGCATTGCTAACGACTCTAACAGTGGGAAACTGTCCAAAAGGCCGATATCCAGGAGAAGAAGATCCGCGTGGCCTGGTTGCCGCCGATTGAGGAGCTGCGTCCCTTCTCGACGCCCAGCCGGCGGGATACTACCAACGGCGTATGCGCCCTACCCTTTCCCCTGCCTTACGGCATTTCTGTATGCTGACAGCTATCCAGACCGAAACCCCCGACATCGCCGCCCCCGCCTACACTCCTGCGCCCCCCGCCTACGAAACCACCCTCGACGAGACGCCCTCCGTCCCCATCAAACAAGAGCCTGTCGAGACGACCTCTTTCATTTCCACCGTTCCCCCGGCACCTACACAACAATCCGCCGCCATCGACAGCAGCCAAGCGACAATCGACGAGCTTCGGCAGCAGCTCTCGCAGGCGGAGGAGACGATCGCGCAGCTCAAGAGGGATATGGATAGTGGGCTCCGGCAGCGGAAGGTTGCCTTTTCTGCAGAGAAGGAGGAGAAGAGCGAGAAGGTGTCGCAGGCGGCTGCGGAGCTGGCGCAGGTGTCGAGGCGCGGGACGGAGGGCGTGCCTGTCCCGATTGCGGCGTTGTTGTGTTTGGCCAGCTTTTTGTTGGCTTATTTCCTTTTCTGAGGGGCCACGCTGCTGGGGTAGTGTGTCTGGTTGAAAATTTGAGGTTAAATGTATTGGAGGTTGCTTTTTTTTTTTTGAGGCTTTGACGGAGGATTGTTAGCAGATTTAGGGTAAGGGATGGATAAGTGGGGTGACCACGCTGCTGTGCTCCGTTGTTCTCCATATTGCCTTACCTGTTCTGATACAGGTCTGGGGTCTATATTTGGAGATGTATCATGGGGCGCTTACGCAGGTTCTTACCCCAAACCTTGTCAGGCGGTTGCGGAACTACGTACCAACAAACAGACGGCAAGAGAAGAAAGATACCAGGTGGACTTGCCTACCCTACCAATGGATGGAATCGGATCCATGGCATGGTTGGGAATGGATGGATGGATGGGACAGGATGGGATGGATGGGTCGGCTCTAACGGACTTCTATTGTCGGGACAAGGTAAAAGGAGTTTCGTTTACGAGCAGCAAGCAAGCAAGCACGAATGGTTGGTTGGACGGAAACAAGGGCATGGTTGGTCTGGCCTTACAACAGCTAACAACACATTGGCTTATTACTCCATCACTACCTTAAACCTTACCTACTTACTGTCTAGTGTTACTTTCTTTTTCTGCCTTTTGACGCTACGTCTACTACACCTACTGTTTTATTTTCTGTCTTTGTCGTTTGCTGTCTTTTTTTATTATATATGGAATGGTAGTTTGTTATGGTCGACGCTTGTTTGGTTGCTCGTGGGGAGGAGAGAGAGAGAGTGTGTGTGTGTGTGTGTATGTGTGTGTGTTTTTTTTTTCTGATGCTTGTTTCGATTTTGGAGGGGGTTGGGGTTGTTGTCTACTCTGAGGTGCCGATCACTATGTGTCTGTCTTAATGATTGGTGATGTTTCCAGAGGAGGATAAATAGGTCTGTTTGAGGATAGATAGCTAGGTAGGTACCCAGGTAGGTAGGTTAATGGCAATTGGAATGGGCTATGGGCAGTGAATTAAACACTTCTTCTCTCAGCTGAGCATCACCAAGTATACGACTTGTGTGTAGCGTGTGTAGTCGAAGTTGGATGTGACAACCATCATGCAGAACTCGAATGCTACGTACCCCGGCCCGCAAAGTGGGACGCTACCACAGATATGGATGACGTACCCAATCCTTTGTTCCCGTCCTTGATCCAAGTGTGCCGTTCATGCGTCGTCGACGTTAAGTGTTTCCGGCTATTTGGAACGCATAAACTTTGTCCGACAAGCCTCGATTCTTTAGTTTTTGGGTCGTTGTAACCTGAGGAAAGGACAGTTGCTTGAGCCACGTGGTGGTGACGTTCTTTATGAGCTGATTGTGTTATAGTGGTTGTGCTACCGTCGAGGGATTGGGTTATGTTTCTGACCACCATGGCGAAGCTCTCAAAAAAAAAAATAATGCTTGGTGTACTCACCAAAGAAAGATCCTGAGAAGGTTCAATAGAGCTGTCATCAAAACTGTATCTTAACATGGGAAACTGAAACGTCTATTCGACGGCAGGATCAAGAACCGATACGTCCAAGGGCTTAAGCACTCATAGGTGATGGTCAAGAGATGAACACAGAAACCGCGGAATAGTATATACTTGAGAACGCTCTATGTGATAGAAATCTACAACTTTGCGCGTCCCTCCCTCTTCTGCATGGTCTCGGCAACAATACGCCGCTGAATCTTGCCGGTAGCCGTCTTGGGCATGACGTCCGTAAAGTATACCTAGTAATTAATACAATCAGTACTTGTCCCCAAGCAATCTCTCTCCATAACAGCAAAACTCACCTTCTTCGGCACCTTGAACTTAGCCAGCTTCTCCCCCACCCATTTCTTCAGCTCCTCTTCATTCAGCCTGTGCCCTTGTTTCAGAACAATGGCAACCCCAATATCCTGCCCATACATCTCATCCGGAATCGCAAAACTAACCGCCTCCGACACAGCCGGGTGCCTAGCGAGCACATTATCCAGCTCAATCGGCGAGATCTTCTCACCCCCCTTATTAATGAGCTCCTTGATCCGCCCCGTGATAATCACATAGCCGTCCTCATCCTTCTTCCCCTGATCTCCCGTGCGGAAGTACCCGTCCTTCGTAAACGCGCTGGCGTTCGCCGAAGGGTTGTTTAAGTATCCCTTCGTCACGTTCTCGCCCTTGATGCAGATCTCTCCCTCCTTGCCTTGCGGAACGGGATTGCCCGCGTCGTCGAGGATGACGACCTCTACGCCTTGGCCTAGGCCGACGGTGCCCGGCTTGCGTTTGCCTGGCGGCAGCGGGTTGCTCGTCATTTGATGCGCAGCCTCGGTCATGGCATACGCTTCGAGGACGGGCGCGTGGAAGGTTTGTTCGAGCTGGTGGAAGACGGTTGGGGAGAGGGGGGACGAGCAGGAGCGGATGAAGCGGATCTTGGGGAGGGGTTTGGGGACCGGGTGTTTGAGCAGGATTTGGTGGATTGTGGGCACCGCGGTGTACCAGTTTGCGCCGTGGGCGATGAAATCGCGCCAGAAATCCGTCGCAGAGAAGCGAGGGGGCACGATCATCGAGCCGCCGGACAAGAGGGGGGCGAGTAGGCCGCAGAGCAGGCCGTGCACGTGGAAGAGGGGCATCACCAGCATGGTGCGGTCGGCGGGGGTGAGCTGATAAGTATTTTGGATGTTGCGCATGGTGCGAGTCAGGTTGCGGTGGGTGAGGGGGACGACCTTGGGGCGGGAGGTGGTGCCACTGGTGTGAAGGACCAGAGCGATGTCGTCGGGCTGGGGGACGAGGGACGGTTGGGAGGGAGCTCCCTCGAGCAGGCCGCGCTCCTTGACATCAAGGGCTACTTCGCGCTTCGCAGAGTCCCAGTAGCACTCGGCGATGGCGGCGCGGAACTTTTGCGCGGCCTTGACGGCTGGGGAGGCGGCGGCGTAGGCGCCGCGCGGTACGAGGACGATGGCTGATTTGACGTCTTCGATGTAGAACTCAAATTCTTCCTGCTTGTAGTTGGGGTTGAGCGGGGCCGCGATGGCGCGCTGCCAGGAGGCGGCCAGGAAGGAGACGATGAACTCGTACGAGTTGACCAGGGCGATGGACACTGGGGAGGACGTGGTGATGCCCAGAGCGGCGAGCTTCTTCTGGAAGGAGGAGACCTCGGCGACGAGGTCCTTGTAGGTCACTTCGAGGGCGGGCTTTCCGGGCACGATGACGGCCACGGAGTCGGGAGCACCCTGGATGGCGGACTGGAGGGTGGTCATGGTCACAGTGTTGTTCTGTGTACTGGAGTGGGAGAGTGGGAGAGTCCGATGAGACGAATGGTGAAAGGATGTAAGTGGGGGTATCACGACTCTCTTGTCGTCGATTTCGATGGGGTCAAACTCAAATAAAGAATACTGGACCGGCCGGCGTCAACTGCAATACAGAAGAACCCTCAACGGCAATAGGGCACAGTCATGAAAATTCTCAAGACGTGGCGCGCAGAGAGTCTGTCGTCAGTGGTCGGTGGTTGCCGGGTCCTGGCTCCATTCCGCGATTGTGTCATTGGCGCTATCGACAGGGGTCACAGCAGCGCTGCCGCAACGGACCGGCAGCCGAGACAAGCCATTGTCTGTTGTGGCTGAGCTCGGGAAAATCAGCAAAAAAAATAATAGAAAATAAACAAAAATTTAAAAATATTTGAATTGGATATCAATGATCTTCCAAGGCATTGCACGATCCATCGCATCCTGATGAGACTTCGCAAGCTTCGGCTTAGTCACCCGGCGACGCACTGTGCCCACACCTAGCCAAGTCCAAGTGGGTCTACAGGGGCTCCGATAAGATAAGGATTTGGAAGGCAAGCTCTCGATCTGCCATCAAACGTCACCCAGGCGATCTGAATCATATGCCAATCACTTCCCCAAAGCACACCCCTATCATCACCCCCCGCCATGTCGTCAAAACGGTACGCCTTCGTCCCAATGGACGATGAGCCGGCGCCATCCAAGAGCGACCGGCGCGACAGGGACAGGGACAGGGACCGCGACCGACGAGACAGACGAGACCGCAAACGCGACCGCTCGCATTCAAGATCTAGGTCCAAAGATCACTACAGAGACCGCTCCCGGTCACCTAGCTACAAGAGCCGACGCCGTGACGGTGATGACTCGCCCCGACGGCGATCCCGCTCGCCACGCGATCGTTCATCGAACACCCATTCAGCGACAACGACGACAACCACTACGCTCAACAAAGACGACGACCGCGAAGCCAAGCTCGCCGAGCTCCGTCTCAAGTCGCGTCAGCAATACCTCGCCAAGCGCGAGGCCGAAAAGCTAGCCCTCCTGCGCAAGCAGGTCGCGGAGGAAACAGCCGAGCTGCGGTCCGGCGTGCACCTGACGGAGCGCGAGAAGGCTGAGTTCGCCAAGAATCGCGAGATCCTTCGGTTAGCCGAGGAGCGCGCGCGGATTGATGATTATCAGGATGGCTACCGCTTGCCGGACCAGTATGGCGTCGATAGCAAGAAGAAGGAGCAAGCGCTGTACAAGAGGCATGTAGAGAGGGACGAGTTCGGGAATGAGAAGCATATTACCGAGTACGAGGAGTGGGAGAGAGAACAGACGCGCGCGGCCAAGGCGCAGATTAAGAGTCGGGAGCGGGAGGATCAAGGGGAGTATGATTTCTTGCTGGATGAGGATGCGATTACGTTTGTGAGGGACGCGGCCGCGGCGAAATTTCAGCCGCCGTCGGATGGGTTGACGCCCGAGCAGAGGCTGCTGAAGCAGAAGATTGAGGAGGCTGAGCGGGCGCAGAGGACGATCCAGGAGGTGCGCAAGAGTTTGCCGGTGTACGCCTACCGCGACGCCTTTCTGGATGCCGTCAAGGAGTACCAGGTCTTGATCCTAGTCGGTGAGACGGGTTCGGGTAAAACGACACAGATCCCGCAGTACCTACATGAAGCAGGCTACACCAAGGGCAACCGCAAGATTGCCTGTACCCAGCCGCGTCGAGTAGCTGCCATGAGTGTCGCGGCGCGTGTGGCAGACGAAATGGGCGTTCGTCTGGGCCACGAAGTTGGTTACTCGATCCGTTTCGAGGACTGCACGAGCGAGAAGACCATCCTCAAGTACATGACGGACGGTATGCTCCTGAGGGAAATGGTCACGTCACCCGACCTGGCTGATTACTCCTGCATCATGATTGACGAGGCGCACGAGCGGACGGTGCATACCGATATCCTCCTGGCCCTGATCAAAGACTTGACGAGGGCCCGTCCCGAGCTGCGGCTCATCATCTCATCTGCCACGCTCAATGCCGAAAAGTTCAGCGCCTACTTCGACGACGCGCCCATCTTCAACGTCCCTGGCCGTGTGCACCCCGTCGAGGTGTACTACACGTCCGCGCCGGAAAGCAATTACCTCGAGGCCGCGCTGGTCACGGTTTTCCAGATCCACGCGACCCAGCCCGAAGGCGACATCCTGGTCTTCCTAACAGGTCAGGAAGAAATCGAGCGAGCGTGCGAACGAGTGGAAGAAATCCGTCGGAAACTGGGCAAACGCGTCCCCGAGATCATCGCCCTCCCCATCTACTCCAACATGCCCTCGGAGATGCAAGCCAAGATCTTCGAGCCGACTCCCCCAGGAGCTCGGAAGGTTGTGTTTTCGACCAACATCGCCGAAACCTCCCTCACCATCGACGGCATCGTCTACGTCATCGACAGCGGCTATGTCAAGGAAAACACCTTCTCCCCCGTCGGCACAACCGGCCAGTCCACTCTCGCCGTCGTCCCCTGCTCCCGCGCCGCAGCCAACCAGCGCATGGGTCGTGCCGGTCGTGTCAAGCCCGGCAAGTGCTTCCGTCTGTACACCAAGTACGCCTACCTGAGCGAAATGGACGAGTCACCCACCCCCGAGATCCAACGCACTTCTTTGTCCTCCGTCGTCTTGCAGCTCAAGGCCTTGGGTATAGACGACCTGCTCGGATTCGACTTCCTCGACCCGCCGCCGACAGAACTATTGATCAAGTCGTTGAATATGCTCTACGCCCTGGGCGCACTCAACTCCGCCGGTCAGCTGACCCGCGTTGGCAGACAAATGGGCGAGTTCCCTACGGAACCAATGCTCGCCAAGGCGTTGATTGCTGCCACGCAAGAGGGGTGTGTGTCGGAGGTGTTGACCATCGTGTCCATGCTGGGCGAGGTTGGGACGCTCTTCTTCCGGCCCAAGGACAAGAAGGTGCACGCTGATAGTGCCAGGGCGAGATTCACGGTCCGTGACGGAGGCGATCATCTCACGCTGCTGAATATATATAACCAGTGGGTCGAGGCAGAGTACTCGCCTATTTGGGCAAGGGAGAACTTCCTCGCCCAACGGTCGCTCACCCGCGCACGGGATGTGCGTGATCAGCTTGCCAAGCTGTGTGACCGCATACTCGACGGGAGCGAGGCGAGCTGTGGAGGTGTGAACAACCCGACTCCCATTCTCCGCGCCCTAACGGCGGCGTTCTTCCTCAACGCCGCACGCTTAAACAGGGCAGGGGATGGGTATCGCACGTTAAAGAACAATATCACGGTGTATGTGCACCCGAGTAGCGTCGTGCGGGGGATGGATCCGCCGCCGAAGGTGATTATTTACCACGAGTTGGTGGTCACGTCGAAGGAGTATGTACGGAGTGTGATTCCCGTCGAACCGAGGTGGTTGAGTGAGTTTGGGGCACATTATTATGATAAGAAGGATGTCGAGGTGTTGGAGGCGAAGAAATTGCCTAGGAGGTAGGCATTGGGGGTTGAAGGGAGGGGGGGGGGTGTTATATAAAAGGTAAGCCGACTTAGCGTCTAAAGAAGGGTTCGGATGAGACGAAGGGTAATAATGTATGTAATCATTGTGGTTTGGGACGGCGTTAGGATAGGTTTTGGTTAGAGATATCCGGCATTTAAAACATGAAAAAGTTATCTGTTTTAATTCAAAGAAGAAATGGCTTACGGCTTAGTGTTGGGTCAATTAACACCTTGTTCCCTCAGCACCCACGAGTCGAAGCCCAGCAATAATCACGACCTTACGACAGATACATGTAAGTTAATTACAGTAAGTTACACAGGTCCTTGATATTTCCCCACACCGCCCCACATGACAGCCCCAGAGCTCCATTCTGCCCCGGCGATCCTGTCTCGCGCCTCGCAGGCAAGGCTGACGGCATCGTCGACTCTTTTAAACCATTCTAACACCTCCCACTTAAACTCATTCTTCCTCTAGCCCATTGAACACAAGAAGAAGCAATAATAACAATGTCAGCGCCGCCTCCATCAGGCAGAACAGGCCTCTCCCTCTACGCCAACCTCCTCGAAGAGGAATCCGCAACCATCTCCCGCGACCCAGTCTCGAACACCTCCAACGCCAGTGACGACGCCTCAGCAAAGAAACCGATCGACCCCGCCCTGCGCTTCCAACCCATCCGTCGGCCGCAAATAAAACAACCTGCCAAACCAAAAGCCCCAGTTTTTGCCAAAGCCGCCGCGGCAGCAGCAACAGCCCAACCAGGCGCAGCAGCCACAGCCGTCCCAGCCCCAGCACAACGCAGCACCCTCGCCGACTGGGCCGCGACAGAAGAAGATGAGTGGTTGTACGGGACGGGGGAGAAGAGACAGCGTGGCGGGAGGAGGAAAAAGAAGAAGAAGATGCAGGAAGAAGAATATAGGGAGACAGATTGGGATGAGTTGTATGACCCGGCCAGGCCGACGAATGTGGAGGAGTATTTGAGGAGTGAGGAACGGGTGAGGGAGGTTAGGGAGTGGAAGGAGGTATTGTACGCTCATAGGAGGGGGAGAGAGGAGAGTGAGAGTGAAGGGGAGGGGGGAAGAGTGGGATTGGGGAGTAAGTATACGTGGAGATGTATGTTTTCGGGAGTGGGAGAGGTTGCTAACGTTAAACAGATCAGTTTGCTCCGCCACCAACACTGTATGCGCCACCTCCGCCGTCACCTCCGAAGCCGTCAGCATCTATACCCGACGACGAGACTGGAGAGGAGGCATACCGTCGACGGTTGGCCATGTCCGGCCTGGCAAGGCCCCCTCCATCACCTTCTCCCCCACCTCCGGAGCCAGGAGGAGAAGAGTCTGCCCCTCCTCCTCCTCCGCCTCCTCCGCCTCCTCCGCCTCCAGAAGAGCCCTCAGCTCGACCCCCTCCCCCGCCGCCGACAGCAAGTTCAGCTACTATATCTCGTGCTCCAGTACGGTATACTCAACCCGCCCCCGACACCTCAACTCCCATGGACCTCGATTCAGATCACTCCGACTCCGGCGAAGTCAATTACGACAACATCATCCTGCCCCCCACCGCCCCCGACTCATCTTCCTCTGCCCCCTTAGGCACCGAAGGCGAAGCGCCCCCAACCAAGCTGCGTGGGAAAGTCTTTGCCCAAAAACTCATGGAAAAATATGGTTGGAAGCGCGGCACCGGTTTGGGAGCCAACAATTCCGGTATTACTTCTGCTTTAAGAGTTCAGATTGAGAAGCGCAAGCGGAAGCCGGATGCTGAGGGAGGAGGGTGGGCGGATCCCAAGGGGGGAAGAGGCAGGATTATTGCTCCTAAATCTTACTCTTCTACTGCTAAACAAGAGGGGGAGGGTCAAGGGGAGGGCAAGTTCGGTAAGACGTCGTGTGTAGTTGTGCTCAAGAATATGCTGGATAATATGGAGGATTTGGAGGCGGAAATTGAGGCAGGACTGGGGCAGGAGATTGGCGAGGAGTGTGGCGAGCGGTATGGGCGGGTTGAGAGGGTTTGTGTGGATGTGATCGGGAGGAGGGTGTTCATCAAGTTTGTGGAGGCTGTGAGTGCGTTGAGGGTAAGTTCCCCTTTCTCCAATTTTAAGAGGTCGAGCTGAAGACTGACCGATGATGATGATGACAGGCTGTAAATGCTCTTGAGGGGAGGGTATTTAATGGGAACTCGATTGTTGCGAGATTTTATGATGAGGAGAAGTTTGAGGCGGGGGATTATGATGGGTAGAGGGAAACATTTCGTCCTCAGAAATGCCACGATACCCCCTGCATGAGATGATGCTAGACGAAGCCTTCTCGCAGAAAGAATGCCTCATGGAACTTTGACTTTTGATGATCAGGTTCATGACTGGTGTGAGGGATATCAAAGGAGGGGACCAGATACCCAAAGCTTAATAGATGAACTCGGGTTCTCAATGGAGTAATACTGAAGCTCGGGGGGGTATTTATTACCTATGACTTTGTCTTTGTCTTGGAAGCCTCATTGAATCAAAACCAAAAAAAAAAAAAAAAAAAAAAAGATGAGCCATTCCTCTAATGACGACGGAAAGGGTTCAGTCCTGCCGTCCATCAATAATCTGGTTCCTTCAAAGCCTGGCTTTCCCCTTATAATCCGCCTTCAACGGGACTTTCGGATGATCACCAGCCAACTTCAAGCCCGTAATCTTCTCGAGCTCATCAACCGCCTCATATGCCCTCCCAAGCGGGACCTTGATCGTCCCAAACCCAGCATTCTTCGCGGCCTTCAGATTCTCCCCAATATCATCCAAAAACACAATCTCATCCGCCCGCACACCCTCCTCCCAATTAATCCCCTCCTCCCTCGCAGCCCGGCCCCTCTCCGTCTTTGCATTCGCCCTCGCAAACTCATCTACCTTCTTCAGCGCCAGCTGGTAGATCCTCGGATCCGGCTTCCTCAGACCGACGTGCGCCGACGAAATAAACACGTCAAACAAACTCCTCAGCGGATCCTTCTTCGGATCGTCGCTCAACGCAGCCAGCTCGTGCCCGGGGGGAAAGATCACTGTGTTGCTCAGCGCCGCGATGATGAATTTCCCTGACTTGCGCAGCGCTTGAAGGGCAGGGAACATCCAGGGGTCGGGTGCGCGCGCAGAGCGCATCATGTCGAGGAACATGCGCTCGGCATCGATTTTGGGGAGAGGCGGGACTCTGGCGGGGAGAGAGGGGTCCCGCTTGCGCGCGACGGTATTGTAAAAGGTTTCCCAGCGGGAGGGGTCGTGAAGGTCGGAGGAAAAACCGGCGTACCAGGTCTTGTCGAGCGGCACTTCCCCGCGTTCGAGGCGGTGCCACCACCCATTAGGGGCGGTCCGAGAGATGGAGTAGTTTACCCAGCCGGGAGGGATGTTGAGGGAGAGCTCGGTGTTGAGGATTTCTTGGAAGGGGGAAATGACCTGATAGCAGTTAGGTCCCGGAACTGGGAACTGAACGTGGCTTTATGGGTGGGGGGATCGTACGCAGACGCCGCCGATGTCAAAGAGGAGGACCTTTGGCGTTTTTCGAGGGGCCATGGCTGCGATGATTCGGTTTCTTTCTTTTCCTGTTGTTTCTCTTGGAACTCCTCTATTTAAGTAATTACTCCGTAACTCCTGGCTGTAATAGCAAGCAAAGGTTGAGGGGAGACAAGCGCAAGACAAGAAGACATCTTCACCGGCTATCGTCCCCCGGCGTGTAAGTCGGCGTCGAGAACCTCGGCTCGGCTCAGCTGCCATCAGCTACTTATCGATAAGTATCCGAGAGGTTCCCTAGTCTTATCGATAAACTATAGGGGTCGTCCCCAACCCGAGTGCTGCCCCTCGTCGCCCACCCTGGTTCGCGTTAGGGTTGTGGGGTGAAATTTGGCCCACGAAATATTTCGAGCCGCCAATTTCTATCTTCGATTCTTGCAACCCGTCGACCAGCAGGACCAGTCCGCCCACGACAAGCAGTCAAAATGGTGAGTTAATACCACCGCAGGTCATCGCGTAGCCATTGCGGCATCGCGAATGGGAATTGGAATTTCTGAGCATTGGGAGAGTCAAAGCAAGATGCTTCGGAGGGGATGATCTGAAGCGCAAATTGCTGACTCGGGGATTCGCGATCAGGCCTTCCACAAGCTTGTGAAGAACAGCGCGTACTACAGGTAAGCAGCCTTCTTAAAGTCTAATTATTTTTTTTTTTTTCCTTTTTCTTTTGCGACTCGCTGACTCCTCTCAGCCGCTTCCAGACCAAGTTCAAGCGCAGGAGGCAGGGCAAGACCGACTACTATGCCCGCAAGCGCCTGATCACCCAGGCCAAGAACAAGTACAATGCGCCCAAGTACCGCCTGGTCGTCCGTTTCACCAACCGGGACATCATCACTCAGATGGTGACCTCGGAGATCAACGGTGACAAGATCTTCGCCGCCGCTTACTCTCACGAGCTGCGCGCCTATGGCATCAACCACGGTTTGACCAACTGGGCTGCTGCCTATGCCACTGGTCTCCTGCTGGCCCGCCGTGTCCTCGCCAAGCTGGGTCTGGATAAGACCTTCACTGGTGTTGAGGAGCCCAACGGCGAGTACACCCTCACCGAGGCTGCCGAGACTGAGGACGGCGAGCGCCGCCCCTTCAAGGCCATCCTGGACGTTGGTCTTGCCCGCACCTCGACCGGTGCCCGCGTCTTCGGCGTCATGAAGGGCGCTTCCGACGGTGGCATCTTCATCCCCCACTCCGAGAACCGCTTCCCCGGCTACGATATCGAGACTGAGGAGCTCGATACCGAGGTTCTCAAGAAGTACATCTATGGCGGCCACGTCGCTGAGTACATGGAGACTCTCGCCGACGACGATGAGGAGCGCTACAAGAGCCAGTTTGTCAAGTACATTGAGGACGATGTTGAGGCCGATTCCCTCGAGGAGCTCTACGCCGAGGCCCACAAGCAGATCCGCGCTGACCCCTTCCGCAAGTACGTCAGCGACGCTCCCAAGAAGAGCAAGGAGGAGTGGAAGGCCGAGTCTCTCAAGTACAAGAAGGCCAAGCTGTCCCGCGAGGAGCGCAAGGCCCGTGTCGAGGCGAAGATCAAGCAGCTCCTCGCCGAGCAGGACGAGTAAATGGTGGATGTTGGAGTGGTGGTGTACTAGGGATTGGACTGGCATCTGGGCTTATGATGGTCATGGCTGCTTGTTCTCGTTCTCGTTCTCTTATCGGGTTGATGACCAGAATATGGGCGGGACATTTATGGTGGAATGACCGGGGTTCACAAAAAAATGCTCAATGCCAATTACAGATTCCGAGCAAGCATAAAAAAGTTTTTCATCATCGTGCACGAGATGGATTGCTATTGCTGTGGCCTTCCGTGCCTTGTGTGACGGATGACGGCGCTTCCCCTCGCTGGGCCCAATGAGATGGGACAATATCGGCTGTCCAGGCCGCCAGGGGCAGGCGGTGCCGGTGATGATGAGGTCATGCGGACTGCGGGCGTTTGGCGTTGGTACACTAGGCATTGGTACACTAGGCGATGAATGGGAATACATGGGACACCAAGCACTGCATATGCGCATTGTTCTTAACTGATCGAGTATGATATTCTTTTGTGTTCGATGTTGCTTCGAGTTGGTGGATGTGTAACTGTAACAAGCCCACAGACCAGGACTGGAGGATGGCCGATGGATGGATGGATCGACTTGATCGTCAACTCCGGCAATTTCATGCTCATCAAAGGATACGGAGCGGCCGGGATGGGGATGGGGCCTGTTGTCCACCGCTTGCCCCTGCAGGTCCACGTCAGGGAGGGGGGGGTCCATCCATCCATCCACGATCGGGAATGGGGCAAGGGACACTCCAGTGATTCAGCTGGGCCTGAGCTAACTTGTGTTTAGTGTTGCTGCTGTGCTTGAGACAGGGCTCCAAGTTTCCTGCGGTCCAATGCTGTGTAAGTGTAGCATTCAATTTTTGCCCTATCAAAACTGTGTGCCTGTGCCTGTGCCTGTGCCTGTGCCTGTCTTAGATCAGCAGAGTCGTTGACGGTGTTCGGGCTACAACAGGTGAAGTGAGCGTGTCTCTGATGGGATGGCGAGGGACATTATGTAAGGCACGTAAGGACCTAGGGCAGGTAGATAAGGGCCCATCGGTAAAATACATATCCGAAGGCGCCCTTGTAACCCAGCCGTTATTTTTTACCGATGGGCGGCAGGCGACAGCCGACCCGGCAAGCTGACCCAGTGCCCCAACGCCCGCGACCCTGGTCTGGTATGGACGGAACCCAGAAGTGGGATGCTGCTGTGGTGGATGGTCCTAGTGGCAAATGGGACGCTGGCTGGCAGGCCGTGGGCAGTGGCAGAGTGGGATGGAGTTGGTCAAGTCGGGTTTGGGGGGGAGGGGGGGGGAAGGCGGGCAACTAAGCTGGCGGGCATGATGGATATCTAAGGTAGCGTCTTGGCTGGTTACCCCTTGGCCAACCGGGCTACATACGCTATGATAGAGTGGGTTTGGTGGATGTGGATAAGATAGGTACGGATTACTTACGCTTTCGTTCGCTCGCGGCGGCGCGCTACTTTCGAGCGAGCGAGCGATGTTTCGCCCGACCCGAGCGATCGACCGATAGACGTTAGTGTACTTGTAGGTTGCTTTTAGGTTCGTCGGTTTTTCCTTTTTCTTTGAAGCAGTCCACCGGCGCTGCACTGCAGCGGGCTGACGTTGGCTGAGGTGTTCCTGGATTAAGTCCATTCTTGTTGTTGTTGAAGAAAGGAAACGCTCTCTCTCTCTCTCTCTCTCTCTCTCTCTCTCTCTCTTGATCGTCAGTCGTCAGTCACTTGGGACAGCATCAGCCGCAGCGCCCCTCCCGTTCGTACTTGTACAGCATTACGCTGCGGATTACGTACAGCATCAGCATCTTACGAAAGGTAGCGTACCCTTTCCAGCCCGTCCTACGATCGACCTTTGTCCTGTCTTGTTCAGCCAGTCCCAAGAAACAAGCAAATTCTCCCGTTTCCAATCCAATTCCATCCCAAGAAAAACGGACGCACCTGCGCAGTGCCAGCGCCAGCCGCGGGTGTGCGAAGCGAGCCCAGCAAACGGACACTGAAGAGGGGCTGAGTTGGGCTTAGGTTTCAAGCATTGATTCTTGGCCTTCCTGTCCTGTCCTGTCAGGACGCGCTGATTGGATTGGATTGAAGTGTGTATCTGGTTGATGAAATGGCTGCCCACTGGATGGAAGCTTGATTTTGATAACGTCGGTCGGGATTTCCATCGGGGCTCCCAATTTCTTGGGGCCTTACCCGGGCTGGGCGAAAGATACAATACGCAAAAGTAACACTATCATCTCAAGGACGGACTCCCCTGAGCTGACTTTGTGTCTTTTCTCTTTTTTTTTTCTTTTTTCTTTTCAGCATACCGAGTTTATCTACCATCCTGCTGCTTGAAGATCGACGACGAGCCATGGCGATCTCGATAGCGCTGTGACGAGTTTACGAAGGAACGAGCGTACGAACGGAGCACCGAGACAGAATCGACGAGTGCAAGACAAGCGTCATCTGGCATATCCAGCATCTCCCTGTCTGCACGCGAAGCAAGGAGCAAGCAGGCAGGCAAGCCACCACCAAGCAAGCCCTCGCTCAATTAGCAGCGAACCAAGGCGACGGACATTGGACAAGCCAAGCCCCGCCGACAAATAACGAACCCAGGCGCACCACTGCATACGCTATCTACGACATTCCGTCGACGTCGAGACCGTCGAGACCGTCGAGAATATAACGACGCGATTTTCTTCTAATTCTCACGACGTTGCTTATCAGCAACCGACCACAGCCGGGAAACGCCGATCTCAACAAGCATATAACTTTACTTCCGCTACGAACTGCTGACCGCACCCCGGGCCTGGCCCAGTCTTATTACTTGGGTCGCCCCCCGGTCGTTGTCACGAGTAGGTGGTGCCCCGCTTGCTTGTGACTGCGACTGCGACCAGTGCCGACCGACCGAACGAACGAACGAACGAACGAAACGAACGAACGCTCAACAAACGAAAGTCACGAGGCCAACTTCCTCTCCTTTTTGGCATTTGGCTTGATTGAGTTGTTGCCTACGCAGCATAATTCTTCAATCCGACCCGCATTCGTGACTCTTTGTTTTGTCCTGTGTTGTTTTGTTGGTTGGTTCAAGGGAAACAGGGCCCTTTTTTTAATCCGACATCGCATCGCACATTGTCGTATGTGGTGGCGCCGTCTGCCACGACGGTTTATTACAGAGTGAAAGTGTGCTTATCGCCGCAAAGATGGAGCACATCGCGAGTTTAGATGTGAGCTGGATGACGCATGGGAGCTCGAAAGGTTCGCATTGCCGCCTTGTCTCAGCAATGGGGAGAGAAGGGGGGGGGGGAATGTTTGTTTTCCAGGAGACTGATGTGCTTGGCGTCTGTTAGAAAAAATATTCTCGAGGAGTAACTCACGACGAAGCTCCGTGACGAAAGAGACCTTATCGAACTCGAACTCGACCTCGAACCGCGAGTCACATCCCCTGACGCAGACGGCACAGCCGAACCCAAACAGCAGCAGTAGCAACGGAAACGCTACCCCGAGCAGTAGTACCAACAATGCTCCAGCACCGACCTCGACAACCCCGAGCCCCGCGAGCAATGCCCCCGAGAAGGACAGCAAAGATGGAAAAGAGGGCAAAGAAACCCATGCTCTACCAATTCCCCTCCTCCGACGCTCCAACTCTGCCCGTACTCTCCTAGGCGGTAGTTCCTCCGACGACAGGAAACCCGTCCCCTCGCCTCCTCAACGCCGCAATTCCTGGTTCGCCAACATCTCCTCTAAATTCTCCTCCAGCAGTAGTAGCAGTCATAACCAAGCCCCTCCTGCGGCCGCAACACCCGCAGCAACATCCCAAAGCCCACCCCAAACTAGCACTGCTGCTGCTAAGCCTGCCGAGTTCGTCGTCCCGAAGATTACGCCTGCCAGGAATGCGGTCCTGCAACATGCTGCTAAGCATGATGGCGATGGACCTTACATTCCCGCCCCCCCAAGGACAGGACCGACCGGTGGGCTGCTGCAGGTGTTTAGACGGTTATCCTCTTCCTCGTCGAGCGCGAACTTGTCGCTTGGCAAGGCGCATAACCATGGCCTGGTAGAGAGAAGGGTTCTGAATGTCGACAAGCACCGCGAGCGCTGCGCGATCAGCGGGCTGGATCAAGCCAAGTTGAGGAGGGTAGCGTTCTGCGTGGACGTGGAGATTGCGCCTATGCCGCGGTATGTGGACGATGAGAAGGGGAAAGCGGGGGCAAAGAAGAAGGATGGGAAGAAGGCTGAGGGAGCCGGTGCTGCGGGCGCGGGTGCCGGTTCCTCTCAGGGGGAGCAGAGCGCTGCCAATGGCGCTCAGGGACAACAACAGCCCGTCAAGACCCTGACGGCTGCTGAAGCCAAGAAAAAAGAGAAGAAGAAAAAAAGCGAAGAAGAGCGCAAAGCTAGGAAAGAGAAGCGCCGCCTCCAGGCAGAAGCAAACGGCACCATCCCCATGGAGCTCCACTACGACAGCGATTCTTCTTCTTCCGGAACCACCCCAACCGCCCAGGCTGCTCCTAATAACTGCTCCGGCACTCCGGGTAGGACCCAACCCACGCCCACGACTAACCCCGTCCGGATATACCGCCGCTGCTGCCAGCTCCGGGAGACGCCCATTCTTAAGAAGATCACGGAACAGCTCGGCGATCCGGCCAACGCGTCGACAGAGTATCCGGGCATGGTCGAGAAGCTGGATTTGACGGGGTACTGGCTACAGTTGACGGACCTCATCACGTTGGGCGACTACCTCGCTGTCGTCCCGATCCGGGAGCTAATCCTCGACGGGTGTGGACTCACCGACGAGGGATTGCGCGTCATTTTGGCGGGGTTGTTAGCAGCCAAGAAGACGAGGCCGCCTGTCGGGGGTCGGTTGGCTCGTAAGAGGAGGGGGAGTACCGTCAATGGGGAAGGAGAGTTGCTTCCTGGCACGGAGCAGGGGGGTGTCGTGGAGAGGTTGGTGCTGAGGAATAATAAGTTTGGACCGGAAGGGTGGAAGCATTTGTGTTTGTTTGTGTATTTGTGTCGCACGCTGAGGATGCTGGATTTGGAAGGTGTACCGTTTCCTAAGCAGACTGCGATTGTCCCTGAGGGGCAGCAGAGTGTCGCGCAATTGTTGTCGAAGAGTTTGGGGGAGAGGCTTGGAGGGGCGACGCTCAGTTTGCTGGGGCTGGGGAACACGGGGTTATCGGCGGAGCAGTTGGGGTTGGTGATTGATGGGGTTGTGAAGTGTGGTGTGAGGAGGTTGAATTTGGCGAATAATGGGATTGATGCGGAGGGGTTGAGGCATGTAGCGAGGTTTATTAAGTCTGGCGTGTGCGAAGGGTTAGATTTGGGAGGAAATGATCTCTCTGGGGAAGGACTGGTTGACATCCTAGAGGCCGCCGTGGGTGAGGCCGCTGCTATGGGTGAGGAGCCCCCTAGCACCGATCCGGCTGCTTCCCAGCAAGAGGAAAGCGGTAAAGAGGGAGAAGAGAGTATGCCAGCAGAGCGTGAGAATGCCCAGAGGGAGAGTATAGAGGGTAAGGAGGGCACGAAAGAGGGGAGTATATCCTCCAGCAAGGAGACCAAGCCCGAGCCCATGGACTGTCCCCTCTGGGCTCTCAGCCTGGCCGACTGCAACCTCACGCCCTCTTCTCTCTGCAAACTCCTCCCGGCGCTGGCTCGCCTCAAGCACTTCCGCTTCTTGGATCTCTCCCACAACCAGGACCTCTTCCGGTCTGACCCCAGTGCGGTTGGCGTCCTTCGCAGGTAAGCCTTTTTTTTTGTTTGTTTGTTTGTTTGTTTGTTTGTCTGTCTACACACACATCACGGTTTCTCCTCTGACTGACTCTCTCAACAGATACCTCCCCAAATTCCCGACCCTCAAACGCATCCACCTCGCAGACTGCTCCATGTCCCCCGAGCAGGCCATCGCCCTATCCGAGATTTTGCCCGAGATCCCTGGTTTGGCACATATCTCTCTGTTAGGCAATCCGCAGCTTGCTGAACTTGCGACTAATGCTACCACTGAGGAAGCCAAGGAGGAAGCGTGCGCGCTGTTTGCGTCCCTCCTCGCTGCTGCTAGGGTATCGACTAGTCTCGTGGCTGTTGACATCGAGGACCCGTCGGAGAAGAGCACTGATCTGGTCAAGGCCCTAGCCAAGCAAGTCGTTGCATATTGCCTACGGAACATGGAGCTTGCTGCGGCGGCAACGCCGGGGGCGCAGCCGCAGCAACTTCAGGCTCAGACTGTGGCCGAGGAGCAGGGTCAGGGTCAGGGGCAGAGCCAGGAGGGTGAGATCAAGCCTATGTCCAAACCTGTTGAGCCCGAGTACCCGGATGTGCTACAACGGCTCGTCGGACACGACGTCAACTTGTCGAGTGGCATGGATCCGGACGTGGATGCCGCGCCGGATGATGATTATGTGATTGGTGGCACGGGAGTGGTAAAGGCGCTGGCGTGTTGCTTGAAGAATCGAGGTGATGGGGAGGATGGTTTGAAGGAGGGTGAGAGCGCGGGTGAGATGGTGCAGGCCAATGGGGCTGCCCAGGGGGGTAGCTCTGGGGCTAAGGCCAAGGAGACGTCGAAGCATTTGTTGTTGAGTGCGAGGAAGATTCGGTTGAGGCTGCAGCCTGCCATTAACAAGGCAAGGGCTGCAGGGACGGATACGCATGCTTATCGTAGGTCGCCTGGAAGTGTCCTTTGTGAACGGGGATTTTTGGCTAACAAGTCACAGATCGCCTCATGTTCCTCGACCAGACACTCGCCAACGTCATCAAGCGCTTCGAGACAGAATTCCCCGACACCCGGCTGCCCGATGCCCCGCCTACCCCTACAACCAGCACTTATCCCGGGGCGGATCTCTCTGCCCCTGATGCACAACAGGCGCCTTTAACAGAGGAGCTTACCAAGGTCGACTCGAACTCAACTTCCAACTCCGACAGTGCCCTTACCGGCCCCGACGGCGCTACTACAGCAGCTGCAGACCCGACCTCAGGCGGCTACGCCTCCGACGACGGGCAGGACGCAGACGAGGGCACAGAGCTCATAATATCCCCCCCTCTCTCTCGCTCCAACTCCCTCCTCTCCCTCTCCTCCAAGGCGCTAGCCAACGAGGAAGCCCGCGTCCTCCGCGCAGGTCACACCTTCCGCGCAAGCTTTGTTGCAGTCAACGAGGCCGGCGAACCGCAGATTGACCAGCCCCTTCAGGGCGAGGAAGATGCTCAACCTGTGAACGGAGGCTATCATCAGATCAGGAAGAATGAGGATGATCCGCCTAGCCCGAGGACTGTGCCGGTTTTGGATTCGATTGTGACGGACTTACCACCGTTGCCGCCCTCACCAACGTCCCCGACCTCACCGATGACTACGACACGGGGGTCGAGACCCCAGATTCCCCACTCTCCTGCTCCTAACCCAACGGATACGGCTTCCTCTCTGGAATCTTCTATCGACCTTATCAACGCTGACCCGAGGCACGCTAGGCTCTTGCATGAGCTGCTGGACGAGTTGGGGGATGAAACACTCAAGAAGGAGGCTGCCGAGAAGGGGATAAGTGTGGTGTTCAAGCTGCGCAGGAGGGAGATTCGCGAACAATTGAGGCAGGCAGCGGAGAAGAGTGAAGAAGGGGAGTGGGAGAGGTGGGTTGAGAGTCTTAGGATGGCGAGGGTTAATATACGGGTGGGGGATAAAGGCGAGGAGATGGGGGCTGTTGATGAGAGTGCTGTTGAGGATTGAGAGTGAGGGAATGAATGAGGACAGGAATTTTCGTGTGGGCTTCAGTTCAGTTCTGTTCAATTCGGGAGTGTATGAGTACCTGCCAAAGCATGTAAAACTTAGATTGGGAGGGTGTTTGGTTTTGTCAGTGAAGGATTTTGTTAGGTTGAGCATTAGCAGCAAGCAGGGAGGAACGAGGGACGCAGAACAACAGCGCAGATGCAAAGCATGAGATTCGATGCGATGCGACGGGAATAACTCGATACCAATCACACTTTTACCAACTACCCAACATTCAGTGTTTAGTGTCTAAGTTTTTTTTTTTTTTATACGCACGGGTGGCGTTATGACATGTATACCTATTACAAGCATATTAATATACCGCATGGGAGCCATCCCATTCTCTTCCCTTTATCCTTACCTATTCTTCATCGATGTCCCCATCCACCTATATCATGTCCCGGACGGAGTAACGACCGTCACAACAAGCACTACAGCAAGGTCCGCTGGCTCAATGGCAGAGCGTCTGACTACGGTTCCTCTCCTCTCTCTCGAGAATCCTGGGGCAGTCCCGGTTCTTCCGGAGGATGAGTTAACCTGCTATCAGGAGGTTCCAGGTTCGACCCCTGGGTGGATCGTTTTTTTTGTAAATTCGACTCAATGTTTGAGCAAGTATGTAGGCAAGATATCTTGTAAATATTTTTGGTCATATCTGACATTTGATGGTTGTATTTTCGAATTTGTTGAAGGACGTTTTTTTTCTTTTTTTTTCCTCTTTCTTTTTTCGTTCTGGGTAGGCAAAGGAAGGTGGTGGGAAATTGAATGAGCAAGTCAAAAAATTTTGGTGCTTCGACTGCGTATCGACTTCCACTCGACCCAATGCTCCCAAATTTGTCTCTTCCTGGGCAACTAAAATTTTCTGATGTTTATTTATGTTTTCATGCTCTCGGCTAAAGGCTGTTTGATTTTGGATTGTCTGATCACCAGACGGCCATGGGCTCTGCTTTAAAGCTGCCTACACTTGTGCGTTAAGCCAAGGGGCCTTGTAATCCAATGCTTCACAAAAACAAGCCTATTTCAGGACAACCTCCAACAAGACTAACAGCCATCATGATAGATGCCGCCGTTCTCTGCTGGCTTCGATTCCAGATGGCCAGCTCGCATCGTCATTATGACCATGTCTCGGGCTTTAACTGGCACATTTACTCTTGCCACGAACCAGCTGAACATGCAACACCAAGCTCTACTTTCCGATCACACAGTCACAAGCAAAGAGATCAAAGAGTGAGAGACCGACCCTTGGTATTCCATTTTAGGTAGTAACCCATGCCGTCCCGACGCCAAGATGGTCAACTTTTGGTGTAAGTAGTAGAGTGTGTCCATGTGGTGGTTCATCATGATGCCTTCTTTCCTCTTCGGAGATGAGTAGTGCCCATTTTTGTGAACCATTCCTCTTTCTCCTTTGTTTCGTGTTTAAAAAAGCAGAAAAGAAAAAAACACAACGAAAAAAAAAGAAGATCCCGTGGTGGAAAGAAAACCCAGAGGCTTAAGCCGAGAACTGCGAGAGAAACGAAATCGAGCGTGACACGTTGACTCTTGAACAACGTACCAGCTCGAAGGGTATCCAGATGGCCTCCGAGTGCTCACTCCGCGAAGTAAGCCCCTTGTCATCCCGTTAACCTCTCAGCGGCTGCCCAGGAGACAGCCCTCGTCTTCTCTCGCCATCAATCCTTCACCGCAACCCCGGTCCTTCCAGCAACCGCACGTCGGTCGCCTAGTTGGGGCACTGAGACTGAACGTGGCCAGGCTGCTGGCACTTGTAACAGATCTTCTCGCCACCAGACTCCTTGGGGCACTCACGCGACAGGTGGCCCGAGACACCGCAGTTGTAGCACTTGTTGCCGTTCACGCAGTCGCCTGACAACGTTAGAGGGTGCCAAGTCAAATCGAGACTTAGGGAGCAGAACTCACGAGAAAGGTGGCCAATGCCGCCGCAAGAGTAGCAAGTCTTTTGGCCATAGCCGCCATAGCCGCCGTTGAAGCCGCCATAAGGGGCGCCCTTGTTGCAGTTGCGGGCAATGTGGCCGATCTCACCGCACTGTGGGAGTTAGCGGGGACTCCTGACCATCATTTTGGAGGTACGCACCTTGTAGCACTCAGCGCCGGACTGGCCGCTGCCACCAGTGGTGGGGCAGTCACGGGAGATGTGGCCGGGCTGGCCGCAGCGATAGCACGTCTTGGTGTCCTTAGGACCCTCCGGGCAGTCACGGCCTGGAAAGTTAGCACCTCTCAGGCAATCGAATAGCGATGTACTCACTCATGTGGCCCTCGGCACCGCAGTTATAGCTATGAAAATGTTAGCGAAACTTCAACCAGCCTTTGCAAGGGGACGAACATACCACTTGGCCGCAGCCTTGTTGGGGCAGTCGCGAGCCTGGGATCGTATTGTTAGTATCGTAAAGGGACAATACCTCGCCGTATCCCATCGTCTCTTCTCCAATCATCTCTCTTGCTGCTCTCGCCACCGGTTGGCATACCTTGTGAGTAGTTTGGCCGCCTATATATCTCTGTCAGACTCTCACCCCCAAATCAAGCAGAACAGGCGTAGCAGTGTGATATGATGGTGCAAGATCGCCATCCCCGGCGCGAACGAGGACCGGGCTGTTTCGACCGAACATCAGGTTCCTCGTCAGCTCCCCAGATCTGGGTTAAACAGTTAGGCGCCAGGGACGGCAGGTTCTCGTAAGGCCTTGGGAGTCATCTCTCGGTAAAGAAGAGTTGCGAGCGGTACACCCGGTATTCGCGAAGCCCAAGGTTGACCATTTCTTGTGCTTGTGTTCTGCGCTTGTGTGCAATGCGAGCGCGGGTGTGGCCAACACCTGTGCGAGTGGGAATGTGTGTGTGTGTGTGTGTGTGTGTGTATGTGTGTGTATGTATGTAGGTGTAGGTGTATGTATGTGTAGAAAAGCAAGAGGTTTTGCAGAGGGACTGTGGCGATGCCTTTTTTTTCTCCAGATGGAAGCAGGGCAACCATCACGGGCAGAAGGCCCGCCGAGGGGACGTGGACAGAGACAATGCCATCGCAGGCGCGGGGCAAACAGAAGCCAGAGCGGAAAAACTGGCGACGGCAGACTCACAAGTGAAGCAGGCCTGGCCGGAAGCAGCGAAATCCATGGTGAAAATGTGGTTGGTGGTGGTTTTGTTTTTTAAGTTTGGCGTTGTTCTTGGTTTGCGGTAATTCTGGTGATGGTTATTTGGTCAGTACCTGGAGCGGCAAGCAGAAGAAGGTTTCCCCAAAGGCTGGATGAAGTGGAAATTCCCACGAAATTGGATTTTATTAGGATTGGATGGGCTGGATGGTGGGCTTTTCGCCAGCGGGGGGATGGATTTTGCATTTATGTGGGGTAAGTTTTGCGCGACTGACCACAGAGTGCCGACGGTAAAAGAGTTGACGGGAGTGAAGGCGTGCAACACAAACAGAACGTTTGCTGGGTTGAACAAACATAGCAGACAGAGAGGGTCAAAAAATCAACTTACCTCGCAAGGCGACAGGACCTAAGCACTGTTCGGTGTTGCAGAGTAGAGAGTTTGAGTGGTAGCAGGAGAAAGACGGCAGATGGCAGAAGGACGGATGGATATGAGTTATGGATCTGTGGTGGTCGTGTGGACTGCCTGTGGTTGAAATTTTCTGAAAAGGCAAATGTGGCCAACCCCTGCCCTCTGAAACTTTGCCCCTCCACGCGCTAGCGCCCCTGCTCGTAGGGCTTTGGCAGCTTTTTGGCAGGTGCCGTTTCTGAACGTCAGTTGATCACAGGGACAGGGCCATTCCAATGAATCCATTTCTGGCGCTCCCGGCCGCTCGCATGGACGCAGTCATGTCGGCTGGATACCGTCGCTACAGTTTTGCTCTGTGACTCTGGCAGACGTGCTGGCTACGTTCTCTGCGGTGTATCGCGATGTAATGCTACGTACATCTGAGTCCTGACCCAGACATGCCGGACTCGGACGAGGAATGCATCCTCCTCGCCAGGGGCTGCTAGCCGGTGTCGAGAGGCAAAGTTTCTGCTGCAGCCCGACACGGCTGATCAGGTGTTAGCCCAACGAGGGATATGATGGGACTTGAAAATTGCCCCTACCGATGCAGCTCAATGTTTATAGAGGCGAGACAAGGCCGATTCGTCCCGATTCGCCCATCTCACCGGTGCTGTGAGGTTCAAGACAGGTATGGAGTTCGGCCGGCCGGCCGAGCCGAACCAAATCTGCTTCTCTCTCCCGATTTGCCAATCGTGTTGGCCATGTTGGCCGTGGTGGCCGTGGCCGCATTCGCACGGCCGCTTTTGGACGGCTTCTGGAAGATTGCTGGAAGCATGTTTGCACAGATAAGCGATATTTTGACTGGTTGTCCACGTGGATGGAAAACGGATATAATCAACTTAACGGAACATCGGCGACGGAAGCCCTGTGAATCCTCTGGTCTCCAGGCTCTTAGCTCGTATGATACTCTGCGCAGCGAGTCTGGGCCAGGGAACAATGGGACTTTTGTCAGACGAGTATTGTCGACTGATACCACAGGCTTCACGTTGGCGGCGATGTTCTCTCCAATGTCATATCTAAGGGGTTACCATAGCCCCTGACCGAGCGTCAAGGAGGATGATCGAGATTCATATAGACTACTCTGGTACTATTCAATGTTTGGGGAAAGGAGTTGTTTTTTGATGTTGATTTACCGCGCAAAAGACGTATCTTAGGGGTTGAATTGCCACCAAGAGATAAGGTAAGACTTGGCTTGTATGTCAAGTTTGGCAATTGAGCTTGTGGACACACAAAAAGAAGCCTTTGGTCCCAGCTAAATGCAACGTCGCAGACGTCGACATGAGTTGGGATGCAACGGGCAAATTCCGACTGGTGCGGAACACATAACGGCGTGCCCGGCAGGGGTATCAGCATGTGGAGATGTGGGGTGGAGTGGGGTAAGGCAGGCAGCCGTTTCCGCACGTGATTTGGCGCGTCCCACTTGGTCTTGGCAAGGCCTTGTTGACTTGACGCGACGCGACAAGTGGCCGCGCGAGACATCCCCTTGCTTTCTCATCTGTCGATGTACCTATGACTCACTTCCTCCCTTTGCATGAGAGGTCATGGACTTTTGGACAAGACGGGGGCGGCCAAAGCTCTTTGCCGCTCTGGAAGAGGCTTATGACTCGCTTGAGGGAGAATTCGCTGCTGGTAAGTAGACGCGGCTCGGATACCCGCGGGGAGTACGCAGCCAGAGATCATGGACTAATGCCAATGGATACAGCGCTCCAAAGGCATGTCGAAGAGTGCAATGCAAGTCTACTCCAGGAGATAGAGAAGCTCAAGGCTGCAGCTGCAAGGACTGAAGAGCTGGAGAAGCAGAATCGGACCTTGATCCGTGAGCTCGAGGAGCTCCGGAAGAAGCAGGACCAGCACAACGCCAGACCTGCTACCACATCGTCCTCCAGCACACCTTCGCTGGGCACCTCATCGCCAATCCCGAGACCTGCTCTAGCAGAGCTATCCACCAACAGCAGACCTTCGCCCCTCAATGCTACTCCTGGCAAGCCCATAGACCAGGAAAATGCCGAGACTCTGCCAGAGCAACACGAAAAGCTCAAAAAAGCATACTTTGCGCTGGACAAACGATTGAAGGAAATCAGGAACATGGCCCGCAAGTACCGGGAAGGACGGGACAACTGGGAAAAATATGCCGTGTCCCTTGAGGGGAAGCTTGCCAGGCTCGAAAAGAAGCTGTCCCGCTACGAAGAGATAGTTAAGCAGTCTCCTGCTCCAGGAGGACGAAAGCTCACGCCAAATGAGGCCTCTGATGGCAGGCCCTCGTCTGATCGAGAAGCTAGTGTCTCGCGAGCTACATCTTCCTCAGCGGAGCCCCAAGCCAATGCCGATCAGCGCGGGGACCAGGCTGAACCCTCAATAGCTCTGGGAGTTGTGCCGCCTGTGTCAATGGCTGCTCTAGCAGAAGCCAGCAAAGAGGATGAGGCCGACGAAACGGAGGACGACTCCGACGAACAGCCTCAGCTACCAACCCTGCCTGCCAATGAACCTGCTGAACCAGAACAGGAAGTCTTCATTGAGAAAGAACCCTCCTCTGACATCCCTGTCGTCGTCTCGGAGAGATGTGTGCGGAAGCGCAGGCGCGAGAGCACAGATGGCAACACACCTCACCGGCGGATTAAGACAGAATCCAGTTCAGATGTGGTCGTCACGGCCGAGATTCCCACGTTCCGACCACATGAAAGCATCGACCTCGATGAAGACTATGATAGTGTCCCAACGCCCAGGAAACTGCAGCGGTTTCAGCTTCGAGAAGATCCCTCGTCACCGGTGAATAGGACTACCGGGACTGGTCGGCAGACTAAAAGTACTGAGGCTCAGTCCTGGGCGCCTGTTGGCCCTCAGCCTAGACCTGGCCCGTCAGCCGTCACGCCTGGAGTGTTCGGAAGCATGATGTTCAGGACTCCAGACGACAGACGGCAGTTAATCAGGTCTGAATGGGGGTTGGACTCTGGAGTCGCAGATGTGGCCGAAGATGGTATGGACGAGGTTGCTCCCCCCGGGCGAACTAGGAAAGGACCAACCAACGACACTCCTACCCGTAGCCGACTCCAGACACTCTTGGAGACTCCGGCAACGAACACCACACCCAGCATGCTACCCCCTAGGCGTCAGAACCAGCCCGCTCGCACCACACGATTGCGGGATCGCCCCCTATCCGAGCTGCGGCTAGAAGACTTCAAAGTCAACCCAGCACTCAACGACGGCTACCGCTACGCTTTCAACGAAGTCGTCCGTAACAAGGACGAGAGAGCCCAGTTGTCAGGCTGTACCGACCCGAACTGCTGCGGACGGAATTTCCGCAAGATAGCCGAGTCTGAGTTGCAGAAGGCCGGCCCTGTAGTCCTCACACGCATGCAGGACATCAAGATGATGGAGAACTTTCTGGGGCGCGAAGAAGCACACCGGCTGAAGGGGATGTCGCGCGAGGAGCGCCAGGAGCTGTGGCTTCAGGCTAAGACGAGGGAGTTGGCGGATAAGTTCGGACGACATAGGCACCGGTTTGCCCGTAGGCCGTCGCCGCCGGGATATTGGAACCCGGATTTTCCTAGTACCCAGGAGATTGCAAAGTATAAGGAAGAAGCGGAGAAGGAGGAGAGACGGGCGGTTGAGGAGAGGTATAGGGAGGCATTGAGGAGGGGGAGATGGCTGTTTAGGGATGAGGAGCCCAGTTGATAGGCTTCTTAGGTACTCTTAGAGGCATTGTATATGGCTGGAGCGTATGAAAAATAACTTTGTGGATGTGGAATCTGGCTTAGAGGATTTCTTGGTCTCCAGTCTTTGCATGGAGGTGAAAGGGTTCAATAGAGGCTGTCATCGATCCATGAAATTTGCGACGTCATGCATCTGGTTAACATGAGCAATCAACAGTTTTACTGTATCAACCTTATCTCTTGGTCCATTGCTTCAGTGATTCAATGAGATGATCCCTTTTGTGTATGAGTTGCGTAGCAGGATTCATCCGAACTGCAGATAAGGGCAAAACCGGATGGCAGCGGGTAGCTTTCATAAGGCAGGACTGATGCCCTGTTGCTCGGATGTTGGGCTCGGTGGGAGGAAAACATTCAGGTTCCCAGGCCTCAGGAGGTCCGTGCGTCTGTGCGTCAGTGTTTGGGCGCTGGGCGCGCTCGGCGGGCAAGGGGAGGCCACTTTAAATTTTGCCAGCGGCGGAAACCCCAGGGAAGCCCACCAGACCAACATCGCCTTTTTCTTGGCGTGCCTCTTGCGCGTTGCCAACGACGTCGAGCCCGCCCTAGCTCGACTCAACCGACAGACTCAAACACCATCGCTGACGCAGAGGCCCGCACCCGGCTCTGCAGAGAAGAAAGAGAGATAGGAGGAGAAAGAAAGAAGAAGAGAGAGGAAAAAGAACGAGAAGAAAGAAAGAAGGAAAGAATAGACGGGCTGACAACATCACACGGTCAAGTTGTTCGCATCAGAGCATCTCTTTGCAACTCTGCAATCACTGCATCCACCACAACCCCCAAGTTCTCGGTCTGCACTCATCGCAGCTCGCCCCAGCTCGCAGCAGTGCACCGCAGCCGCAGCAAACCATTCAGCGGCGTTCCGAACGGTATCCGAGCCTACTTCGCACAGCGTCTTCACACTCTTTTACCCCAACCCCTCGTCCAGCCCACCTCCCTTTGCGTGGCGGTGGCTGCAAGTCGTCGTGATAGGTACACCCGATCTCACATCACGACTCTTCGTCTCGGCTGCTGCTGCTCGCCCGGCCTCGCAGCCCTAGCTGACCAGCCGACCGACCACAGGATTGTGTCGACTGTAAGCAGCAATTCAGTTGTTTGCTGCGTCTTGCCCCTTGTAAGACTCGCAGCATCACTGTTCCACACATTGGCCGTCTCATTGGCTTTCTCGACCTGACGACGACGACCCAACAACTCGGCGTCGTGTTCAGACCTCTCAGCGACGAGCGACAAGGACGTCGATAGCCTGGCGATAGCCCCTGATATCATTAATCGCGACGACACCCCCCTCGCGACCCCTCTACATCTCCGATCCCCTCCAGCCGTTCGCCCCTCGGCTGGCCTGTCTTGACGCTTCATCTCGCCGCGGTGGCCCTCACATCCGAGTGAGAAGCTGCCGCCACAAGTCAGCGATACACCCCAGGCCGGCATGATGAACAACCGCGGGCATCTGCCGGCTGGGCAGGTGGTGCAAGGGGGTGCTGGCGCCGACATGACTCCCACTGCCCCCAATGGCGTGGGCAGTGTCCCTGTGCCCCCCGTCCCGGGTCCTGCTGTTCCCTCGGGCGTCCCTGGCAGTGGCATGGGCCCCGGTCCTGGTTCTCGTCGCGGAGGCCGGCCGCAGAACCACTACCCGCCGGCTCACCACTGGAACCAGCATCATGTCAACCACATGTACACTCCTGGCTATGTGAACCCCTATACGGCGCCCTATTACATGCACCATCAGCCCTACCAGGCTGCCTACCACATGCCGTACCAGCATCCCCATGCTGTCTACACTCGGTCGCCCCCAGCTATGCAGCATTTTGTGCCCATGCACCAGCAGACCTATGTGCGGCCGCCCCAGCACTCACCGATTGTCTCGTCCTCGTACCATCACCCGCCGATTCCGCCTTCGGCCCCTCCCGCAACCATCCCTCCCCCGCAGCTGCCCCATACTCCATCCTCGACTCATTCCCATGTCGTACCGCCGCCCCCTATGACCCCGCCTGTCCCGGTCCAGATGGCTCCTCAGCAGCGTCCTGAGCCTGTTCAGCAGCCTGCTCAACCTGCTCAGCAGGCCCAGCAGCAGCCTCAGCAGGAGACCCAAACCCCGGCCACTCAGGTCCAGCCCCCCGTGGCTCCTCCCTCTCAGCCTGAGGCCCAGCCGCAGACGGCTGCTCAGCCTACCCCTGCTCCTGAGGCCCCGGTTAAGACGGAGACTCCGCTGCCTTCTCCGGCTCCGGTAACTCCGGTTTGCGAGCCGTTCCGCCCTCCGGTATGTGTATTGTGTCCTTGTTCACGCTGAGTTATTTGATGCTAATTTCGTCTAGCTGCCTTGGTACTCTGTTCCTAAGGAAGACTTCCCCCTGCGTACGAACAAGCGCAAGAAGAAGAAGCAGCTTGCTGCCACTAGTGAGGGCGTTGAGCTGCCTGAGCTGCCTGCCCCGGCTGCAGAGGCCTCTGTTGAGCCTGAGATCAAGACTGAGGAGGCTGCCCCTGAGCCTGTGAAGCAGCCCGAGGAGGCTCCCGCCCCGAAGGCCGAGACGAAGACTGAGGCTCTTCCTCCACGTTCTGAGACTCCCTCAACCCAGGACCAGCCCTCTGAGGACACAACTTCGACCTCGCCGACTACCCCGAGCTCGGTCCAGCCGGCCAAGCCGTCTTCGACCGTCACGCCGGCTAGCTCTGCGACCTCGGCGGCGAAGCCTACTGCTCGCCCTGCCGTTCCGGCTGTTCCTGTCCTTCCTGTTCTGCCTAAGGTCGCTCCCAAGGAGGCCAAACCTGCTGTTCCAGCTGAGAAGCGTCCTGAGGCTGCCGCTGCTGCGGCCCCGGCCAAGCCGGCTGAGGCTACTGCTCCGCAGGTCAATGGCAGTGTTACCCCCGAAAAGAAGGCTGACGAGACCAAGGAGGCTGCTACCCAGCCCGCTCAGGCTCCTCAGCCTGTCCCGGCACCTGCCCCAGCAAAGCCCAAGCTCTGGGCTGGCTTGTTCGCCAAGTCCAGCTCCAGCGCCAGCGCAACCTCGTCTCAGGTTCGCACTAATGGCAACACTGACGGCCAGGGCGTCGCCTCTGGTCCGGGTGCCTTCTCCAAGGCCAATGCCAACTCCCTGGCTGAGGCTATTCTCAGCTACCAACCCGGCACGCCTGAGAAGCTGTACTTTCTGGAGCCCAGGGGCTTGGTCAACACAGGGAATATGTGCTACATGAACTCGGTGAGTAGACAGGGATGAACTGCAGAAATCCTTTACTGACAATGACTAGGTACTCCAAGTCCTCCTCTTTTGCACTCCCTTCTATGACTTCCTTGACCAAGTCAGCAAGAAGGCGGCGCACAGCTTCAAGAGCGAGACTCCTCTTCTCGACACCATGATCATGTTTATGCGTGAGTTCAAAGCCATTGCCTCGGCTTCTACGGCTGAGCTGCTGCGCAAGCGGCTCCGCCCCGAGGAGTACGAGAAGTACGGCGACCCGTTCACCCCTGAGTTCGTCTATGACACCATTCGCAAGCTGCCCCGCTTCTCGAGCATGCGCCGCGGCCACCAACAGGACGCTCAGGAGTTCCTTGGCTTCTTGCTCGAGGGCCTGCATGACGAGTGCTCGCAGGTCACTCGCAACGTGCAGTCAACCGTCTCGACCACTGCCAATTCCTCCGTATCCTCGCCGACCGCTGCTGCCGAGGGCGGCAACGACTGGCTCGAGGTCGGCCCGCGCCAGCGCTCAGCCATCACTCGCTCGTCAGGCTACTCCCAGAGCTCGTCGCCCATCACCAAGATCTTCGGCGGCCAGCTGCGCTCCGAGCTCCGCGTCCCCGGCAACAAGAACTCCGTCACCCTCGAGCCGTATCAGCCTCTTCAACTCGACATCGGCGCCCCCGAAGTCCGCACCATCATTGACGCACTCAAGGGCCTGACCCATCCCGAGGCTATCTATGGCGACTTCAACTCCCCGCGCGGCAAAGACGTCCGTGCCACCAAGCAAGTCTTCATCGAGTCTGTCCCGCCTGTTCTCATCCTGCACCTCAAGCGCTTCCAGTTCGATGCGGAAGGCTACGGCGGCACAGTCAAGATCTGGAAGAAGGTCGGGTACCCGCTGGAGTTTGATTTCCCTCGGGAAGTGCTCTCGCGGAGTACCCGCAATAGCATCCTAAATGATAATACGGGTGCGCCGAGGTATAGACTGATTGCAGTGGTGTATCACCATGGCAAGAATGCTTCTGGGGGGCACTATACTGTCGATGTGCGTCGCCAGGATGGGAAGGAGTGGATTCGTATTGATGATACTGTTATTCGGAGGGTTAGGGATGAGGAGGTTGCTGCAGAGGGTGGAGCGGAGGAGGAGCCTTCGCTGCGGTCGTTGGCTACTGCTGATGGCAAGAGAGATGGTGGCGTTGGTGCTAGTGCCAACCGTTTTGCGGGTATGGATGAGGATGCTGGCGATGGGGACGAGGGCGGTTGGAAGCAGGCGGCTGGTGGCAAGAAGTGGAGTAGTGTTGTGAATGGCGGTGGTGCCCAGGCTTCGACCAATGGGTTGAAGAGCAAGCAGCCGAAGGAGAGTGTGAGGGAGAATAAGGTTGCATATCTGCTGTTTTACCAGCGGATTTGAGGAGTTGGTGGTCCCTAGGGACTTGGTTAGATTATGGAGACTGGGCAGCAGTTGATCCAGCTGTCAGACAAACAGTGATGGGCTGACTTGCAAGGCTTGGGGCAGCCGAATTGATGATATGATGATGCCCGTCGCTGTTGTCTGGCCGATTTGGGTTGCGCACGCTGCGCGTATATATGGGGTTGGCAAAGCGGGCCATGTTGCGATATGGATACCACGCATCATACATTACATTCGACATGCACTGCGGAGGAGGAGCGAGCTTGGATGACGGTGGTGGGAGTATCGATACCCTCTCGTCGATACACGACATACCTACGATACTGAAAATCGTCACGCAACCATCATTACCCCGGCTTCCTCACCTACCTATCAATCACCACCTGATCTCTGGTCTGACGACCTGACCGATTCACCCGATCTGCCTCGCTTACCTTGCTCTCCTCCTCATCTCCTTATTCCTACTTCTTTTTTTTTAAAAAAAAAAAAAACTGTCGGGCCACACGGGCTGTACATACACCCTGGCTGATGACTTGCCAGCCTCCTATCTACCCCTCTGTCACCTTCGATAGGAGCCTCCGAATCCCTCTTCACGTCCTGTCCTCTGTTCCTATGTTCCTCGTCACGATCGCACACCAGCCATTCTTCACAGCTTCCGATTTCACATGACAAAGACGTGGAGAGTACGAGGCTCGGATAAGGTTGGCGTTGGAGACAGGAGAGCTAGGAGGTTGGCTCAGAGGGATGCATTGAAGAAGTATTTAATGGATGGAGAAAGTTTGATGCTACATTGCGTTGGATGACATCGTCTTCTTGCAGGAACTTACATAACGGGTAGCCTTTGGGGGTACAGATTGGCTGGATGAGAGAACTGTGAGAGGAAGAGAAGGAGGAGCAGGTTCGGGAGGTCGGAAGTGAAGGATTGAGAAGGGAAGTGATCAATTGGTCGAAGGAGAGGGTCTATGATGAAGCAGGGAAGGATGGGTTTGAGAAGATGAGGTTCACGTGGAAAGGTGAGGATGGGAGGAGCTTTGACTGTGTGGATGTCCATCCTTCGACGCACTGTCTGAAATGGATGGATTGAACCAAGGAGGAGAGAACAGAGGGTCGCCTGAGTCTAAGTCAGGCTCCAGCCAACCTGGTAGTCACGCACGTACGTATGTAGTAATGGGATTCTCTCATTGATGGATGGATGATGGATGACTCTGGGTGGCTGAATGTGGATGGGAGGATGGGTGGGGAAGTGGAGGGACTAGATGGAATGGATGGAAAGAAAAAAAAAAATTTTTTTTTCTCTTGGGATTTGTGAAGACAAACAGCATCAAGATATACTATGACTTGCGATAAGTCAACAAAACAAAACACTGTTTAAGCAATTGATGCACATGATTGATGAGGACGATAAGTTCTTAGTGATATTATGGGTAGGTAGATAAACTTGAGTGTTGCGAGTGAGGATGATGGGTGGGTGGTACAAGGGCCTCTGAGGTAATGAGATGGGGGTTTGAGGAAGAAGAGAATGAGGATATGTGAATGGTGGTATAAGTCCCTCTGTGGGAAGGATGAACACCCTTATCATTCATGTATACGGTAGTATATAGAGGGAATATAGCCTTCTCTGGCTTGGTCATGTTGAATCATCTGCGCGCACAGTCCCGGAGCTCTATAAACAGCAGGAAATTAGTTACAACTATGCCTTATGATGTCTAGAAGATTTTGATTGGTAGGGAAGGGTGATCACAACGAAGCAGCCTTCTACCTTCAACCCTCGGGTAGGTAGTTAACATCTCTACCTTTTGTATATAAACACTGGGCGATCCTCTCATATTCGACACCATGGGTCTTGCTCTACTATCTGAACGTAAAACAGCTCTACCTGTTCAGGTAGTAGTGGTATGAAAAAGGGTTCCATATTTTTTAACTTCCAAGATCTACATATGAACCTGTGTAACCGCTGCTTACTGTTGCCGAGAAAAATCACCACATATAATCAAAATCCACCACAAGAACCACCAGGGTTCAAGATCTAACATGTGGGGTTGCGATAGAAGGGGGCGAGAGGGGGGGGGATGACGTCAAAGGGTCGTTGTTGGTTACCTCGCACTGTAGCATCTCTACGGATCCGTATAGGCCAGCACCATCACATACCCCATCACAGTCCAGTTGTTTACAACAGTACAATAGACTCGAGAACCTGGTTATCCCATTTTCAATATGACATATACGATATATACCAGGCTCAATTCCATGCCGATTGGAGTCCAAGAGCTAAATTGAATGAGATGTCGCCAATATCATACTTCCCTTGTCACGGTCACAGAAGCGGAAGCGTCTCTCGAGCATGGACATTAAAGCAGTTAAGGTAGGGACGAACGAGTGGTCCCGATGGCGATATCATAAGCTAGCATCATTATCGCCTTCTCAGCTTGCTTGCCTTCCTGCCAATGCAAGCTGACCTGCAAAACACCAAAAAAGGCAAACAAATCGCGGCGAACTCGCTCACTGTGTCGAGGTGGCACCAATTACAGATTGGTACCTAACAAAGACTGCCCACACTTCCAAGTGAGGGGGTTCCGAAGACGTGGATCTCGTGTTCTCGCATCCTGTGGGTATAGGTGATGCATAATCAAATTCCGATTTACCTTGAGATTCTTGGCTGTCCCATTGAGCGTACACTCACCCCCACTTCTATGAGCAACTAACCTTCTCTTTACATTACTCGGCTCAGGCATCTTTACTTTTCAGGGTTATCGCTCTTGTATATCGATACATGATTCCGTGGTTTGGTTAAGGCCCAGTCATCATGTCGAGCATCAGAGAGCTAGTTGAGCCTATGCTCATCCATGAGAGGGTAGTTGAGTCAAAGAAGAGTATGTCCTCCCTTCAAGCTCACTTAACCTCTCTCTAAGAGATATGACATCTGTGACTGTCTCTCTCACACAGTATACTAATCACTTTCACAGTCTGGACCACCCTCCTGACCAATACCTCCTACCTTCCCGGCGTCCTCGCCCTCCATCACTCCCTTACCCACCTCTCCCATTCCTCCCACCCCCTCGTAGTCCTCTACACCGACGCTCTGCCCCCGGCTGCCTTAGCCGCCCTCGACATCCGCGGCATCCCCCATCAAAAGGTTAACCCTGATCCATACCAACCCTATGTCCCCTCGCATCCTTTAACCTCTCGAGGCGGCAAGTCAGAAGCAACGAACCCGAATGCTTTTGCGTTTGCGCATGACCCCAGGTTCAGGGATTGTTGGACGAAGTTGGCGGCATTTTTCATGGTTGGCTATGAGAGGGTTGTGTTTATGGATGCTGATATGGCGGTTGTGAGTGAGAGGGGTGTGGATGAGTTGATGGACGTGCCGTTGGAGGGGGATGAGGATGATGTAAAAGAGGGGGAGGGGAAGGAGAGACTGTTTGCGGCGTGCTGCGCATGTTTGTGTAATCCGTGCCGGTTCGAGCGTGAGTATTCCTTTCTTGTGTTTACTCAATGAATGATATCAGGGGTAGCTCGAGAGTTGCCCCTGAGCAGCATATTCAAACAGCATAGCTAACACCTCCCAGACTATCCCCCCAACTGGACCCCCCCGTCCTGTCCTTACACCCAACTCCAACACCTCCGCTCTTTCTCCAAACCCCCCAAGCGCTTTCAAACCCAAACCAACATCCCATACTCCCCGGGTAACACTGAACTAAACGGCGGCCTCCTCGTGATCCGCCCCTCACGAAAAATCGCTTCGCAAATCGCCATCGCCCTGCGCAACCCATTCTTCCTCGAGCCCGGCCGCTGGAGCTTCCCTTTCGCCGAGCAATCCTTCTTGACAAAACTCTTCCCCATGCGCTGGACGGTGCTCCCGTGGAAGTATAACGCCTTGAAAACCCTAAGATGGCAGGGTTTGCACTCAGGTAGGAAGAGGCTTTGGGAGGATGGGAAGGTGAGGGCGGTGCATTGGATTTTAGTGCCCAAGCCTTGGGGGGTTGGTAAAAAGAGGAAGATCAAAGAGGAAGGAGAAGGAACAGAGGGGGAGAAGAGAGTCAAAAAGGAAGAGGGAGCAGAGGAGACCTTTAGGGGGAGTTCAGGTGGCGATAAGATGACCACCAACTTGACCTTCCCAGACAGTAAGGCTGTGCTCTCAGCATCGACAGGGTCTTTACCTTCTCTCTCGCACTCGTCACCCAGATCTTCGTCTCTCGTCTCAGGTGGATCTACTCAGCCTCAAACTCAGCTGGACAACAACCAACCGTCATCATCACAGGGCGCGAACGCGGCTTCCTCTTCGCCTCCTGAATTGGTCTGGACCAGTAGCCCATCACCTTCGACATCAGGCAACTCTGGACCGGAGCCACAGATACTCGCTGTTAACCCCCTTCCGACCGAGCCGGAAATCTTCTGGTCAAGTACGTCCACGCTCCTTGGGGAGGATGCCACTATCAACTTGGAACAGGCAAAACTGTTCAAAAAAGTAAGCGATGAAAGAAAGGATGAGAAGCAAGCGGAACATAAAATCGCCAAAATTATTCCAATCAACACTGCACCTGCCGGCCAGGAACTTGGTGGCAGCAGCAGTAGCAGCAGTCCTGTCGCAACAGACAGCAAGTTCGTAGATGAACCGGACTCGGAAGACGAGTGGGAATACGAAGACGGCAATGATGCAGTAACCAATGGATGGTGGAGAAAGATTGATCGGGCGAGGAGGAGATTGGATCGGGAGAGGGGGATTTATGATGGGTGGTAACAGTGTAATACTCTTGCCTGGAACTACTTGTGGATGAGAACGGACACATGGTATGGAGAAGGGCTTAGACTGGCACGGCGTGCTTGGAGTAATGATCATAGGAGAGCTCTTATAATGCGGGCAGATTGACTACGGCGTAACGGATATTCGGAATGGGGAGTAGAACGGTTTGGGTTCTTGGTACTCGCCTACATAGCGAAGCGAAGGGAAAATACAGTCCCGAAGATCATATCCCATTCATATGGATTGGTTAATCGAGTAGCGTTATTGACTGCCATTGGAGCTGAAGAAACAACTTATTTCCGCGACACCATTTCTGTGGTTATAGTGAACCCACAAAGACCTGACTCTCAACCTCTCAGTTCTGACACCCGACAAGGATCATGAAGAGTTTGAAATAAAAAGGCATACAGTGGCCCAGTCAACTGGCTCGACATAAACAGTCACGGTAGTTGAAGCATTTTCTGTTCTCACAAGTACATAGAGACAACAAGTGTATTGAATGCTCCCATAGAAAACAATTGGCATGAAGTCTATCCCTTGGCTCCACGGTAACGAAAAAAAAAGTATATGTTGAAGACACTGAATCTCTCTAGAATTCAGTCAAGAGGAATGTGACACCTACAAGTCAGCCACACTGACTCAATTTTGCAAAATGTTTTTTTTTATTTTTTCAAACCCAATGACGTCTAGATGATAAGATTTTTTCCAAAAGACGCTCTACAAATACTATGTGTCTGTCCTTCATGATGCTTCTTGTACACCTACCTACCGGTCTATGTCTAATCAATGGGCTTTGTTGCCTCAAGGATCAGCTTCACTTATGCTGTGGGGTTATGAACCTACAATATATTCAAGTTGGATAAACCCAGCAGAAGTGACCTGACAAAAACTTTCTGGGATCTGTCACAAGCACTCTCTGCCGACGAATACCGGGCTTTAAGACAAATAAACGGCATTACAACTCTCTAAAGCAAATTCCTCGCAACTTAGAATGAACAAGACTAATATAAAACTCGGACCACGGAAGTCAAAGGCCCCTTCCATGATTCAACTACCTCCCCCTAAATCAACACAAACCTCCTCCCAACACAACCAACACCAAATCAAGGCACCAAACAGCAGCTGTCCACTTTTGCCATGTCTTTGCAAGAGAGAGCAAGTGTGTGTGAGAGAGACAGACACAGGTGTTCAAGATGATGACGAGTATTACCTAAGTCTTGCGTATGCATGTTTATAAAAGAGAGCAAGCACGTCCACAACTTGCAGACAGATTAATTATCTTTTATCCTCTTGCCATGACAAAACCAACCATTCCTCAAAACAATCCATCACACCTCCCCCCTACCTAAATCCCCCCTTCCCTCTCCCTCCATAACTACCCCTTTTTACAAGGCCGACGCAACAGCGGCAACAGCAACCAGCCCAAACAGCGCGGTGTTGAACACGACGCCAGCAGCGGAGCTCTCGTCGTCGGAACCATCAATCTGGCCGTCGCCGGTGGAGCCAGCGCCGGTGTCCTCGTTGGCAGCAGCGTTGTCGCTCGTGCAGGTGAAGGTGCCCTCGACCTTACCGTTGCCGCCCTGGTGAGCCGGGGCCAGCTCTTTCAGCTTGTCGCAGACCTTGCGGATGTCCTCGGTCGAAGAGACGTCGAAGGCGCCGAGGACGACCTCCAGGGAGGGGAAGTCGACACTGTACACGGAAGTCAGTAGGCTGTAGAGTTGAATGTTTGGTTAGGTTTTTTGGGAGGGGGGGGGGACGTACTCCTTGAAGCTACCACGCAGCTTGACAGCACCGCCGACCTTGCGCAGCTTGGGGAAGGCATCGATCTCCTCGAGCTCAGTGTTGTTGGCGATGAGCAGACCGCCGCCGAGCTCAGTGAGGACAGGGAAGGACAGGTTGGTCAGAGCACCGTTGCCAACGAACGAGATGTCGCCCTTCTCGGTGTGGGTCAGGTTGGGGGCGATGAAGGACTCAAAGAAGTTAGAATCGAAGCGAGCCGAGCCGTTGACGACCCGCAGCGAGGGGACGTCGAAGGTGGTGACGTTGGCAATAGCGAGTTCGTTGGCCCAGATCAGGTTGGGCAGCTCGACCTCGAGACCGAGACCAATGCCGTTGGCGGAGATCTTAAGAGCGCCAGTGACGGTCTGCAGGGCGCTGACGAAGCTGGTCAGGCGCTTGTTGTTGTTGATGTCGAGGGAGCGGATGGTGGTGACGTTGATCATGTCGACGCGGGAGGTGAAAGTATCGCTGATGGCGACCTCGTCGGCCTTGGAGAGGGGACCCAGGGTGACGGCGTCCAGGGCGGGCAGCGCCTGGAAGGTGAGCGAGCCGACCTCGGTCAGGCTGGGGAATTCGACGCGGTTGAGCTTCTCGAGGGCCTGCAGCGTGAACTTTCCGCCGACCTTCCTGAGCGTGCTGCTGGTGATGTAGTCGAGGTTGCTGATGTTGAAGACCTTGAGGTCGCCAGTAATCTCGCTGGGACCAGAGAGATCAATGCCGCCATCGCCGGTGACGACAACGGAGCCCTCGAACTTCTTGCAAGAGGCGATCTTGGTGGCTTCAGCCTGGCTAGCGACAGTCGTCGTCGTCGCCTTGCAGCTGGACTGGGCTATATTGGGTCAGTCTGGACCTCTTCCGGAGTTGGAGCTAGGAATGGTTACTTACCGACGGCAGAGCCGACAGCCGCGAGAACGGGGAGGATCTTTGTGACGATCATTTTGATGGTCTATCTGTCTGCACCACGGTTAGATCCCGAATTCCCAAATTTTGGAAAAGGTGAAGTTGCAGAGTAGTCGCGACGCGAAGGCGGTGAAGAAAGCTCAGGGCAGCAATGAATCGCAACGACGTTGACCGAGGAAACAAAACCAGCACTCAGGACTCCCGGGAATGGCGAACCCAAGTCGCAGGCAGAGAAACAACCCCAGATTCGAGTTCCAAGTTTCGGGTGTCAAAGAAAGCTCGGACGAAACCTCCTGGCTGCCTCTGACCACGTCTCTCTACCTGCCTTCCCTGCCTCGACCCTTCACGCTGTTTCTCGTGAACCAGATCTGGCGGATCCCATTGAAACAGATTGGGTGGCCAAAGGAACAAGGTGAGCCCAGTTTTCTGCTGTTGCGACTCGACTCGGCTCGTGATATACTTGGCGATGTTTGCTCTGGGCGGAGTGGAGATTGTAGATAAAGAAAACAACAGCCCTGGAAATTCCTGGATGGCAAAGGGGTCCGATAATGGATTTTGTCACCGAAACAACGCGTCGCGAACACTGTGCACCTGAAACCGCCTTTTCCCAGAGTTCGGACGAGAGATCCACGGGGAATCACCAAAACCCACACTGCAGCACACACGAAACGCCAAATGCCAACGCACCTTCGTCGATGGAGTGTCGCAATGGGCGCGCCTCTTTTACAAACACGCACGGGAAGGATGGGGAGAGCGAGAGAAGCTGAGTTGGATGTCCAAAAGAGAGGCGCGGAGAAAAGGGATACGTTCAATAAACTGGTGAGAATATGGCAATTCTTCACCAAAAGCGCACGAAAAGGTGCAAGGAGGATTAGTAACGAGTGAACGAAAGGCAAAAAGGCACTGAGGTTGTGTCCAAGGTCGGAGGAGGTAAAGTTGAGACAGGAGAGCGAGAGGAGGAGGAGGGAAAAAAAAGTGTGTGAAACAGGGAAGAAAGAGGATGGAAAGATGACAGACGGAGCGTGGTGTGGCTTGATCAAGAAGCTTTCTCTCTCTGGCTCCCTACTCCCTGAACAGGGAGCAGGCAAGGGGGGGTGAGCCAGGGCCGCCAGGGCAGTCGGTCAGGGGATCAGGATTCGTTGCTTTCGCTGGATCCGGACTGGCCTTCACCCGTGGCTTGCGACAACTGGAGCCATCCAATGCCAGATGGAAAGCCATTGGGAGCCATTGGAACATTGGAACAGCGGCTCCAGGGGTTTTACTGCAGCGTTCATTTTGCACAGTGGGGCCCGCCTGTAATACGGACACACCCCCGTTCAATTTGACTGCTTCTCCTGTGCCGCCCCCTGTGCCAGCCCGATTTCAGCCAATGCCAGCCGACGCCAGTCCTCGCTGTTGGCTGATGAGCCCCCACCCGCGGAGTGTTGAATGGTCACTGCAAAGACGCTCAGCTTCGCATGGATGGGACGGGCTTGAAGATGCCGAGCAGCAGATGTCTATGACTTGCTTTTCGAATGCATTCCAGGTTTCAAAAGTGTTTTCTCGCATTACATCCACCATGTTCTTGTCAATTGGTTCAACATGATCCTGAAGAGACCCAAAAAGCATTGCCATGCGGTCGTGCTTGTTTGGAGTCCTCTGCACACGTCGCCGTCCACAACAACGAAGCCCTCCGTGGCAAATTCTAGAGGAGTGTCACTATCAAAACCACAGACGACGGTGTCACCCCAGTGGATCCCGAAGTGCCTCGTCTGGAGTGGGCCGACTGGTTGGTTTGGTCACTGGACTGCTTGGGCGAACAGGGGGCTTTCAGTTCTTTTCGTTCCAACTTCTTTTCGCTGCAGCAGTGTGAAATGCTTGGCCGAGCACGGTCCCCGTTTTTGGCTGTGAAGACGTCGATGGCGCTCCGAATCTCTTTTGGCTTGGCTTGGCTACATTAGCCAGGGGCAAAAAATGGAACAATGGAACGCTGCGAAATCTTGATCATTTCGACGGTGATTGCCAGTTGCCGATTTCGAAGAGGTGGTTGATGCCTCGTTTCGAAGCATAAAATAACGATGATAGGATTGCTAATGTGGGTTTTCATGTCAGCGATCGCTGCTCTGCTATTTTTTTTTTCATCATGTAGAAAAAGACTTGCGCCCCCCTGTTGGTTCTGGACTTCTTGGCCTGTCTGCTTATTGTTCTGGATCCCGTTGTCAACTGACAGAAGCCGAGGTACACAACAGGTCCCATCGTTACAACGCTGCAACGTTCCATATCCAGCGGTTTCGCTTGTTTCTGCAATGACGTTGGGAGAAACAACAGCGGAAGCAACACGAACTTGTTTGTGTCTGAGCTGTCCATTGCTTTCAGAACGGTCTAGGATGCTCTTCACTGTCCTCTTCCACTAGCTCTTCAATGCAGAGAGACGATGAAGGGAAAATTCATATGATCATCACGACTCCATCGCAAAAACGAATATTACAACCGGCAGAGGATCGACATGACATGGATCTTGCAAAGATTTGGAAACGCCGAACTCCGGTCCTCTTCAACTACTAGCTCGCACCATAATCGCGCCAAAAGTCGAGGATGACAGCGTTGTGTTTTGTTGTCTTGCCAATGTCTTGAACTGCGGCCGATCAGAAACGAAACATCCATCTTGCGGTGTTGAGATCTCATTGCCGGTATCACAGACTCTGGTCTGGTTTCTGCTGTTCCTACAGCCAGTCTGAACTTATCCAACTTGACCGTTTTCTGGTCCCTTGCAGCGGATAAAATCCCCTAGGAGTCAACGTCCCCTTCTTAACAACGGCTCCCTGAGTCGGCAAGCATTTCACACTTGCTCTCTCCCGGTTTACGTTGCGCCCAAGGTATTTTCCCGACCCGTGGGATACGCGCAGCATGCAGCATGCAAGAGGACGGGACGTTATCCGCAAAACTTAACGTATGTTGTCCCTGCCTACGTGCTTAAGCTTAAACGCGGGCCATTTGGGGTGGGAACCTCAATGTTGTCTATCGTGACAGTGCATGACTGCAGTACATTAGCTCTTTCGTGTTCACTCTGCTACTGCGTTCGGCTTTCTGCGTAGCCATTGCACTACTTGAAAGTCTGTGATGTGTGAGATGCAACCATTTAGACATGGTATATTTTCGGTCCTCTGTTTCGCCGCTTGCGTAAGTAGTTGCCCATGCGTAACGGCTGTGTTCACGCTAAAGCTCGGGTGGGCAAAGTGGGGTGTAGAAGCAACCAGGCGATGAGGTTGTGGTATTGACGACGTCGTCATACCGGTAAAACAAGGCATCTATGCCATCTGAAGTGGTTGCAGCTCAGACCCTGTTCGTGCGAGCGCTATGGGTAGACCGAACTACTCACAAGGGTCCGGGTTTAGGGGTATGATATCATGCGGCTCTGATCATAGCCTCAGCCCCGAAAACTTGCTCTCGGGCAAAACCTGGCTGTTGACGAGGTGAGCGCAATGGGCACTAGGCCACAAGGTCACAACAACGGCAGACCGCTGCATCAACAACAGCTTTGTCTCTCCGTCCGTGCCACTAGGGATCCTGTCTCAGACGACGGCAGCTCACATCCTCTGCCAAACTCGCGACCCTGACCCGATCCCAAACAAAAACGGTTAACACACTTCATCCGTCAGACAAACCAAAAAAAAAAAAAATAATATAGGCGTGATCAAACACATCCCCTCACCCCTTGGACGACCCCTCCATAGCCTCAACATCCACCTCCTCCACCCGCCACATATACCACATAAACAAGCTCCTATACGGCCTAAACCTCTCACTCACTTCTATCATCTCTCTCTCGCTCATATACTTCCACTTCCCTTTCTTTCCCCCCCTCCATTCCTCAACCTCCCCACATCCTTCCCCATGAATCTCGCCAACCCCCTCTGAACCCCCAAATCCCCCGTCGAAAACACATCCATCCTCTTCAACGCAAACACGGCGAACATTTCAGCTGTCCAGCGGCCTATCCCGCGGAGTGAGGTTAAAAGAGTAATGAGTTCTTCGTCGGGGGCTGAGGCGAGGGTTGTGGTTGACAGGGTGCCGGAGAGGAAGGCTTGTGAGAGGGAGTGGAGGTATTCCGCTTTGCGTTGAGATAAACCGGCCGTGCGGAGAGTCTCTAGCGGGGTGGCTGCCACCTGCGCTGGGGAGGGGAAATATCGGGAAAGGAAGGGTTGTTGAGACTGGGATGGGGGCTGGGCTTGGTCCTCGTCCCAGAGTTGAGGCTGAGAAGCGTCGCCATCAGAGTTGGACGGTTTAAACAGCGCGATGAACTTCGCCTTGATACTTTTCGCGGCTGCGCCGCTGACTTGTTGGGCGATGATACTGCTTGCTAGGGCTTCAAACGGATCTACTTGCTCAGCGAAACCCTCAGGGGAGAATAGTCGACAAGGATACTTGTCGATGAGGGGTTTGAGACGGGGCTCAACGCTGATGAGGTGGTCGACGGCTTTTTGGAGGATGTTCTCGGTTGTCGTGATGGCTCCAACTGTTGAGGAGGGTGCTTGGGTTGGTGAGGGGGCGACGCTCTGGCTGAGTTTGGACTTTGCGGGACTAGACACTGGGGAGGAGGTAATTATGCGGGAGGTGTTGGGTGAGCGGAGGACGGCGTTGGTGCGGTTGGGGTCGGCAAGACGGGTGATGGACGCGGGCTTGGGCTTCGAGGACGGGGTCGATGTGTTGTGAGAGCAGGTCCCGTCCGTCATGAGTTTCACTGCGGCTGGAGTGGGTGCTCCTAAGGGGCCGACGGTCTGCTCATTCTTGATAGCACGCCGCCGGCGTGGTGTAGAAGGTGCGCCATCGGCATCTTCTGAGACTGTTTGGGAAGCCTTTCGCTTCCGTGATGCTGCGGGAGCTGAAGGAGGGGCTGGAGCCGTAGCCTTTGTGCTGGCTAAGGCAGCAAGACGAGCTGATCTCCGTGTTGCCATTCTGTCCCTGATCGTAGATGCTCGAGTATGAGCTGGGGATTACAAGGACAAAGACTGGTCAACGCGAATGGATATTGAGGACTGTAACCCCCAAACCAACAAGTGATGGAAGGGTCTCAACAATTGAGCCAGCCGTAGTTATTGCAACGCCAACTGGTGAGAACATATCACGATAAAACTCGTGGGATATTTTTTTTTCCTGGCCTATTCATCGATGAGCTTGGAAGCAAAGAGTCAATTTCACCCGAGACCCTTGACCTCGCCCCTCATGAGACGCGCCCTACGCATGTCATCCGCGCCGCCTGTCGCCAAGTCACGTGATCACACACTCAACCCAGACCCTTCGATCTGGGCCTGCACCGGCTCCACTTCTTCCGGTTGATCGGCCGGATGTCCCGTGTCGTGTCAAGAAGCGCAAAGGGGAACGCTTGAATGCCATTTTATTTGGACCCACCGAGTTTTTCTCAGCGAGTCTACTGTCGACGTCCAGGACAGAGTGGCAAGAAGCTGAGGGCATCCACAGATTGGACTCGCGAGGGGTTGAGACTCACTATTGTTTTGTCAGGGCAAAAATCGAGATGCAGCGTGTCGTGCTTATCGCGGCATGGAAATTGGGGCTTTTGACCAGGAAATTGGATGAGGGCGGCCCGCTGCCGTTGCAAGCCCCCAATGACGGGATGCAGAAGGCAAGGATGGGTGATAAAAGTGTGTATGCTTGCGCTGTCTATATTACAGTTACACTACGGGGGGCTCGGCGATGAGCCCGAATAACTGCTGCCTGGGTTCGTGTAGATATTTTGGGATTTCTCTGAGAGAGCTCCTGAAGCGATGAATTTGCGCACTACGCTTGCAGCTCGGCCTGGCCGGTTGGATTGGGCAGGCCAGTAATCCAAGAAGGATTGAAAAAGAAAATCAAGGAAAAAGTGTAGAGTTCATATTTTGCAAGGACAGCCCTCGTCCAGTCTTGGCGTTCCCTTAGACCAGCGGGCAGCAGCCCCTAACAGCCGGCACTCCCTGTGGCGGCGCCCAAGGGGACCAGACCCAGAAGCCCAGACGACGCTAGCCAGAAGCGAGAACCCTTTTTCCATGTACATTGCGTTGGATGTCCATCCGTCCTGTTCTGACGATTCTGCTGCTCACGCTCGTATGTCTTGAGCAGCGCTGCCAGAGTCGAGTTAGAGGGCCAACTTGCACAACTGCTGCCTCTTGCCAGTAGCAAATCCAGAAATCCCGACGACACGATAGGTAACCTTCCGCACGTACGTGCTACAGCCCGCTATCTCAGCCAAGCGCACGCCCGTGCCGACCATTCACCATTCGTTTAGCCCAGTATCCCACATCTCCCAGCATCCATCAGGTCCATCAGCCTGCTCCGATCGGCTCGATCCAGTCCCGAGTTCACCGTTCTCTATCGTGCGTCTGCTCTTGACTGCGCCTGTGCCCACACAAGGCTCGACAAGTTCAGCGCCTCCTGGTGTCACGCCCAAACCCGCTTTTTCTCCGTGTCCCGACAAACTCGGCCAGTTGGCGACAAATAGCCTCGCATCACCTCGCTGTAACCCCGAGCCGGCCTCGACCGCGCGTCGTCGAATCCCTCGATTGGCGCACCCACGAGAGTGTTCCGTAGATACCACAGATATTGAGAAACACACGCGGTAGCGGGGGCACCTTGTCCTACCCGTTGCGCCATTGACGTTTCGGGGCGGTGCCCGGGGCCACTGACCTCTTTTCCTCTTATTCCTCTTCTTCTACTTTCATCATGCTGCTTCCAAAAGGCGGTGTCAGCTGGAAAGCTGCCAGAGCACGCCTGCCTCCGGGCAGGGCGATATTTGTCGTCCTAACAAGGGCGCGCTTCCTCCTCCTCATTGCCATTGCCGCCATAATAGTATTACTATGGCACGGCATCAGCTCGTCCGCGCCTGAGATGCAAAGGTATGGCCCTCTGCCCCTCCTTATGAGACCAAAAGACATTGGCTGATTTCGAAACCCCTCAGATTCGTCTGCTGGGGCCCGTCGAAACCCCCGACAGAGATGACTCTCACTGAGCAAGAAAGATGGGCCGCCCACCTGCACACGCCCGTCATCTTCAATCCGCACGCCCCGATCGAGATTAACTCGTCGACCATCGTCAACGTCAACCTCAACGACATCAAGTCGACCACCAAGGCGTTGGAGCGCGAGGAGCGCGTGCTGATCCTTACCCCGCTCAAGGATGCCGCTCCCTACCTCAACAAGTACTTCGAGTTGATCGCCAAGCTGACCTACCCGCACCACCTGATCGACCTGGCTTTCCTGGTCGGCGACTGCACCGATGATACTCTGGCTGTGCTGGCCACCGAGCTCGAGCGCATCCAGAGCCGTCCTGATCATGTCCCCTTCCGCAGCGCCATGATTGTCCAGAAGGACTTTGGCTTCAAACTGGACCAGAGCGTCGAGTCGCGCCACTCGTTTGAGGCTCAGGGTCCACGCCGCAAGGCCATGGGCCGCGCTCGTAACTATCTGCTTGCTACGGCTCTCAAGCCGGATCACTCGTGGGTGTACTGGCGCGACGTGGATATTGTCGATAGCCCCGATAAGATCATTGAGGACTTTATCGCGCATGATCGGGACATTATTGTTCCCAGTATGTGCCCTACTTGAAGTCAGGGAGAGAGTAGAAGCTGACGTTATGCAGACATTTGGTTCCATCGCTACGAGAACGGCCGCGATATTGAGGGAAGATGTAGGACCACTTCCACCCCTCCTAGCCCTCCGAACAATAGAGTATAGCTAACGTTGGATAGTCGACTACAACTCGTGGATCGAATCTGATAAGGGCCGCAAACTACGTGCCACCCTTGACCCTGATGTCGTTCTGGCTGAAGGCACGTCACCTCACACTCCTTTTGTGCCCTTTCCCCGCTAATCCTTCCTAGGCTATAAGCAGTACGACACCGGCCGCACCTACATGGCTCGCATGGGCGACTGGCGCAACGACAAGGACGAGGAGATCGAGTTGGACGGCATTGGCGGTGTGAACATTCTCGTCAAGGCCGACGTCCACCGGTCTGGTGAGTAGAAGCCTAGTCTCCTATCCTGGAAACATAAAACACTAACAATCTGGTAAGGCATCAACTTCCCCTGCTACGCCTTCGAAAACCAGGCCGAGACCGAGGGCTTCGCGCGCATGGCCAAGCGCGCCGGCTACGGCGTCTACGGCCTGCCCAACTACGTCGTGTGGCACATCGACACGCAAGAGAAGGGCGGTAACCTATAGTGCGAGTATCCTTTTCCTGGAACTCCTGCTTTGGTTGCTTAATTCGGCCTCCCAAACAAGCCGACTTTTTTTTCTTTTTTTTCTCTGAGCCGGGCTTTTCACTCTTACGTACTACTACTACTACTACTACTAACACACACACACACACACACACACACAAACCTACTACAAAGACAAGCAAATATTAGTCGTATTTTCTCCTCTGCACACACACACGCTCGAACACGCACGCAAGACGCATATACATACAGACACATATACACGCCACACGCACAAACGTACGTTGGAAAGGCAGGCTGTTTTGCTTGGTTGGCTGATTGGCGGCTAGGAGGAATGGAAGGAATGGAAGGAATGGAAGGAATGGAGGGTAGGATTGTGTTAGGAAAGCCTTTTGTGTCATTATGAGTCAAGACGACGGGATGGATGGAAAGAGAAAAGAGGAAGATGATGAAGACAAAAGAAGATAATGCACGCAGTACGTATTACTTATTACTTACTACCTACCATGACGGCTCGAGAGTGAAAGAAGATTTCCCGAACGCTAGCGTTACGCTATTACTACTAAGGACGGGCTATCTCGGACACGCTTATCACTACATTTTGAGGTTCCCGCTTGCTCTAATACGGAGGGTCTAGCGTCACCAACCGGCAATCTGGATAATTCTCTTCCTTGAGAAGCAACTTACCTTAGTAAGAACACGCCGACCCTGGTTCTTCTAATCGCCGTGTTTACTGCCGCTGGGGTCCTTCTTACGGCTCGAACCTCCATTTCAGAAGAGAAAAAGGGCTAGGACAAAGAAGGCCAGAGGGTTACTGTCAAAGAGCTTAACGGTTTTACTTGGATGCGACCCTTCCTCTCCCAGAGAGAAGGGCCTGGAGGGGTAGGGAAGGGAGTTAGGGGGGGGGGAGGGACACCGAAGAACTACAGATAAGGGGATGAATGGGCCTGGGTCATTAATCGTCGAGTCTGGGTCATCTTATGGGGTTGGGGCGTTGAGAATGATAGTGAATGATGGATTGGGTAGGTGATTTTATCAAAGCTGGTCGACTGAAATTATGGGATGGGGTGTCTTTGTTCTTTAGATGTCGGAAGACAGTAGAAAGGTCCCTCGGAGTAGGGTTCCTCAAGTGGGCGGAGGGTGAGGGCTGTTAAAGGGAGGTCTGGTATTTATTGGGGAAGTAGCGCAGCAGACAGTTCCATGAACGATGCTTTGTTAGCCGTGGCTCCTGTGGCTGGTACTCGGGGTGTGTTTTCCGGCTTCGAGTTTTTCTTTGTCTGGAGTATGCATATCTGGTTGGGACGGACTGGTTTTTCTTTTTCCTCCTCCCCCCCCCCCTATTTCACTCCTGAATCCAGTTTTGCAATTGTTGGTTGGGGTGTGGTTCGGTAGGTTGGTGAAGTAGCCCAACCATTCCAGCAAGTAACAGAAGTTATGATTTACTTCGTCTTCGGCACGGACATGGGCGGAAGAGAGCCAAAGCAGGAACAATGCACTCAGCGCTATTTAACTGTTTGCCCCTTGGTAGACCCTGTGTTTGGCAAGTAGCGGTTCTCAGGGGACAGTCTACCACTCACTATACATTTTTCCAGGACTCCAACATCGCTATTCATAACGATGTCCCGGTCACGAGTTGTCAAGACTGTTTTCTGTATTCCAAGTCTATACATGTACAAGCCAGTTCGTCACTTAGAACGACGGCAAGTACCTTCCCCGGGGGTCCAAACCACTTGATATCAACTCAGTTGATCCCCCACGTCTACTAATAACCCTTCCAATCTCCTCCTTTAAAAGTACACTCCTCCCCCTCTCTCCTGAACCGCCCCAACAAAGTCTCCCCCTAGTCAAGCAAAGCAATTTTAGTGCTGGCCCTTCCTCCGGACGACCTCCAGCGTATCGAGGGCGTGACGCTCCTTCTCCTCGGCGACGACCTGCTTGAGGACGGGGGTCAGGTACGGGACGTCTTCCTCGGGCTTGGTCCACTCGTTCTTGGGCAGCAGCTTGTGCTGCAGGCTGAGCTGGGTGGCGCGGCGCAGGCGATAGACGCGGTCGTAGTTCTCCTTGGGTGACAGCCGCTTCAGGGCCTTGAGAACCCGCTCGTCCTCCTCGCAGATGAGGTCATCGGCGCTGGTGGGGTTAGACGGGCGTTCGTTTCGTGGGACGGCGGGAGTTGGGAGCGCAATTGAGCCCGGAAGAGCTTGCAGACCCAATTGGCTGCCCCAGGTCGAGGGTATACTTACCGGAGACCCATCTGACGGTAGCCAGCGGCATTGACGTACCAGTTGGCGACGGGCTTGAGCAGGCGGGCCAGCCAGGGCCGGGCGACGACGGCGTCGATGAGGGAAGGGGCCGGGACGGGCATGGCTGCGGCGAGACTGTGTTTTGGCTGGATCGCACGGGGAGAGGAAGTTGTTGGAGTCTAAGGACGTCGCCTGGTCTTGGGATCGAGATCGAGATTCACGACCCAAATTGCCGCGAAATCAGACGGTTGCTTTGCTTTCTGCCCACACTTGGTTGGTCCGGGCGCAAGCTGCTGCGAGCAGCTCCAGGGCCGGTCCCGCCCCTCGGGAAAAACCGTTGTGGCCTGAGGTCTCCTCGCTTCTGTGCCTAATCCGCAAGGCATGAAATGGCAAGGCGGGGTACGTACCCCGCGATATGTTACGCCGGTACAGAAAGTGTGAAATTACGATACATAAATTACGCCATCAACGGCCGCGATGTGGTGATCATGAATCGGACTGGCACATGTCAGAGAGCCAAGCAACTCGGGACTAAGCCTGAGCCTGTGAACACCGAGCTCCCGCCCGGTCGGCATATTGTTCTGATCCGGGAATTCAGACGATATCCCGGCAGAGCAGTTTCAGGCCGAAGCAATATTGCGCGATTCTAGAGGGCAATCGGCGCACAATCCCTTTGGTCGAGTTGCAGGTGGTGCAGTATTAAGTATCCTTTGTTAAGAGACAGTCATCATCTTTCAGGTTTACTACGCTCACCCTGCGGCGGAATCTTAGTAGGCACAGAGATGGTGAGTGAAGACGAGCTGCCGCTGCTCTCGATCTTATGCCGGATGCGGCCCCCCTGTCTTGACGGCGTTTCAAGCGCTCAAAGACTTCGAGGATTGCATGACTCGGCCGCAGGCAAAGATTGGCAGAGATGCCAAAGGCCCCGAAGTGACGAACCCCCCACCTTTGCAACGCGCCCTGATCAGATCAGCGCCACGGAAAAGTAGGGGCGTCATTGGCTGCGCTGGCCAAGCTGCAACCCAACGTAACTGGAGTGTAAGAATGCCGCGTGCAGAGCGTGTAGAAATACAGCTCGATGTCGAAGTGTCTGCAGTGAGTTTTTGGTTATGAAGAGCGCAGACCCGTCCCTCGGCGCCCCCCGGCACTGAACACCCACTGGACCACAGACTTGCAGCGCCTTGCACTGGCCCACTGAAGTTCTGAGCCCTTCCCGGCTCCCGCGATCCCCCACTGCCAAGACCTCGACTTTCCACTTCCAGTGGCCTTTCGTCTTCCTCTCCCACCTTTTGCGACCACCAACACCGCGGATCACCCACGCTTTTTGTCAACCGCCGGACATTCTTGTGCTGTTGTCTGCGACCACACAAGCGATTAGCCCACTCGCCCACTGCATCTGTCTTTAACCAACTGGTTTTGCTCACACATCACTGAGGGTTTTAGATCGCCATTGACACCTTGTGCCCTACATCGATCCGATTATCCGCTTCCTTTCAGACTTTCTCGCCCTCCCGGCTCCGGGTTCTCCCCCCCCCCCTTTCCCCGCCGCTCGGTGCGCAGAGGCCCCGATCCATTGGCACATGGGCTGCGACCGTCGCTCGCCGTAGTCGCAGTCACGATCCCCAGCCGGCGCGGGCGCCTGTCCAGGTTCCCCGCAATCCGGCACGAGAGGGCATCGCAGACGCTCGAAAGTTTTATACACATCCGGATCCCCATCCGTCCGGACAGCCTCTTCCATGATACGAATAGACCGTTTTTGCCCTTGGTCCCAGTCTGCCTTGTATAGACGACTACTGCTACATCTCGACGTCGGTTGTTACACAATATACAAAGAAGCGGTTTGCGTTCTGTGACGTCTGCCGTGATATTAGACTCGCCAGCCTACCTACAAAGACCTCGGCCATAGAAGAGAATACACTCGTTTCTTGGAACTTTTGAGACCCTGCCTCTCCTCCAGGAAGGCGGCATGTCTCACAACCAACACCCCCTTTCCGCCCACAGCCAAGCGGCGCCCACATCGCCGGCCGAATATGGGGTAGCACTGCCGCAGCGTCCGCCACCATTATCTCGCTCTGCTCCTGCGCCGACAGTCGAGCCGCCATTAGTACCGCCGACGACAGTAGCGGTTGCGGCGACAGCGTCAACAATCGAGTCAGCGGTAGACTCTCTATCCCCATCCTCAACAGCAGCCATGCCAGACGATGTGCCCCCCCACCTGCAACTGACGTACCTCGAGCGGTGGGCTGTCGACGCCTCAGACTCACGCTTCAACGCGCTGGCTGGAGCCATCGGCGGTTTTGCCTCGGGCATCGTCACCTGCCCGCTGGACGTCATCAAGACGAAGTTGCAGGCGCAGGGGGGGTTCAGCACGCGCGGTGCCCACCAGACGAGGGTCTACAAGGGCCTGTTCGGAACTGCTAGCGTCATCTGGCGGGAGGAGGGCCTCAGGGGGATGTATAGAGGGTTAGGGCCTATTATCATGGGGTATCTCCCGACGTGGGCGGTGTGGTTCACGGTATATAATAAGACGAAGAAAGTGCTGGGGGAATATCATTGTAGGCTTCTCCCCTACCTCCCTTATGCGGTCCATGAATGAGCTAACCGACGTCCAGCCAACTCCTTCGTAGTAAACTTCTGGTCCTCCATCATCGCCGGAGCAAGCAGCACGGTCGCCACCAATCCCATTTGGGTCATCAAAACCCGCCTCATGTCCCAATCTAACCCGCACTCCCGATCCGCCTCCTCCATCCCCCTATTACCTCCCAAGGGCCCCGGCGCCGGCAACACTCCGACTTCCCGCCCCGTTCACTATCACCCCTGGCACTACAAGTCCACCTGGGACGCCGCCCGCAAGATGTACACGACCGAGGGCATCCTCTCGTTCTACTCCGGTTTAACTCCCGCTCTGTTGGGGTTGACACACGTGGCAGTACAGTTCCCTGCCTACGAATTCCTCAAAGTGAGGTTTACCGGGCGCGCGATGGGTGCGTCCGCTCCTGAGGGTGAGGATGATAAAGGACACTGGTTTGGGATCTTGAGCGCATCGATTCTGTCGAAAATTTTGGCGAGCTCGGCGACTTACCCGCATGAAGTGATTCGTACGAGGTTGCAGACGCAGAGGAGGCCGATTCCGGGGCAGGAGTATATGGAGGGGCTTGGGGGGTTGACGACGCAGCCGGCGATGGGCAATGGTGTCTCACTCCCCGAGAAAGGGTCAAGTGAGGTGAAAGTGCAGCACCAGGGACCAAAGTATAAGGGGATTATCTCGACGTTTAGGACGATGTTGCGCGAGGAAGGGTGGCGAGCGTTCTATGCGGGGATGGGCACGAATATGATGAGGGCAGTGCCTGCAGCTACGGTGACCATGTTGACGTATGAGTATGTCATGAGGAGGCTGAATCATGTTAGGGCTAGTGGGAATGGGAAGTTGGCGATGATTGAAGCGGGGAGGGGGGAGTTTGGGTCATAGGAGGTTAACAAAGGGAAAATAAATGGGTATAGGGTTAAGGGGATGTAGGAGGGGGAGGAGAGGATGATGGATTACTGCATTACACTTACAATGCGCTTTTCTTTGTTGTTGTTGTTGTTGTTGTTGTCGAAAGACTTTTTTTAAAGAGAGATACATACGCATGGTATGGTACATACAGCTACATAGGTACTACATACTGCTACTGCTACTGCTACTACAACTACGACAGACGAACGACAGACAGAAGGAACAGGCTTGGGGTGCATTAGCTTGGCTTGATTGTCGAGCGGACAGGCAGGCGGGCGGGCATCATGGCGTGTTTCGAATAATTTGGAGCACCAACAAGGGGGAATGGATGATGGATTGCAGTTTCTGTTCTATACGGCATTTTCATCTCTTCTGTTTTTTTCTCTTCTCATCATGTACGGATGGGGCGAAAACGGGTTTCGTTATGGTGATGGTAGTAGATGGCTGGCGGCTGGTTATTTCTGAAGTTGTTGTCTGATCAGCTTGTGTATATATAGTAGATGATTTGATGCAAATCACCTTTTTTCTGGTCAAGATATTGGTGTCTGAGCAACTATCAAAAGTGTCTGAAGCACTTGATCTGATGCTGAGGAGAGCCGTTGGCAAAGAGAGGACTATGTACACCTTTAAGGATTGAGAACTTCTAAGCCATGAGCCCAGTTGAGAAGGATGTACCTTCAAAAATAAATTATTGGGGTATCATCTCCAAGCAAACCCTAAGGTCCTCAATTACTTCTGGCAGATGCCTCGGAGCTCGTCCATCGTCAACTCCGTCACTCTCCCCACCTAGTCACGCGCACCTATCTCGGAAATACCAACTCCCATATATCCACCTGTTCACTCATTAACCTTAGCTATACACGCTGACTTTGATCTTTTAACCTTTCGATCTCCGTAGTTCATGGCCTTCGCCCTTCGAAACCCCTGATGGCAGCAGTACTTCCTCCAACTCTAACCCTCATTCTCGCCTCAACACCTTTCCATTCTCCGAGCAACGTTTGCATTTTGAACAAGCTGCTCCTGCCATCCCAACTCGGCAACTGCGCAGATGTCGGCTCATTGTCGGACCATAAGTCTTATTTTTCAAGGAGGATTGTCAGGGAGAAAATTACCTAGAATAGCGGGAGAAAGATTTTTAAGGAAAAGCGTGAGGACAATATTGCTGCTGATATCAGTCGAAGGGTAAGCTCCCTCTCCTCCCTCTGACTACGCGGAGAATATTTGGGGGCGGGAACGCTCTTGGTTCTTTTCGCTGAAGACAGTGATGACGCCTGCGGCGGCTTTTTACCATGGCTTGTCTGCTTTTTATGCATGTTCAACTTACCCTCCTATTTTCCTTTTTCAGTACCGGTTTTCTTTTCCACATGGGGAGAGACCTTGCTTGCCTTGCCTTGACAGCTACACGAGGTCCTCAACTCGCGCAGCGAGGGGTAACGCGGTAGGTTCCTCTTAGCAGTTTCCCATCTTTACTCATATGTTTTTTTTTCCACTATCTTTGAACTCGGCGTGGTCTCGTCCCTTAATCTGATTGTCCCTCACCAGAGTTCAAACACCTGCCGAGTTCAGTAGTACTAGCAGCGATTTCGTGACGGCAGTGAAAAGGGGGAGTGAGGCCCTAGCAGGTTGCACGGTTTTGTCTTGATTTTCCAATCACACCCCGCTTAAGTCGAAGATGGAACAAATGCCAATTGGAACCAACATCTCCTGCATCCAGGTATCATTAGGATTCTATGGGATGGAAGGGCGCAATGAAGCGTAGTGTTTACGAGGGATGAAACACTAACACTTCTCATTTCTAACACTACCGACTATGTTACCGGACAATACAATGACAACGCCATTAGTTTTGAGGTACCTATATACAGTACAGACACACGAGACAACCATCAGAGCTGCTGATAGTCCTTATCCTACTTATCCTCCACAGTCACCCAAGAACACGCGATCAGCAATGAAACAGACCAACTCAGGGACACTCACCTCACAACTCACCTCACGACTCACCTACCTCCCGTGCCCTCCTGGCATTCTATTTCTGCTCCTTTTTCTCCTCGCCCCCTTCTTTCTTCTCCCCATTCGTCTTCGCCTCCTCCTCTTTCTTCTCTTCTTTCTTCTCCTCCTCGCCATCCTTCTTCTCTTCCTTCGAATCTTCCTTCTTTTCTTCCTTCGAATCTTCCTTCTTTTCTTCCTTCTTTTCTTCCTTCGAATCTTCCACATCCTCCTCTTTACTCTCCCCACCGCCCAACTTCTCCACAATCCCCTGTACAACCTTCACCGTCCCCTCGGGACTCCCCAGCTCCAGCGCGAGCACCTTGCCCGTCTTATCCACCACAAACACACCCCTCGCCGCGCCCTTACCGCCGGGCTTCTTCAACCCCAATGCCGTCAGCAGAGTCGTCTTGGTGTCGCACAGCAAGGGGTAAGGAAGCTTCTGCTTCGTCTGGAAGGTCGTGTTCGCTTTGGGAGAGTCGGCGGACAGCCCGTAGATGGAGAAGCCTGATGTAGAGGTGAGAGAAGAGTGGTTGTCGCGGAAGAGGCAGGCTTGGCGGGTGCCTTTCTTTTCGTTAGTACCGGGTGTTTGGGCTTCTAGGGAGAAGGGGAAAAGGGGACTTACACCCAGGTGTGGAAGCCTTAGGATAAGTGAAGATTACCACACCACTCTTGCTCTTGTCGACCAGCTCCTTGAGCGTGGTCTTGGCGCCGTCGTTGAGCTCGATCTCGCCGCCGAAACCATCGAGGTTGATAACGTCGCCGACAGAGGGGACGGCGGTCTCCTCGCCCGTAGCGGCGCCGTTTGTGGCAGCCTTCTCCTTCTGAACCTCCTCTTTTTTGTCGGCTTCAGCGCCGTCCTTCTCGGCCTTCGGCTTGCGAGACCTCTTGGTGCTGGGCAGCGCGGCGGGCTCGGCGGCGGGCGCGTCGTCGGCCTTGCGCTTGCTGCGAGTGGTGACGGGCATCTCTTGGATGTGAGGAGCTAGATAGCTTGGGGGAAGTATATAAAACTTGGGATGAATATAGCTATAGCTAAGCGCAACACCAGCTCTGGCGCGACGGCTTACGGCAGTGCTGCGAACCGCACGGAATATACCAAGCCTAAGAAACGCCACGGTACTCAGTAACCAGATACTCCAAGTCGCGATAGGTATGCGACTGGGTTGCGATTGGGATTGGGTGGTGTTGTGTAGAGTTGAAGAGACGAGACGGAAGAGGAAAAAAAAAGTTGTGAGGAAAGAAGAGAGAGGTTGTGTCGCGCGGCAGCGGCAGGGAGAGAGAGAGAGAGAGAGAGCCTGCCCGTCTGGGGTTGGGTCACAGCACCTTTTCGAATTCGAAGCTATGGAAAGCTAAGTTTGTTGCGCAAGGAGGGAATGGGCCAATCAGAGTTTGAGTGCGGGCGGCGCTGCCCGCCGAGGACAGGTCCAGTCGGGGCTGGAGTCGGGGTCTGGGGGGCAGAAAACAATGGTTTGGCAGCGTATAGGAAGATGGATGGAGAGCTGGCTGGGTTGCAGGGGACTGGGGATGATGAGATGGACTTGGGGAGGGGGTGTGAAACCTCAACTTCCGGAATACCTAAGATGGATGTATGGATGGATGGGATGAGCACTCTATGGATAGATCCCCCGCTCGCTTTGTTACGGCAGAGAGAGAAAGAGAGAGAAGAAAAAAAAAGAAGCCCGTGATCCGTCCGTGGAGAGAGAAGAGAAGATGAGAGAGACGAGAGGGTTCTCCGTGATGGGGGCGACAGGATTACTGCTGCGGATGGTCAATTGGCTAGTTGGCAGGCTGATGGGCGGACGCTATGGCGCGGGTGTTTCATGCAGAGGTGGTATCTCGCAACAGTGTGACAGTGACATGCGAGTCACGATATGGACACAAAGCGGATCGTAACTGTGGTTGGCGGTTGGCAAACGGGGGCGTGTTTGGGATGTGTTTAACTGCAATATGTACGCAGGATATAAAGACATCTTGGTAGGGAACATAGTTTTTTGTACGATGGGAGAGGGGTTGTTGGTGTCGGACGACGTTGGATATATTTCATACAGAGGGGGGACGGCACTTGGAGACGGTCTGGATGGCTCAACGGACAACGGTCTACTCGGACATCTCAGGATGCGGATGCTGCAGGCCATCTGAAGTCTGAAGTCCTCGAATGGATATTGAGTCTAAATGCAGAAGAAAAGTTATTGTTTTGTCCAATGCTTTTTTAGAAGCCTTCATCAACCATGTCTGCTCAAAGGGCCATGTGCAATGCCGCAATTCCCGTCGCTTCATTTCCAAACGGAAGGGAGAAAGAAACGGGAATGAACCCGTAAAAAATCGACAGGCGTCTCGCTTCCTCCGCCATCTCGTCGCAAGGCTCGCACGCTGGACGCCGACGGGTTCTGGGGAAATTCTCGACCGATGTACAGACCCTGGGGATGTGGCTCGTGCAACCCCGGACCCTCGTGGCTTTCGTGACTTTCTCACGTCGGCTTCTGATTGATCAATTGCTTGCCAGCTGCCAGCCGCCAAGCTTTAGATGACCTGTGCGTTCTTCAACCAACCAAAGAGCCGGGTAATTTTCGGGTCTGGAGCAGCCCGAGCCTCCGCAACGGCAGGCGAGTTGGATGCCAAGACCAAGCCCATCGATCGAGCTCACGTTCGACCTTTGGGGCTCGGGAACACCGATCCACGACCTTGTCGTCGATTCTCCTCCACTGTCCGCACCACATCGGTGTTTTGCTGCCAACCATGGCTTCCAAAGCCGCCGCTGCTGCCGCGAGCAACGCGGTTAGCATTACCAAGGTTCGTCCCCCCTTCAGCTCCCAATGAAACATCCCCATCCCACCTGCGGGGATATCCTCCCTCCCCCTCGATACATGATGCTAACCTCCTCCCCTTACTCCCCTAACCAGAAATATACCGTCCAATCCACCGGCATCTGGGAGCGTATCCGCCGTGCCCTGGTCATCGATCCAAACCGCTCCAACGGCGTCCCGCTCAACCCCTACAACCGCAACCCCTCGCCAGGCGACAACCCCCCGCTGGAGTACACCGATCCCGTGACCATCCCGGCCGGCGATATCGCTGACAACCCGTACTGGAAGCGTGACTTCCGGCGGAACTACCCGCGCCCCAGCGTCATTGCGCAGGCACAGCAGGTCGCGCTGCTGAGCGTGGGGAGCGCGGCGCAGCCTAGGGTGGAGTTGATTGGTGAGGAAGGGACCAAGGCGCTCGTGGCGGCCGAGGAGGAGGGTAAGGAGAAGGGGGTTGCGAAGTATTTGGAGGAGAAGGGCGCTGAGGAAGCGAAGAGGGTGTTGGCTTTGACGGGGGGATTGCCGCCTACGCCGAGCGGGCAGACGATGGTTACTGGGCAGTGGGACGTGCATAAGTATGGGTTGGCGGAGGAGCAGAGTTATGGGGGGAAGTAAGTTTCATCCCTGACCGGCTGACTGGGGTACCAGTTTGGCCTGATTTGAGTTTGAGAGAGTGAGAGCGGTGCTAACTGATTAAGTGACAGCTATCCGTGCCGGTCTTTTGTCTGAGTGTGGGGACGAGAAGATACATGTATATAAGGGGGATAGACTAGGCTAGACGGGGCTGTTTGTGACAAACGGAGGACGTTGCGAGAAAAAAAAAAGAGGACTATATTACCGTCCAATTACCCCCAGTTATGAGAAAGGAAATTCCAATCCACGGTATGGTATTCCAGGTCAGACCCCTCTAGTCTGACTACTACACCTCCCAGCATTCCCATCCCTCCCCTCCTCAATCTCCGTCCTTCTCCCCTTCTGCCCCCCATTAGTACTCCCCTCTCCATTTGTCCCAGTAATCTTCTCTTCATGAATAATCCGTTCAATCAGTTTGACCTTCCCCTGCGCTCTTTTCATGCGACCATCAAAAGCGTCGACCGCTTCGTCTGTGTTTTCGACAGATAGACTCTCTGTTTCAGAGAGTGCGTAGAGCGAGGTGATGTGGCGTTCGATGCGGGGATTGCTTGAGATTAGAGGGGGGAGGGGGATTCGAGAAGGGGGGATGTATTCTTGGGAATTGGACGAGTCGTTAGGTTTTGAGGAAGTAGTGGGGCTAGAAAGTTGATCCTCTTTCGTTGATGTTAATGTTGGTTGTTGCGAGGATGTCTGCCCTTCCCTGTCCCCTTCCCTAGGACCTGCTTCAACACCATTCCGCTTTATTCCCTCCCCTACCCCATCCTTCCCCTGAATCTTTTGCGCAGCCCTCAACCGACAAGCCCAAACTATCGCCTTCCCCTGTAACCGCCCAGCTTCTAGGAATCGCTGGAAGCCTCTTTCTAGTCCGATTTGTCTGCCTTCAGCGCGGCCGGCGGCTATGCCGTCAACTAGGCCCTGCTCGTAGCCTTGGTTGTAGAAACGGTCTTCGAGGGTGAGGAGGTCGTCGAAGAGGTCTGCTGTGTCGTTGACCTCTGACACTGTCGCATTATTTACGGTAGGAATGGAGGGTTGCGGTTGAGTGGATAATGTTTGCGATCGAGAAGGGGATGTTGTCGTCATTCTGGAGCTCTGTTGCTTAGGCAAAAAGAAGGTTTGCGATCGCTAATCAAAAGGGATGGATGTACGTAGTTGTATGGAGCCAAGCAGGATCTTAGAAGCAAGTCCCTGATTGCTAAGCGCAGAAAAAAAAAAGTTTCTCGACGGTTGAGGTAGAATTGAGACTGAGATGCTTTTGGCGGGGTTTCATATCGGAGAGAACGCGCGACGCGAGCACTCAGCGCAGCGGCGCGGGGCCAAATTTTGGGACCCCGCATTGGTGGCGGCCGGCCTTGGTCTTCGTCTGAGCAGTGTGCCCCTGACCGTCATCTCATCTTTGAGTTTGTCTTCACATTCAGAACAAAAGTATAAAGCTTCAAATAGTTAGTATGAGTCCCCTTTAAAACTTCCAATTCTGAGCATTTGTATCTCCTTCAAAAAAATAAAAAAAAATAAAAAAAAATAACGCCAAGCAGGACAAAGACAAGTAGATCGATCATAGGGCCCAGCTAGACCATTCCATTACACCCCCTAACCTCCCCCAAGACCTCCCAACCCTCCTTCAAAGCCTCAATAACCTCTGCTTTCCCCTCAATGAAGCATCACCATTCCCCCATTAGCACAAACGACCTGCCCCGTAATCCATCCCGCCTCCTCGCTACACAGTAATCCCACCACACCGGCCACTTCCTCCGTCCTTGCTAACCTCCCCCCAAATTCTTCCGCCTCCTGCCTCACCTCATTCCCATCCTGTTCCGTGACCTCCATCAGCGGGGTGTGCATCACCCATCCTTTTATTCCCTCCAAAAATTGGGGAGGGTTAGCCCTGTACATAGGACCTTCCACGGGACCGGGGTTGACCGCGTTGACGGTTGCGCGGGAGGAGAGTTCTCGTGCCCAGGTGCGCGTCATAGCTTCTAGGGCAGCCTTGCTCCCGCCATAAACGGACTGCGTCACGAAGCCGCAAGAAGAGGAGACGGAGGAGATGTTGACTATACGACCGGAGCGGTCATTTGGTAAATATGGCAAAGCGGCTTGGACTAACAGCAGCGGAGCGAGGACGTTGGTACGGTAGGTGGCTTCGAAATCTTCGATGGTTACGTTCTCGATTGGGGCGTTGCGCGCGATGCCGGCGTTATTGATTAAGATGTCAATCTGGAACGGTTTTGAGGGGAAGTGGGTGGTGAAGTGCTCGCGGACAAGGGAGATGAGGGTGGCAGGGCCCGAGGGGGAGGAGAGGTCTACTGGGATGGGGAAGACATGGATGTTGTGTTGTTCAGAGAGCTTCTGCGCGAGGGAGGAAGCGAGAGGCGTTGAGCTGGGGGAGGTGTAGTTGAGAACGATGTTTGCGCCTTTGGAGGCAAGGTTGGTAGCTATGGCGGCGCCGACGCCTGTGATGAGGGTGTTAGCAACGTCTCTTGGGAGAAGACAGGAAATGGGCGAAGCCTACCTCTCGAGGAGCCGGTTACGATGGCGAGCTTGCCTTCTAGTGGGCGGGACATTGTAGGCAGCTAAAATATCAAGTCACAAACACGTTGAATTATTTTCTGATTTTGGTGAAATCGAGCAATTGATCTCGTGCTTCTCACTTCAACTTATTTACACGGCCGCAACTCGACTTGACTGGACTCCCTCCTGCGATGTAAGTGAGCCCCGCATGCCCCGCAATGCCCCACGTAAGTGGGCTTCTCGCCAAGACGCCAAGCCAGCCCAGTGGGCAGCACTGAATTTCAACCTTGCCCCACACCAGCTCAACATCAGCGATCCATCACCAGCGCTGTCGTCCCCCTCGTCGTCGTCCTTCCCCGAGAATTATAGTATAGCGAATCAGTTACCCCCAAGGAAACCGCCAACATGGACATCCGCCTCCTCCGCCCCTCCGACATCCCGCTGATTCAGCACGCGAATTTGGAGAACTTGCCCGAGAATTACTTCCTCAAGTACTACCTGTACCACGCGCTCTCGTGGCCGCAGCTTTCCTTCGTCGCCGTCGATGTCTCGCGCCCAGCCAAGTCCCCTTACGACTACCCTAAGATCGTGGGCTACGTGCTGGCCAAGATGGAGGAGGAGCCGGCGGACGGCGTGCCGCACGGGCATATCACATCTCTCAGTGTGATGCGGACGCATAGGCGTTTGGGGATTGCGGAGAAGTTGATGCGGCAGAGCCGTATGTCTCTCACTTACAGCCAGTTTGTGTTGGGCAGAGGCTGACACCAATACAGAACTAGCCATGGTAGAAACCTACAACGCGCATTACGTATCCCTCCATGTGCGCGTCTCCAACAAGGCGGCCATCCACCTCTACCGCGACACGCTCGGTTTCAAGACCGAGAAGGTCGAGGCCAAGTACTATGCGGATGGCGAAGACGCCTACTGCATGAAGCTGGATTTGACCGCGCTCAGGGAGCAGATTGCTGCGCAGCGGGAGAAGGAGCTGGAGGAGGATAAGGCTGCTGCAGGTTCGAATGGCGTTAATGGTGCTGAGGCGGGTACCGAAGGCGTTGATGAGGGCGAGGCTGTGGGGGATGTCGGGCGGGACCCGAATGCGGATGCAAAGAAGGAGAAGATGGTTAAGGTGAAGGTTGGGCGCGCGTTGGGGGTTGGAGAGTTGGTCGAGAGGGATGAGAGTAAGCATACATAGCTGAGAGTTTAAGGGAGAGGGGAGTTTGGGGATTTTTGTGTTATAAGGCTCGGGTGGTTATATGATGTATTTGAAGCAGGGGTAATAGGGTTGGTCAGGATGGGTAAATATATCATGGTTACGGGGATAGAAAATCTGTGAGGGAGCTAGATCTAACGGAGAAGGGATTGTGACAGTAAGTCCTCCATGTTTACAATCTCTCTGTTCACATCAAACCTCCTATAATGTTGCATTCAAGCAGTCTACCACCACCCCTCCCCCTAACAACCTCCGCCGTCTCCTGTGCCGCCACCTCCCTGGCAAACTCCTCATCCGCCTCAGTCCTAACCTTCTCAATCCTCTCCGCCAGCGCCTCTATCTCCTTTTCGACCTCCCTTGCTCGTTTCTGCTGCCTCTCCTTCTCCTCTCGATCCACTTCTTCAACCATCTGCACATGCAGAGCCTCTAGCTCACTGTGTTTCTGCGCGTACTCTATCTCCAGGTCTGATAGAAGCGCGTACTTTGCTTGTGAACCCGTAGGGGGGTTGGAGTCTGGGGCAGGACGGGGAGGGGGTGGCGGGGCAGGAGGGCTATCTGGATAGGAACGAGGGAACTCCCTCCCCACAGGCGTTGCCGGCGCCGACCTCACCTGAGCCGCTCCAAACCCAACACCTCCGGTGGTAGCACCAACCTGCGAGACGCTATCCCCCGGCCCGACTGGTGGTATCTCCCCACCACATCCATACCTCCTTGTCCTTCTCTCCTGCCTACGTGCCTGCCTCCTCGCCTTCTTAGCCTCCTTCTTCTCCCTTTTCTTCCTGCGCCTCTCTTCCTTTTTCGCCTTCCTCCTGGCTTTTCTTTCCTCGCGTCGTTTCCTGCGCTGTTGCTTAACCAGCTCACGCCATTCTTTCAGGAACTGTTTGACTTCTGCTCGGAGGACAGCAAAATTCTCCTCGCTCAGGGGAGAGCTAGGGTTGGGGTTGGAATACCGGGCTTGGCGGATCTGCTCCCTCACAGCACGGACTCGTTCGCGAGTGATGGGCTGATCGGGGTGATGGAGAAAGCTGAGGAGGTGTTGCCGGGCGACGGGCAGCTGGCTGGGGGAGAGGTCGTCGTGCGAGGGGAGGGAGAGGATGCTGTCGACGTCAGAAGAAGATGAGGAACTTGAGGAGGATGAGGAGGAGATGGAGTCGCTGCTACTGCTTGAAGAGGTTGAGGATCTTGAGACAGAGCGGGCTCTGGGGTCGCCGTGACGGTGGGTTGATCGGCCGCGGGGGGCGTCTTCGCCTTCTCCTTGTCCGTGAGAGTGAGAGGGTCCCTCGCCGAATGGGCCTCTCCCCCAGGAGTTACACCTCTCATGCCCTCCGAAGCCCCTTCCCCCTCCATATCCATGACCTCCCCATGGTCCTCCCCAAGCTCCCCAACCCCTCCCCCTTCCCCAAGGACCCCTTGCTGCCCCCCAGGGTCCATGGCCAAAACCCCTATGAGGAGGATGCATTGGAACAGGGTTGCTCAGCACCCTAGTCCCATTGATACTGATCCCCTCCGGTCCAGCCTCAATCCCGCCAATCTTGAGGGTGCCTGTGCGGCCGTCTGCGACGAATGCATTGCCGATGGCGATGCGGTCTGGTTCGACGTGGATTGCGCCGAGGTGGAAGCCTCCTGAGAGGTGACGGGGGTTGTGGGGGCTAGGGCTGGGATTGGAGCTGGCATTGGCGTTGGGGCGATTGCTCCCTCGGGCTCGGAAGCCGGTTGTGAAGGCGTTCCAGAAGCCTCCTCCTGATCCAGAGGGAGATGGACGAGCCTCTTCAGCGGCAGTATCCCTTTGTCCCTCTTGGCCCTGATCCTGACCCTGACTCTGACCGGCCTCCTCAGAGATAGGCATTGGCGGCACCTCCCTCATCTCCGGCATACCATCCCCCTCCCCCCTCGATACTACGGTTCTCTCAGGAACATTCAACCTAATCCTCACCCCTCTTGGCCCAAAAAACCCTTCATTCCACTCCCTTACCGTCTCCTCCATGCGTCTCTTCCTTTCCTCCCAGCTTGGCATCTCATTTCTTTCCCCTTCTTGCCCCTCCCCTTGCTTCTCCCGCCCTCCATCCCATTCCCCCGATCGGAACCCCCCCGGTATTGTGGCTGCTGTCGTCGTCGTTGTTATCGTCGACGGAGGGGGTGAGGTCCCCCTTTTACGTTCCCACGCCCGTTGATTAGCAACATCTACCCACCAAGGCCCCAGAAAATTAACAAACGTCCTCCAGTCTTGCTCATTGATATCCCTCACTCCGAGAGCAGGGGGATATGGCAGGGAATCAGGACCCAAATCCTCTGTCACGGTAATAGGGTACACGAGCGTCGGACGGGTGTACCCGCTTGGAGGGAGAGGCGCAGGGCGGGTGGAGAAATATGCTTGGGCGGCGGCATTTGTTATGTAGGATGCTTGATCGTCGAGGGGAAAATGAGGTTGGGTAGAGTTGGGGCCGGCGACCTCGCTAGGTGTGGAGGAGCCGGGGGGTGTGTAGATGACTGTGCTGGAGGCGTCGTTGATGTCAGTGGAGGCATACTGGGGGACAGCCTCAGCTGGGGTTGTGTTGGGGATGTAGTTGGGATGATTGCGGCCGCTGCCAGCGTTGTTGCTGCTATTGGCGCCAGTGGCGGAGTAGATGTCGGTTTCGCTGTAGGGAGGTGGGGCGATGTCATCGTCTAGGAGGTGGGATGTCATTTTGGATCGATCTTAGGATAGAATGTAGAATGTGAAGTCCGAATTGTAGTAAGTCAGCTTAATAAGGATGGGAGAGGTGAACTAACAGCCTGTGTTGTTGGGCCGAGAGAATGAAGGAAGCAGTTAATGTTGGTATAAGTCAAGCAGGTCTGTGACTCAGATCATCTAGCAGTGATGATCTGATTAATGCACCTTGAACAAAACTCAGAACGAGACAAAAAACACCAGAGCTGGAAAGCACAGAGGGGGGTATGCGATTTATTCATTTCAACCGCCCAGAATGCAGGTAGTGTCTAGCTCAACCCAACAGCCTTATTTTGCCCTTGTCTCCCACAGCACATTCCGCCTGTAGTATGGCATTGCATGGCATGGCATGGTCTCGGCCCAATGTCATGTTCACCACCCTGGACAAAAGAACGCCGCAACCCAGAAAGCCCGGTCACCCCCCTCCCCCCTCCCCCCTGCCCAATGCCAAACGCAATACACTGCACATTCTCTTCAGTAAACCAAGCAGCTTGTAAGCACACATTCCTCATTCACCCGCTCCCCGCATCTGATGCAAATGCGACCCTGTCGGGCCTGGAACCAACATTACTCCGAGTCTACTTCCTCTCCTATCAATCACAAGCAAGCTTGATAGCTAGCAGTGAGCTAAAATTGCCCCACACCACGCACGCCACTTAGCTTACGCGGCCGACTTACTTGGCACAGTGTTTTGGTAGCGTTCTGGCGGTAGGGCTAAAGCTAGGCTGTTGGAGGTGACGTAGTATGTATGGATGTGATATGCTTGAGGCCTCCTGGATGCCTGGCAAGGCTCGAGGAGGAAGGTGTAAAGGCAAGGCAGGAAACTGATTGATTGATTGATTGATTGATGCAATTGTGGTGTGAGTGCGTAGTGCACTCTTTCACCTTACAAGGCAAGTTAGATTAGGTAGGCTTGCAGAGCTTGCTAAGCTTGCAGCTTGCAGCGCAATTACTCGCCAACCTGCAGGGAGAAGCCAATGTCCTCGATCTTGTAGTGGTCAGCGTAAATGCCACCAAGATGGTGACGAGTCTGCGGCCCCCTGGATAACGTCAGTACATGTGACAACCACGCCGTTGTGAATAGACTTACAGATTGGTCAGGTACACGTCGACCAGATCGGGAGGGATATAGTCGGTCGTGGTGTTCTCGACCTCGAACGAGTCCAGCTCAGGACCATCTGCATAGCTGACGTAACTGGACGGGTTGCCCAGCTCACCGCGCGACACTTCATCACTTGGGTCCTCAGGACAGAACTTGTAGACACCACACAGCGCAATTACTGGCTTCAGGTACTCATGGGCAGCCTGGGCGGCAATACACGCCCCGCTGTCGACCAGCAAACCACCATTTTGATAAACCGCCTTCGCGCCGAAAATGACCTTGTTCACTCGTGGTATGTACGCCATCAGCCCGTTACTCGCCAGATTAATGGTGCTAACGCCCGCTGCATTTAGCTTCTTGCGCAGCGCAGCATAAGGCTGCTCCTCCTCCCCGGGAGCAGGCGGGTTCAGGCTGGCTAAAATGACCGTAAACCGACGCTTGGAGGCAGCCTTCACAAGAAATCGCTCGACCGTCTTCGAGGGCTGATAGGCAAGGACGTAGTCGCCCGGATGGATCTGAATCTCCGCAAAGCTGGCGATCTGGTCGTCGGCCTGGTTGATCTCGTCAAGGATCTCTTCGATGCCGTCCATCACCTCGGAGCGCAGCGCGTGCACGCTGAACGGCTGCTGTGCCTGCGAGATGGGCGTCGATGCTCCCGTCACGGGGCTCTCGCTCGGGTCGGCCACCGAGAGCAGGTTAAACATAGACTTGGAGACTTGCAGGCCCGAGGTGAGCGTGCGAGCGGGGGAGGGGGACGTTGTTGGGGAGGAGGCTGGCTCGGGGCGAGGCTTTGGATGTCGGAAGCTGCATCGCTGGCTATGTCGTCGGCATTCCGGTTCTCAGATGCCTCGTCGCGGATCAGGCCCAGCACGCGACGAACGATGTTGCCAATCACGGGCTCATGGGGGGCCGCGCGAGCGAGTCGTGCGCCGGCAGTCTGCACGCGGTAGAGCAGCTGGTCGACATCATGCCATTTGGACTTCGCAACGACCTGGCGGAGGAGCTGGGCGATTGCGCCGGCGCATTCATCGCCTGTGACCTGTCTCCGTTTGAGGAGGCTGGCTAGTTAGAATAAAAGCATGTAGATATCACAGTGTGAGGTAGGTTCCTACAAGATCAGCGACTCAATTGATGCCTCTAGCGACTGGTCTCTGAGCGATTTGGTCCAAGTAGCCAAGCTAGGGGTGTGGCTAGCTTGTGATGGCGCCATAGCTATATGTGGGAACAAGGGAAAAAAAGAAAAAGAAAAAGAGAGGAAGCTCTGTCGACAGTTGGCGATGTTGAAGCAGTCACTTTGTGAATAGTTCCCCAAGCAAGGTCTTGGCTGCGTCAAACTCTAGCTCAATAGAAGCACAATAGTTACGCACTTAATCACGATGTTATTGATGACTCAAGCCATCAAACGTCGGACACATCACAAAGAGATCCTACAATTTCTAGGTGGGGCCCAACTGCCCCGCGTTGTCCCTTTCCTGGCTGCCCTGTGGACGCTCCCCACTAGATCAATATCGATAAGTTGGCATATCGATAGAGTCATATCGATATCGGCTGAATCTCGGAGATCGCATCGCAGACCCCTTGCCATGACTCGATAAGCAGGACCGCGCTGCAATTGGTCTACAAAATTTCACCCGGCCCAGCAATCCATCCAGAAAATCTGCAACAAGGCCGAGTGCGCGCAACAACCAAAACCACTTTTCTACCTAGTACACATTCGCCAATCGACCTTTCACCATCAATCCGTGTCCCTCACTCATATTATCTACTTTCTTCCGATCTCTGACTAAAATCGCTTTGGCGTTCAACTTCAATTCATCGATCTCGACTTCTTCCGTTCGCCTTTGTCTTCATTGCGCGATCAACCGACAAAAGATGGCTGCTGATGACAAGGTCGACGTGATTTCCAAGAAGGAGACGAAGGAGAAGGATAAGAAGAAAGAGAAGAAGGAGAAGTCAGATAAGAAAGACAAGAAAGACAAGAAAGAAAAGGACAAGGACAAGAAGCGCAGCGACACTGAAGGCGTCCACAAGGACAAGAAAGACAAGAAGAAAGATAAAAAGGACAAGGAGAAGCTTGCGCGTGCCCTCGAGGCTCATCTTGCCGCAAAGAAGAACGAGGAAACAGCCCTTGTTCACAAGACCGATAGCGATGATGAGAGTGAGGAGACCGTCCAGATTGCCGGCAATCTTGTTCCCTTCGCTCTTCCTCTTGCCGACGCCAAGACCCACAAGAAGATTTACAAGCTCATCAAGAAGGGTGAGTTACTATCACGTCGCGTCAACCGACTCGTCACTTGCTAATTTCGCTCAATCAGGTGCCAAGTTGAAGGCCATCAGCCGCGGTGTCAAGGAGTGCGAGAAGACGATCAAGAAGTGCCCCCCGAAGCCGGTCAGCGCGGGCCAAACGGAGGCTCCTGGTGTCGTCGTCATTGCCGGTGACATCTCGCCGATTGATGTCATCACCCACTTCCCGATTCTTTGCGAGGAACACGGCGTCCCCTACGTCTTTGTCAAGTCGCGTGCCGAGCTCGGCATGGCCGCATGCACCAAGCGTGCCACCTCGGTCGTCATGCTTAAGACCGAGTGCAAGAAGTTAGCCAGTGACAACAAGACCGACAAGAAGCCTGAGGAGGATGCTGAGGACCTCAAGGCTACCCAGGCCGAGTACCTCGACGGTTTGAAAGAGCTGGTGAAGATTGCGCAGAAGGAGTGGGAGGTGCAGGTGCAGCCGTGGGTTAAGGGCATCCACCCGCTGCAGATCGAGGAGAAGCAGAAGCAGTCGGGCATGTCCTAGATCGACATGATCGGTCTCCATCACTAAATATATATCGGAGATCTCCAACCAATTTGCTTCAGGATTTCTGTCTCGATTCCTCGTCTTCCATTTCGACTTTGCGCCGAGCAAGCTGACATCCTCACGGAAAATCCACTACTGACCTTTATATCGGGACCTCGGTCATCCCGGTTGGCCCGCATGGCTTTTTCTCTGTCGGCAACTTCACTTGGTCGGCCAACCTAACGGTGCTCTGGTCAACCTACTTGGTCTGGTCAGCCTAAACAGCTCTGCTTTTCTCTCTTTTTTCTTTTTCTCGGTTGCGTTTTGTGTTTGGCTTTCTTTCCTTACATGGCCACGACATACTATCGATGAGCCAAAAAGGAATAGAGAAGCCTGGAAAGTACTAGGTACTAGGACATGGCATGCATTCTGTTGTGAACTTCTGACGGTCTGGGTTGTGAGATCTTTGACTCTTTTCCGACAAAAGTTGTTCACAAAACGGAAAGAAGTTTTCTGCAACTGCTAACTGGAAGTTTCTTTTCTCTCTCATGGGCCGCCCTTGTTTTAGCGCGGGGAAGGGGGAAATCTGTTCTGGTTGGCTTAATGGTCCTTGTGTATGTAAATGGCTGGCGTTGACGGGGTAGTGGATCGGCTCTTTGCATGGACCAGGTCACGGAATGAATAGGGTTGCGCTTTTGAACCCTTTGTAGGTATCATGAATTGAAAAAAGTTGTGTCAACTGGTCAGGAGTGACAGTGATTTGTGGTCAGATGTGAGAAAGGATTCGTTGAACCGAGCTGACATCACCTATGGGTACAATTATGATACATCTGGCAACCTTACCCTCGATCATTCACCATCCTCCCTAACTGATTTCACTAACCCTATCGGCCATGTTCCGCCAGCCATTTAGTCATTCCGAAAGGGGCTGCGGCTCAGCGGGGTGCCGCCGGCGCCGGAACTGAGCGTCATCAGTATCATCACCAATAGCGGCACTTAAGAAGAGTCGAAGGAGTCAAAAGCAAACAAACACTCACTGCTCAAGTGGATTGGTGCGCGTTCCCCACCAGGTGAGCACCAGCGAGAGACCAATTGTCTCGAACAATTTGGCGATGACGCTGACGCCGACGGTTTCCCAAGCGCGTTTTTCGACAAAGAGCTGGCCGAAAAACTATCACAGCATACCCGTTAGCTATTGTTATCACTATCAGTTTATCACCAAAATCAAGCACACCAGCCCCTCCACTTCCCCCCCCCCCCTTCCCACCCCCCCAAGCGCGCCCCAACTAAAGGAACAAGGTCACAAAAGAGGGGGAAGGAGAGATCAGGGAAGAGCAAAACACAAAAGGGGTCTACCCACCGTAGGTGCACTAGTGGCCATAAAAATCAGCCCCCCCAAGTACGCCGCGCCTCGATAGCTCAACGTCCCCGTCGCATTGATCAGCGCCCCAACGCCGTAACTCTGCAGCGCGCTGCCAACCAGGGAGGTCGTCCAGGCGACTGCGGCGCCGGTTGCTTCGCGTGAGCGCAAGAACTCTTCTTTGGTGTTGGCGGCTTTGGCGCGCTGATAGGTTTGACCGAAGAGAGGAGAAAGCACGGCCAGTTCGACGGATTGGTTGAAGAAGGTGCCGAGGGCAATAGCAGAGGGTTTTACGGCGGGGAGATCTGAACATGAAGGTTAATGGGGTTGAGCGGAGTAGGTTGAGGGGTAGGGAGAGATGGTGATGGAAGAGGAGGGGTCAAAGACGATGGTGAAGGGAGGGGTCGAGACAACTATGAGGGTGGGATCAAAGTACGAGAGAGGGCTCGGAGAAAGGGTGCAATGGCAACGAGCGACTAGGTTCAAGCCAACTCGGAGGCATCAAATGATTCGGGTCAAAAGTAAAAAAAAAAAAAAAGGCTCTAGACTCAACCCAAGACAACATTTTGGAGAGGGCATGACAGGCACGAAGAAAACACCGCACAGAGAAGGGACTAGGGCTACTGACAATGCAGCGACATGATGTTGGCAAGCTGTACGATACTCGAGGAAACGCCGAGGTCGACTTCGAGCAGCTCTGTGACTCTTTCGTTGAGGGCCAGGTTAATCGTGATAGTTGTCGCCGTCAAACAGCTGAAAGTCCGATCGTGATGATGCTCGTAGGCCTTTGGGAGAAGCAGATGACAGAAAATTGCTCTACGACTTTTACAGGAGAGGGAGGGGGGAACAACCCGGTTTATAGAATCAAGCAACGATGACGATATATCATTTTCTTCCTCTCCTTATGACCTGGTCCTTGTAATCTCCCAGGTTCTAATCTCTCCCCAGAACAGTGCGTCATGATTCTCGACCGTAGGTTTTCCGTTCAGAGCCACTCCTAGCCGCTCATTCTCTCCGGAGCAAGCTTCCCTACCGAAATGCGGCTCTCTGGGCTGGAGGATCCGGATTCTGGAAAGGCTAAACTTTGTTGCCGTCGTAAACATTTGCTTTAGCTTGGTCATCAGCCGTAGCTTTGCAATATTTTACAGAACAGCTACAATCAACTGTATGTTGGCCCAACACTGTTTTCATTGTATCTGGTCATGTGTCTACAGTCCTCTCTATCAGTGTGTACGGCTTTAGATGGGACATTGAGGAATGACGTCACCACCTTGATGGGGGACGCTTGCGACAGTGATTGGTGGAAAGAAATTTCGTGTGGGAACGTTGGGGTCCGTTCACCGACTCGTAGTTGACGGGACGGGCAGGCGATCTTTTAAAAGCTCAAACACTGCCGACAACAGGTAGGCTAAAAATAAGTAAGACCTGATATAGAAAGATTAGAAAACGCTACCTTAGACAGGTTTCATAAAACTTACAGAATAAGGTGTCAATTATGTTTACGGTTGAAGAGCTTCGAAGATACAGCCGGAAGACAGGGAACAGGTGAAAGAAGGATCTCGATTCTACTGCCAATGCTTTTCTTTAGGTCTATCAACTCCCAATATATGGTTCTTGAATGGTACTGTAATTTGTGTCCTTTGCTCAGATACAGGCAGCTCTAAAAGTTGGTCCTGAGATAGTTCCCAGGAATCTTTAGTTCCTTTTGAGTAACCTGATAGTGCTTTGAAACTTGCAGCCGTAGAGTGTCTCCAAGGTTAAGACAGCCAATGAAGTCTCCGAAGCATCTCAAAAGTGGTCAAGCGCCCAGGATCAGTCAGTACTGGAGCTTCTCTTCTTTTTTTTTTTTTCGAGACTCAACGACGAGAAATTGCTGACGAGAGCCGCTTCCAATTACGAGTATGCTCACTGGCTCCTCCGTATGTACCAAAACAACCAAGCCCGGCACCAAATGCCTGTCGTGATCGCTGTCCACAAGACTATCGCTGATACGTTAGGTAGGAAACTGCTTAACATCACACATTGCATACATGCTTGCCTGCTTGTACTCGGATCATCTGGCTAAGTGCCTTTTTTTTTTTTTTGTATGAGACAGCCGCTCGCTTCTAGCTCGCACAAACTTTCTCCTATCTCATAAACCCTGCACAGCTTTTCTCCAACCACAAGGCTGAAGACAGAACGACAGAGATATGCTTCGTGAAAGATGCAATTAAGCTCCCTAGATGCTCCACACCCTCCTTATCCCTCCCCCAAAAATGCTTCCTTCCCAGTAGGGAGATGAATCCCCCCCACGAACAAAAGCCGCCGACCGTGTACCACATAGTTCTCCTTCCAACCTGCTCAACCCCTCATGAATTGTACTATGATACGTAAGCGCATGTCTGTATGTATATATGAACTATGCATCTCTCGTACATAAACATCCTTCATCACAGCCCTCCCCCCGGGCATCTCTCTCTCTCTCTCTGCTCCTCCAGTCTCCATTTCTAGCAGCAGTATCAGTAGACAGTAGTAGTAGTAGTAGTAGTAGTAGTATGTAATAGTAGTGAAGTGTAGTAGTATCGTAATACGTGAGACAGTAACAAATAGTCGTATAGTAGTAGTATCAAAACAGCAAGCCAACAACAACCACAAAACCACTCGAAACTAAAAAAATCAAATCAAGCCAATTCAAAATGGGTGAGGGTGAGAAGGTCAAGCAATGTGTGTTCCATCCTCACCCCCGCGCAGCCCCAGCAGGGCGCGCACATCCGACACATACTGCATGCCCTCGAGAAAGGGTATCAAATACATGAGGTCGCTGTCGGTCGGGTCGGAGATCCAGCCCTGTATTGGGATAGCGTTGTCTAAACGACTTGTCAGTTTAAAAAAAAAAAGAAAAGAGAGAGAGAGAGAGTAATACAGAAAGAGGTTAGAGATAGAGGACGTACCCTGATGAAACATATAACTCAACGGACTATTATCCAGAATCATCACCCTCGACAAATCCGGTTCGACCGAACTCAAATCTTTGATAAACGCCCCATGCCGGAACGTACAATGCTGTCTGTAGTACCTCGCGCTGAAATACTTGCGGTCCGCCTCCAACCAATCAATCACCGGATCGGCGTACTCCTGCACTGACGCTGTGAAAACCACAAGATTGTACCACTTGCTCACCCGCCGCAAAAACTCGTCGCAATGAGGCCGTTTGTGGACATAATACAGAATCGGATGCTGTGGGCCGATGGTGGCTTGTCCGCCGACCCCGACGTACGTGGTGTTCAAGCGCACTTCGACCATGTGGCCCGAGGACATACGCCCGCCTTTGGACATGCTGTGGATGAGCGTCTCGTCGAGGTCGAGGATCAAGGTCTTTTGGTGTTGCGGGCGACCGCCCGGTCCGAGAGGCGGTTCAGGACCCTTGATATATGACGGCTGGCGGCGGGGGATGAGCGGGCGAGGAGGAGCGGGCGTCTTGGGGTATTTGGTGAGGCCGGCGCCAGAGGGGGAAGTCGGGGATTTGAGTTGGGCGGAGATATCCGCGACGGTGGCCTCGTCTGGAGCATTGTTCGACGAAGAGGCGGAGCGCGACTGCTGGGCCTTGCGATTCGCCTTGCGCTGGCGCAGCGCCTCGTCGGCTTGCAGCTTGATACGGATGGAGCGCTGGCCGGTAGGCGGGCTGTCGTCGCCTGCCGCATCAGACTTTGTGCGCGGGTGCTTGCCACTAGCAGACCGGCGCTGGCGGCGGCGGTCAGGGTCAGATTCGGATTCGGAGGACAGACTGGAGGAAGTAGAGCCGGTGTTTGCGAGGCGACGATTCTTCTTAACGCGGATTGACCCATCTGATGCAGAGCGCTTCTCTGACGTACCCTCCCCCCGGGCTTGACCTTCCCAGGCTTCTTTAAGCTCGGCTCAGGCTCATCGTCCTCCCTGTAGAACAGCACCCTCCTGATCTGCGACAACGGCGCAAATTTCCCCGTATCATCGTACAAACTCATCCACAGCCAGACCCCCGGCGCAGTAAGAGCGGACAACAGCCACCGAATCGAGTCCATCACCGCATTGGCGAAGCGCTTTGGATATACCATCCACGCGGGATCGTCAACCGGGCTGAGAACCTTAGCCTCGCCGAAGTGTGTGCCGTCATAGTCTCCTCCTCCTCCTCCTCCTCTCGTGGACAACAACGGGGTCTTTTCGTCAACCGGCATGTCTCTTCCTTCTCCTTCTCCTAGGTCTTCCTCCTCGGCCGGCCGCCCATCACTAACCACATCGCTGATCGCATCATCGAGGACAAACTCGTCCGGCTCGGACACCAAATCAGCCTCGAGATAGGCAGGTCGTGGGCTGCGCAGCCCGGGGCTGGCAGGGCTCTGGGGCAGTTCGCTTTCGTCATCGCTGCGCAGCGCATCCGCAACGACGCCAGTTGTCTCGTCGGCTTCGGCGTCCGAGTTGAGTGCGGCGAGGGATATGCTAGTGAGGGAGTTGGACCGGGAGGGGCCCGGACTTGGGGGGGGCGAGACGCGGGCGGAGATGATATTGAGAGAGTTCATTGTGGTATGGATCGAGGAGATATGGAGGGTGACGCCATAAGGAAGGCTATCAGACGAGACGGCACAGGAGCGGAGATGTGGGAGCAGGTTGAGTGTCGGACTTCGTCAGTATGGGACGCTGGAAGTTGGAGTGGTTCAGTCGAGATCACAAGATCAAGCTGAGGGAACAGAGCTGAGTGAAGCGGCGGCAAGAGGCCAGATTGGCCGTTGATAGGCAAGTGCTGTGCACTTAGAGCAACAGAGCAAGCAGCCACACGTAGGCAGACACAGTCGCTGGTCGCTGAACTTGTTAACGGTGAGGTGTGCAGATCAATGGTTAGGTGTGTGGACCGTGGACAACAAAACGGTTCGTCACGTAGCTAGACTCGAGCGTAGGTCGTCGATGGAGTAAGACGTGGTGTACTCGTCGAATGGATCCGAGGGTATCCGTAGGGAAGCGAGTGAGAGAGCGTTGGGGAAGTCCAGGCAAAGTGGACAAATCGCAGCGAATCGACGAAGAGAGAACAAAAGCTGTGTGCACATGCACTCGAGAACTCGAGAAAGTTGAGGTGAAGTGTGCTTCTCTCAGTGGCAGTGAGCGATGATGCCGAGAAAATGGTGAGCTGAACCGGGGTCACGCTGCGGCCAAGGCCGGGGGCTTCGCGCTGGGGTCTTTTTCTGGACTGGGGTCTAGTTCAAACACGCAGCGACGCAGTCGGGGACGGGACGGGATGACAATGTCACCAAAACTCGACAGCCCTGAGCCTCGGATCTGGCTGATCAGATGCACGCGTGAGCTGTTCTTGCAGGCCGTCCAATATTTTTAATTCTTACAAAACAAATCCACACTCTAGAGAGAAGAAAAAAAAAGGCCCGAGAGGACGCACAACTCACGAACTCCTCACCTCCTCACTCTCCATAAACGGCTCCCTTTGGGTCCGAACCCCGACAGCAACTGGACTTAAAAAAACGGCGTCCCCAAAAAAAGTGCTCTCCAAGAAATTTCCACAAAACCTTCGCGCGGCGCAGGCGCCGGGCGCTGGAATCGGCACTGCAGCACCCAATGTTCCAGCGCGACGAGGCAAACAGTGGGGAAAGCCCCATCTGAGCCCCCCAAACGATGGCTCAAATCGCCCCACCAGTCACCACGGGGCTCAACAAAACCCTCGCTCCTCCTGCAACGGCTGTTGGTGTTGGATTCACGTGGGCTTGGCATGCCGTCAGGGGTTTGGGGACCTCCTCCTCGGGAAGTTGAGGATGGCGTCTGACGCAAGATCACCTTTTTCACCTTGTCCAGCCTTCGGGCCAAAATTCTTGATCTCAATCGACGTATTTTTCATATAGGATTTGAATTGGGCAACAATACTACCCCTCTAGCATCTCAATATGAGGTGGTTTGCATTGAGTTGTCCCTTGGCATCTTATCTTTCCCACCCTCCCCCCCCCAAGCGTTGTGTAACAAAACGACGGCATTCAGGGACCCAAACCGGCACGCTGAAGACCCGGAATAGCTATGCCTTGGTGCCCGGGTGTAGTAGATTGGGCGTTGATTACACAAAAGAGCAGCAGCAGCAAAACAGGCGAGGTTTCATCGAGCAGAGGCTCAACTTCCCGAAACGAGGAAACATCCCCGTGGCTGTGGGATGGTGTCTGATCTGATCCCCTTTTTACCGTAGCTAAAAGGTAAGGAGCGAGGGAAGGCCTGGAAAAACGTGGCCATGGAAACTTCAAGTCTCGGAAAGCCTGCCGATCACCATCAGAATCTGGGTTGAGTAGGGCTGTGAAATCGCGTCAGGAGCTGTGGGTAGTAAGATGGTAAGATGGTGAGATGGTCTGGCTCGGCCCAGGGGAGGATGTAAGGCGTGAGGCTGTCCCTCAAAGGGCTAGCGGGGGAGAAAGAAGGGGGGGGGGTATTACCACTTGGCTGGGAGCTGTAGACTTAGCTTTGAATCTTTTACAGTGATTCAGTAAGTCTGTGTAAGTCATCTGGACGATCTGGACGATATCCAACCAATGAGCCTCACTCCTCACAAGATACTTTTAAACCTTGCTCACAAAAGCCCAAGACATCAGCATAAGAACCGCAACAACACGTCTCTCCTGAGTCCTTGCTCCGCATGACCATGTACAATGCCTTGTCTATTGCAACACACAACCCTCTACAACTACAAACACCATCACCAGTCTAAACTAATCCACCGCCGCTTACTCCTCATCACCACCGAACTCAGACGCGGCCGGCCTTGGAGTTGAGGTAGTGGTTCCTATGGGACACCCAACCAGTCAGCATTCCAATTCATACCCCAAGATCCCTCCAGACTCCAGGGTCCAATCCAAAAGTAAGGTGGCAAGGATGTAGGAGGGGGGGGGGAGAGGGAGATAGCATACCGCTCAATTGCCCAGTTCATAAGGTAGTAGCCGGCAATCATGGGGGGAGCAAAGTAGAGCACCTGGGAGCTGAAGCGGCGCCAGGTGTTGAAGATAGCGTCGTGCATGGCGCCGGCGAGGGGCTTCTGGCGGTTCGGGGCCACGCCGTAGGTCACGATGCCCTTTTGGGGCATGCCACCTAATCAAACAGAGTCAGACAGGGCTCGGTATGGGATATGTCGCATCGTTCGTGGTATCCGTTGTCTTCCGTAATCCAAGATGCACATGGATTGCGATGCTGTTGCTCTAGTCGATGTACCAACCCGATCCAGCTAGCTCGACCACCAGCTCATCCCTCCTCCAGGTCGTCCCAATCGCAGATGTAGATGTAGATGCAAGGCAAGGGCTCACTCACCGAAAGCACCCCAGCCGCCGAGGTAGCTACACAACAGCGTTAGCAAGCTTCTCTCACTACAATTGATAGCGGAGGTCCGTCGAGGCCAGTGCCCGGAGGCTTTCTGGGCAAAATGCGCATTCGACAGTCCTTCATCAGGGAGTTCATGCGGGAGTTACTGACTGGTTGTGCTTGCCCAGCGGGATGTCGGCACCGCCGCCGAGGAGAGTCTGAGTCGGGCGCATTTTAGTTGTCGTTTAGATCTGAATGTGCCGGACGGGTGGGCGGTCTAGGGAGGAGAAGGTTCGTCGGCGTCGTTGTCGTCGTCGCAGGGTGTGTTCGGACAGACGCTTGGATCTTCGCTCGGCTCGGAATAGCTCGCGATGCAGTTTGAGCTTTCGAGAAATCAGTCGACGGGTAAAGGAAGGGATGTGATTGGCTACTGAGATTGCGCCACATATGTGGCGGGAGGGGGTAAGAAGTAAGCCACAGTTGCTGGTTGCCGGCCGGAAGCTTTGAGATGGGCACGGACCACACACATCCCGCCGTCGAGTGACGAGTGACGACGACGTTTGGTGTAGCTCCACTAAATAAGCAAGCTCGAGACTAGTTCGTCGTTCAATTCGATTGAGGCTTTGAGCAGCAGCAGCGGGCAAGTGGAAGACCCGAGCGAAACCGCAAGCTTGCTTTTGACCAACAGCCCAACAGTCAACAAGCAGCTCAGCTAGCTGCGACTCAATCAACATGGCAGCCAGGGGCCTCAATTTCATCTACCAAGCCGCCGTCCCCGCGGCAGTGGGCGTAGGCCTGCTGCAGGCGTCAATGTACGACGTCAAGGGCGGCACGCGGGCCGTCATCTTCGACCGGCTGTCGGGTGTGAAGGAGCAAGTGGTCAACGAGGGCACGCACTTCCTGATTCCCTGGCTGCAGAAGGCCATCATTTTCGACGTGCGCACGAAGCCGCGCATCATCCCGACCACGACGGGCAGCAAGGATCTACAGATGGTCAGCTTGACGCTGCGTGTCCTGCACCGGCCTGAGGTGCAGGCGCTGCCTAAGATTTACCAGGTGTGCATCTCCCTACCTACCAAGTATACAAGAGCTGTGGTGTTGACAATTTCCAGAACCTCGGCACAGATTACGACGAACGTGTTCTCCCCTCAATCGGCAATGAAGTTCTCAAAGCGATCGTTGCCCAATACGACGCAGCCGAGCTCATCACCCAGCGTGAGGTGGTCTCCCAGCGCATCCGGCACGACCTGACAAAGCGCGCTCGCGAGTTCAACATCGCCCTCGAGGACGTCTCCATCACGCACCTGACCTTCGGCAAGGAGTTTACCAAAGCCGTCGAGCAGAAGCAGATTGCGCAGCAGGACGCAGAGCGCGCGCGGTTCATCGTCGAGCGTGCCGAGCAGGAGCGCCAGGCTAACGTCATTAGGGCCGAGGGTGAAGCCGAGGCTGCCGAGACGATCAGCAAAGCTATTGCGAAGGCGGGTGATGGGTTGATTCAGATTCGTAGGCTCGAGGCAAGCAGGGAGATCGCGCAGACGCTGGCGAATAATCCCAATGTGGTGTACCTACCGGGAGGGAATAAGGGGGCGAACTTGTTGATGAGTGTTGGGAGGACGTAAGGGAGGCTGAGCAATTGACAAAGGGCCCCGGGGGGCGGTTTGGGTTGGGGGGGGGGGGAGGGAGGAGGAGGAGGAAGAGGTTTAGGAGATGTGTATGGAATGGTACGATAATCACGATGAGCTATGTATTACTATCTATGACCATGGCTTTATTCCCCGCTTCGGATTTGAATGTATTGGTTGAGGTATGCGTTCAATGCTTCTAAGATTGTGGAGTCTGATGATCTAGTTGCTCAAGGCTGAGGGCATGAGACCTTTGAAAGTCGTTGGACTCGGCATCCTGGTCTGATATCACAAAGGCCTGTACTATTGTTCGTTGATCCTCGTTTTTTCCTCTCTACTCCAGCAAAGCTGTTTGCTGAGCTCTGCGGCATGATGGATGCTCTGATAAGACGAACAGAGGGGCCATATTCCTTATCGATAAGCTATCGGATCTGCAGGGGATTTGGCTCAGCCTTATGTTAGCGGATGGCAACGCCCTTGGCCTTGTCCGCAACTTCTCACCATCTTTATCCCGTGTCTTTTGACTTTGGTCATTAACAAGTTTTCTTTGTATAAAGACTGAATGATAAGTGAGGATGCCTTGAATCCAGACGAGTAAACACATTCTGAAATACGAGTACCAGTAGAGCTGTTCTCTGCCTCTTCTCGCTTGTTTGAACAGAGCTGAGACCCTGAGCGCGAGAGTCTGCGAAGGCCGGCATCTGCAGCCGCCCACAGCCGCCCGCAGCCAGCCAGCCGCACAACGCAGCGTCATTTGTTGCCGCAATAAGCTTAAGTCGCATTTTAGGTTGCCGTGCTGCGTTTGCTGCTTGCTGGACACGTGTGTCTGGGAAGGAACCAAAGAGGTTCTCCCGGGCATGAACGCTCTCTTTCTCTGGCCGCGCTGTGCCCGCAGCAGTCGCCCATCTACTGCCAGCACAAGAACTCGATCTTCGCTGCCACGCCAATCCGACCGCGTTCTCTTCACCCACTACATCTACATATTCTTTCGCCAGGGCCACGGCTCGGGATCAAGCTCAAGGATCAGACAGCCTATCCTGTCGCTGTCCTCTCTTCTGCAGTCTGTGCCCCCTTGTTGGTCCTCAGTTCCCTGACCCCTCTCTTGTTGCTTTCTTTTTGCCCCCCTCGACTTTTAGATGATTAGCATGGGCTGTTGACTCGGCATAATTCGCATTGAGGACCCGAGCCCGGCCGCCAATGTCCCGTGACAGCCCTCTCCCATCACTTAACCCTTTTCTCTCCTTGTTTCCGACCAAAGACTGATCTAGTCGCCATCTAGTCCTTCGCAGCCCTTTAGTCTTGTCAGATCATTCACAACAGCTGGCAAGATGGATGCTATGGAAGCAGTGCTGCGAAACTTCAAGACCATCCCCTGCCCATCAGGGGACGCCTGCACCAAGCCCGGGTGCCAGTGGCAGCACTCCTGGGACCGTGAGCCACAGACATCATCCTCATCGTCAAAACCCGCGCCTGCGGCCAGCCAGGACGAAGACGGGCCTCGAAAGCGTCGCAAGCTCTCTTCGGAGCCTGTGCCTGCGCTTGCGCCTGCTCCTGTGAAGGATGAGCCGAAGCCTGCCACTCCTCACCCCAAGTCGACTTTGGAGAAGCCCGTCTCTCCTCCTCCTGTGAAGAGATTCACTCCTCCAAAGTCCTCGCCGCCTCTCAAGCACAAGGTGCCGCAGCCCACGGCCAGCGCCGCGACGGTGATCCAGCCTACAGTGGAAAAGCAGTCAGTTGCTACGCCCTCTAAGGCAAATGGTGCGTCGGCAGTCAGAGCTTCACCAAAACCTTCACCCTTACCTGCATCACATGGAGCGACTTCAAATCCTGCTGTGATCCTCAGCAATGCCAGTACCGTCCGGTCTTCATCACAGCGCGCCGTGTTACCACGCGTCTCTGTGGCATCTGATCCGAACCCAAAAACAGGCAAAGCCGCTCCCTCCACGACTTCTAAAACTTCCTCTCCCGACGTTTCTACACCTCAAAAAGCAACTTTGCAAACACAACCACAGAGCATGAACAGAAAGCCCGAGGCCTTGAATCCTCGGCATCTGAAGACTGCGCCCGCACCTCACGACTTTCGATACAAGTGTCTGAAGCTCCTACATGAGCAGTTCGCACGGCTTAACAATGAATTGAAAAAGGATGCTAAAGACGACGAAAAGCCTCTAATTCTTTCGCCGCAGGAACTGATCTGGCTTGCGCTTGACGAAGAAGAGCGCATCGCGACCGAGAAGCCGGCCATTTACAACAACGTCATCAAAAACAGAATCATGCATTACAAAAAGATGACGGTTCCTTCGTGGATGGCCGAGCGCCGAGCCGCCCTCCAGAAGCAGCAGGCCGTGGTCACCCCTTCGCCGGCTCGGTTTGCTGCTCCCAAGGCTATCAATGGTCCTCCTAAAGAAGTCGATACCGGCCTGACGCCTGAATTGGAGGTCGAGTTTCTCAAGTTTCTCCAGACCCCCATCGATAAGCTCGCTCAGTTCGGCTACATCCCCAGAGCCCCTACTGAGGAAGAGATCAAGGCAGCCATCGAAGGCGAGGAAGCCGCCAATGGCTGGGAAATCTGTGAGCGCTGCAAGACCCGCTTCCAGGTCTTCCCCGGCCGGCGCGAGGAAGATGGTGCCCTCACCTCCGGCGGTGCTTGCACATTCCACCCGGGCAAAGCTTACTACCCCGAGCGCGTCCCCGGCGACTCAACCTCACATTCCAAGCGCTTCAACTGCTGCAATACCGTACCGGGCGACACCCCAGGCTGCTCCATCCACCAGACCCACGTGTTCAAGACCTCATCCCCGGCCAGGTTGGCGGCTCTGCTCCCCTTCAAAGAGACCCCGCCCAACCCGGATGCCCCCAAAGATCGTGCAGTTTGTTTTGATTGCGAAATGGGCTACACCGTCAAGGGCATGGAATTGCTGCGCCTGACGGCCACCAGCTGGCCGGATGGCAAGGAGCTGCTTGACGTGCTGGTTCAACCCTACGGTGAAATCCTCGACCTCAACTCCCGCTACTCGGGCGTCTGGCCCGAGGATATCGCTAATGCCGTGCCTTGGGAGCCAGGGCAGCCTTTACCGTTGCCTACTTTTGTGGGCCCCGAAGCGGCGTCAGTACCCCCGTCTGAGGGCGTCGCCGATCCCAAAACAAAGCAGCGTCTTAGAAAGAAGCTTCCCATCGTACCCTCCCCTGCGGCAGCCCGCGATCTCCTCTTCTCTCTGATTTCGCCAGATACATTCCTCATCGGTCATGCCCTAGAAAATGACCTCAACGCCGTGCGGATTATTCATCCCTGCTTGATCGACACTGCTCTCCTCTTCCCCCACCGTCGTGGGCTACCGATGAGGTATAGGCTCAAGGGGTTGATGGAGATACATTTGAATAAGACTATACAAATCGAAACGCCGGTGGTGGATGGGGAGGGGAAAGCGGTGCCTGTGGAGGGGGGCCATGATTCTGCGGAGGATGCGAGGGCTGCGGGGGAACTGGTGAGGTTGAGGGTTATGGAGCGGTGGAGAGAGATGAAGAAACAGGGGTGGAAGATTGAGGAGGGGAGGTTTGTTCCTCCGGCAGGGGAAGGAGAGAAGAAAGAGGAGAGTGAAGGGAATGAGGGGGAAGTTGTGGAAGATCAAGGAGTGGGCGTGGGGAAGGTGGTGGCGGATTTGGCTGCTGTTTAGGCAAGGGGGGAATGGCAAAAACGGAGGGTTAGATGGGACCTGGGCATGGGTTGGGTCGATTCGTTTCGGAATGGTCTTTTTCTCTTCTACGTGGTTCTCTCGGGGCTTATATATAGACTTGGGCTTGCCTAAGGAACTCACTCTGGCAAGTTATACCCAAGCCTAATATTGAGAGGAACGACCCGACGACATATAGGTCAGATGGTCAGATCGTCAATGGCAAAACAGCTGATGCACACATCCTAATCTACACACGGGACGGGCCTGATCAGGCTGGAGCTATTGGAGATATGAAGATTCTCCCCCCCCCCCCCCTTTCCTCCTCCCAATTCTCAGTTCTTGACTGCTCTACTTCCTCACATTTGGAGGGCACAAGTCAGAGCATAATAGGACATCTGTCATCTGCCCCTCCAAGAACTGGCTGTTCTTAGGGGTCGGTGGCACTTTCGCAGCGAGTATTACTTCGCAGAGCATTGTCTTTAGCTTAGGGATTAGGAGCTTTATTACCTGATAGATACGTACGTACCTACGGTTTATCTACCTACCTAATTTGGGCCTGGGGATGCCTGTTTCTGGGGAATGTCATTTGAGACTCATGGTTTGGGCTGATTGTGAAGTGACTCTTCTTGGCGAGGCCGAGTAGGTAAAAGGATAATATTGTCCAGTACATTCCCCAAGAGAGAGATCAAGAGAGAGATATCTGACAGCCTGAAGACGTAGACGTGAAAGATCTTGTCTCGACGTTGAAGTGTCCGTTTTTCTTTCTTTTTTTGGTTTGTTATATATATATACATATATATATATATATATATATATTGCTACCTACATAAGCTTCTACAACATGACTTCTCCAATCCGTTGTTCATTTTCTATTTTTGGTTAAACCAGGATACCTCCATACCTCGATTCTCAGACCCCTTTTCAGTTCCATAACTTTTTCCCCTTCTATCTATCCACTCAAGATAATTCAAACAACCGCCCAAACAAACAGGTACACTACCTACTCATATACACATACTCGCATATACACAAAAAGTCACACTAACAGCTTACAACCATTCAACACCCCAAATCCTCCCTCCCGCCAAGAAGGGCACGATCTCCGTCCCATTCTCTCCCTTCAGGGACTCGGGGATCTGAGCAGCGTCCCGGATGAGCTTAATCTTGCGGGTTGCGGGAGGGAGACCATAGAACTTGCGACCGTAGTCTGAGAAAAAGCCGGCCAGGGCCTCGTCGGTGATTTGGGCGGGGGTGAGGTCGCCTCTTTGGAGGGCGAGTTCTAGGGAGTGGAGGACCTGTTTCAGTGGAAACACATGGTTAGTAGCGATATCAGAATGTAAGATGAGAGACTGGGGGGACCTAAGGGGAAATGAAGAAGCAAAAGGAAACAACAGGGGAGAATTGAACCCAGAAAAAAAAGGAAGCAGAAAGAGGAGGAAGAAGCACGTGAGAAGCAAGATGAGATGGAGAATGTCAAACTTACATAGCCTAAGGCGAAGGGCTGGGTGAAGACGCCCGCGGCATGGTTGCCTTTGCCCTTCTTGGCGGTAATATCATGGGCTATAATGACACAGTCAGTCGCTAATGAGATCACATAACACAGCCAGATATGATACCCAACAAGGCACCCAAGGGGGGGGGGTGGGGGCAGGGACATAGAGAGGGGGAAAACATACGGGCGCTATCCGTGCCAAGGAAGAACTTCCCGTTGCTGGTAACAACAGCCTCGAGAAGAGCACGCCGATCCTCGGGGGTTTTGGCAGACGGCTTGCAGTAGTGATGCTTGTTATCATAGTTAGCACTTGCTTAGTAGTTCCCTCAGAAAGGGGAAAAAGATACATACCACGTTAGCAGACCAATCATCCACCAACAACGAAAGATGATGCGCGGTCTGTCTTCCCGTCAGCACCCATCTCTCGCTCGCTTCCCAAAACAAATCCATGATCCGGAGCACCTACGATCGTCCCCGCCACATTCTCCCCCAACCCCCTCACCGTCTCAACCGCCTTCTTGGTCGTACAATGCTCCAGCACAATCTTCAGCCTCGGATACTTCCCCGCCAACTCCTTCAGCACCGGCAAGAACTTCTCCTCCGCATTCATGCACGTCACCCCGCTCGCCGCGTCGCTCGGCACCTCGCCATGCAGGTTCAGCACAATCCCCTCCTCCTCCATGGCGCGAAGGATCGGATCGAACTGGTCCAGGGAGATGACGCCCCATTGGGAGTTGGTCGTCGCGCCGCGGGGGTAGACCTATTGAGTCAGTCTCCAACCCCCTGCTTTTTATGAACGAGCGACGAACAAACCTTCACACCATAAACTCCATTTTGTTTCGCCCTGCGAATATCCTCGACCGTCACACTCTCATGCAAATAAAGACTCATCAGATACCCCACATCAGGGGCGTACCGCTCCAGCGCCTTTTTGTATTCGACCGCTTCGTCAACCGACGTCACAGGCTTGGGAGCGAGATTTGGCATCACGAAAACAGTGTCGATGCCGGCGGGGCGGATTGTCGGCGCGACGAGGGCGGCGATGGGGCCGGGCGCGTTGCGCAAATGGACGTGCATGTCCGCAGCCGCGGGAAGGATGTAGGTGTCTTTGAGGGGCATTTTTGCTGTTGTGGTTAGGTATCTGGCGGCTGTTTTGAGGAATTGGAATTGGCGAGACATAAGGAAGGGCCCGCTGCTTCAAGGGTTGTGATGAGTGAGGAGGGATAAGGATGAGGGGCATGCGTGAGAGTGAGCTCGGTGATGTTGCTCAGTAGTGGGGTGGGGTGCGGGGGGAAGGGAGAAGGGTTAGGGTTAGGGTTTGCTCAGGGGCACCTCGGGAGTTGTTGCTCAGGAGACAGGTTCTCCTGAGCAGTGACTCCTGCTTACTTCTCTGGTAGTCTACTTGAGTGGTCCGAATCGGATGTTTTTGAGGACAACCAGGTAAGTAATCTCGAAAAGTTTTTGGGAAGAATTTACTCCAAGTGAACTTCTGCATGGTAGCATGCTAAAAAACGAGATCACTGGGTGATTGTTGGAGCACTAATCCCCTGAATATGCCCCTGAATACTCCAGTTTTTTTTTTTTGGTAATACAACTGTTGTCCATTCACAGCTTCAATTCTACTATCATCTATCCAAAATATCAAAGTATTACTAGCAAGATTTTGCTGCCTATGATGTTTTCTGTACAAAAAATTTCTCACATCAATAGTAGCCCCCGAAGCTGATCCCTGAAGAGTATCATCGAAACCACAATCCCAGTCCAACCTCTTTCAGCTCCTGGCCGAAACCCTACTAGCACGCTACTGCCTAGCCACTAAGTTTTCTAGCATGGAAACCAAGGGAGCCCAACATGCGCAACAACCAGGCATCTGGCCTGAGTATATGTCCTCACTGTTTCGCGTCGCTAGCCCCTCTGGGCTGGCCGACATATGCTGGAGGCCTCTAACTCGAAGATTTAAGGACTTTGGGTCTCATATTGGAGAAGGTTTATCCACTGCAAGTCTCATAATAACATACAGATAACACTCCTAGTGTCAGCAGGAGGTTACCCACAAGTCTCACCCTGAATCAGCCCTCTCGAGACTCTCAACCCCAAAAATGTCCGACTCTCAGCCCCCCGCCGACTTTGAAGAGCATTTCGCCCGCGAGATCATCCATAAAGATTACACCTTTCTCGGTGAGAACTTCATGGTCTCCCCCAAAACCCTCTCCCTCCCCGCTAGCCCCCCATTCGCCCCGATCGATCTTCTCAACACGGGAGATCCCGATAGCACAGGGGACAACGCTCCCCAAGCAGGCCTCCTCTCCCTTCTACCCCCCGAACTCCTCCAACCCATCCTTACTACCCTTGATCTCGCATCCCTCTCCAATCTGGCCCAAACTTGCCGCCGCGCAGCCTACATCATCCGCACCCTCCCTGCGCTGGCCACCCTCCGCCGACATGCCCCCCACGTACTGGCTTATTACCATCGCTCCTGGCGCACTGCGCATTCACCGGTGGTGAGGGAGTTGCATGCGATGTTGTATGCTACAAGGTGTGTGCGTTGTCCCCGGTTCGGAGCGTACATTTTCCTACCGCTGGCAGCGAGGGTGTGCTGGGCGTGTGCTTCTACTGCGCCGGAGGTGAGGATGCTCAAGAGGGAGGAGGCCCAAAGAATATTTGATCTCGGGGATGGGATAAAAATGGTGAATAGATATTGCGCTTTGAGGGGGAAGTATGGTGAGGGGGAGGATGTGGTTGAGATTCAGGATGGGGGGTGTGAAATGGTAATTGGTGTGGAGGCGTTCATCGCTATGTACAGGCTTCATGGGGGGGAGAGGTTTTATTCGCGATATGAGGAACTGAGGAAAGAGGCGAAGGAGAAGGGAGATGAAAGGACGAAACAGGTGCTGGATTTCTTTTACTCGGGATGGGAAGAGGAGGAGACGGATATCTTAATGGAATGGGATTGGGAGGAGGACGGGCCGATGGTAGATTTGGATGGGGGGCAGCCGAAGGTGTGGAAGAGGGCGAAAGAGTTGGGGATGGCGGAGGATAGGATGCAGCTAGTGATGTTCGCACCATTTCCGGCGTTGAAGGAGAAGATGGAGGCGCAGGAGATGCTGTGGTGTTATGCATGTGAGTGGAAGAGGAAGCAGAAGCCTGAGTCGGCGGTGTACAAACAGCTTGCTAGAAGGGCTTGGTTGAGGGAGGAATTTTTTAAGTGGCATTTGAAGACTTGTGATGTGGTAGAGGATATTCGGAAAAGGATGCTGGAGGGGACGTGGAAAGGACGGGAGAGAGAGGAAGCTGAGATTGAAGAGGCGAGGAGGGTGATTGGGGATAGCGAAAGTGGGACGATAGGCTTCCCCTGATAGCAACTGCTGCTCGTGAGCATATGCTGCGGTATGAAATGGGCGAGTGGGAAAGGGGTTAAGTGCTTTTGTCCCTTAACATCTTTGCTGTTATCGCCAAAGCCGCGCGGGATGACGGCTTAACTGTCAATGTGTCTACAAGTAGATATAATTGCAGCAGCACCGCTTTCTCTTACTCTGAGGGTGGTTGTTTTTTTTTTTGTTGTGGTTTGAGCTGTAATGTCATTAGAGACATGAATGCGTACCCTGGTCCTGGATTCTTGCGTTGACGGAACCGGTGACGCTGTGCCAATGATTGAGCAAAGTCCCGGCTTACAGCAGTTACACTTCCTTCATTCCGTCAACTCGCGCAGGAAAAGTCCTTTGTAGATTCGTTCAGGGTCCCTGGCACTCAACCAGAGCCCTGAAGTACACAATCTTCTGCTTACATCGATCCACTACATCCATTCTTACGGGGAGCCTACCTGTTATCCTCTCCTTGTCAGATTCTGTTTCTAAAAAAAGGACGACGAGGGTGTACCATGTACGCCATGCACAGTTGAATCCTCTCAAGCCCATTCAAACGTTCTCAAAAGCAACTGAGAGATGTCATTCTAGATTCCCTCATTAAGAGCATCTGCTCCAAGAGCGAGATGAATGTTACACAAGTAAAACGAACTATGGCATTGATGTATGGTAGTTCTAGCCATATGCTAAATTTTTTTGACTTGCTAGGAGCGGTGGTTTGAGTAGACTGTCTCTTCTCTGCACATTGATCGAGATATGGTAGGCGTGGTGCATCTCTAAACCGTTACAATTGTCAAACAAGATTGTTGGAGGCAAATTAACGTTTTTGAAAGAGAGGTGGGGACGGTTGTGCTCCGCGACAGCGAGTTTGTTTCAAGTATCCTCGATAAGTTATAATCAGGAGTCTACGTACAGTCTGTTGCCGGAAAGCTTCCTAATGGTATGGGCCGGCTCCTGAACCGGTGAGCTGTTTGATGGTCTTGGGATACATATTTGATGGCTGTGCCATAGCCCACAAATAAACGTCGAATGAACATGAAGTGTGGCGCGTGGTGATGATAGAGGCTTTCCGTTAGGGTCTTGTGACGTGGATAGGAAAGCATAGACATAGGCCCGGTTCACCGATGCAGTTGATGTGGTTTATCACGTACAAGTGTGACTTGATGTTCTTGCAGTGTAATGACAGTGGTTTCTTGCGTGATTTGGGCTGGAGCTATTTGATTCTATATTATTTACAAGTGGCAAGTTGGCAAGCAGGACTGGGCAGCTTGGAACTCCTTCACTGTCACACGGATACGGCAGTCCGAGGAAAAGGGGTATCCGTGACTGCCAACATAAGGGACACTGGAGATAGAAAAATTGTGAGCGACACAAAGCCGTGGTTGACTCCAGGAGATATATGGAGCTGCATTACCGGAAAGAATGGACCAGATGGCCGAGAGGATTCTATAAAGGAAACGAGCCGAACACGATGAAGGACTTCTCTTGGTTTTTCCTCTTCGGACCACCATAGAGTGCTCTTCGTGTGTGGGCCAGGGGTAACAGAGAAACGGCCACTATTCCTTTCAAGGCGTCAACAGATCGCCCAGGCATAGTCCTCGAGATCTTGCAAGGAGAGGATTTGCCTTGGTCGGGGCAGAAAGACCTCTAGAAGAGCAGCGGCTTCGTCGAGCTTGTTTTTTTTCTTTTTTTGGTAGAAATTTAGAAGGAAGGAGAGGTATTGAGCGGGCTCTCCACTTGCACCAGCAGAGTTCTGTGGTCCGAAGCCCAGTGGGCAAACTCGAAGAAGGCTGTCTCCGGTCCCAGGGCTAAAGCTAGTACCCCTAGTACCCCTAGTACCCCTAGTACCCCGCCAGCTCGGTGCGTAGGGCTGGTGGGTTAGGACGTGGAGGTCGCGGGTCGAGATTCAGGCAGAGAGCATATCTCTTCTGGGGTTCTGCGGAGTTCCTGAATCCCAATCTCGGTGGTTTGTATTAAAGTCGCCACGGATAATGATGCGTTGTACATATTGTATATTTCTGAGGCGTGTCCAGGTTGGAAGGACCCTATCCGGTCTGGGATGTAGGTATACGTTGATAATCGTAATCGGAGGTAGGAAGATGTCGAGAATGTCATGGTCGGGGGAAAAAGCTTGGCCAAAAGTTAGACGCTGATCCACGGATATGGCTGCACGACGAGGTCTCTTAAAAGTTGGATTCTTTAGTCCAAAAGGGAGATGCGATTGAGGATCGAAAGATCCATGCTAACATTCTTAATTGGCTCTCTTCGGTGTCTAGGGCTCGAGTAGACTACGCTCAAGAGCAGGCCAACATTTTGGAGCAATGGGAGGAAGGAATTGGAGAATGGTTTATCAACTCTCCTCAGTTTCAGCATTGGTACTTCAACTCTTGGGATATACACCTTTATCCAGCTCCTCGGTAACAAAGCCCCACCGGCAGAGGTCAAAAATGCCGATGCCCATCACGACAAACATAAATCCCGGCCGAGAATGAGCGAGCTACAGGCCATGTTTCATGCAGTTGCTTGTCTGTACAAGGACGGGGTTTTCAATAAATGTTGATGCCCTTGACGAGTACCGATTGTCAGACGATGAACGCTCAGAGCTCATTGAGGTACTTCTCAATCTCTAGTGATACCAGCACAGAACGAGTGTTGTCAATAATTTGGCAACATCTCGACCTGTGCCGGATATTGTAGATGTGTTCAAGGAGTATCCTTCCATTGAGGTGGTCGCGCAAAAGCAGGACGGAGAGAGATACCTGCAACATCATCTCTCCCGGTTGCGCAGCTCGCAGAACGCCCGAACCTTCAGCAAGAAATTGTTCGTCGTGTTCCCGATGTGGCAGATGGCATGTAAGTTGATATGCTTGATGAGATCACGCATATTCGGATAAGAATCCTTTGCTGACATTCATCAGGTTCCTGTTCATCCATCTCAGCTTTTCACCCACTGTGAGTTTTAACGGCGGATACGAGGGCGGCAAGACAATGTTGTTGAGGTTGACAGGTCAAGACTTGCTGGGTGGAAGAATAAAGAGGATGGAGAAGATGCTTCTTTGACATACCCATAACAGAGCGCAAGGTCGGGATCTACACGTGTGAACGTTGCTTTGGTTTTCCACTGTAACGACAAGTGCCACTCGGCCCCTAGGTGCGACGAGTGTGGTGCCCCAGCACATAACCATAAACAACCAACACCTTCCCCTCCCCCAGTGCCCGAATTGTTTGGGCCCAGCGAAACCAGGCCACTCGGACCGCCCGGCCAAGCCGAAGATCTGGCAGGGCAAGGTCATGAAACTCACGGACTCCCAGAGGAAGGCCGTCAGGAAGGCCGGCCAGGCGGCGTACCGTGCTGCCAGACGCAGCAGCCTTCTCCGCCCCTACTCCTACAGAACGCCCTTAATCAGAAAGGGGGAGGCGGGGCTCCCCTCCCTGGCGGCTCCGGAGGACCCACCCCCACACCAGACGACGAGGGGATCCTCCCTGACGCCCCACAAGCCCCGGCGGACAGGGTGTCGGAGCCCCACCGCCGCCCCACTTCACCGGGCTCACACCGAGCCCCCCACCAGCAGCCTGCCCGCCCGGTCCTCCGACCGGTCCTCGGTGCGGCGTAGGGCCGGGGCACTAACATCCCGAGAGAGGAGGTCCGAGACCGACTCCGCAAAGCTTTCTCGCTAACCACTTCTAAGATGGCCTGCTAAGGTAGTGATCAAGGAGACCTCCGAGATCTTAATCAAGAAGTGCTGCGATTTTCCCCAGCTTGTCAACTTCCTAAGCTTCGGGTCTCGCCTGTGGGAGAAATGCGCGGCCTCGGCCCTCTTGCTCCTGGACACCTTCTGGGAGAGTGAGACTACGCACTTCCTCCTCGAGGAGTGGGCATCACTACGACAGGAGAAGGAGGCAGAGCTCTCCAGAAAGACCAGGGTCGGGATCAGAGGCTCGATCGGCGGCTTGAGCACTGGGGCTCCCGCTAATCGGAGTTATGTTGACAAGTGTTTGGTCAACGAAGAATTCCAGACGTTCAATCCGTCAGCACAACTCCCTCGGAACAACCTTTCCCTCTTTTCTTCTGCTTCCACGCCGACACCCAGCTCGTCGGAGTCGGTGTCGGGGCTAGAAATCCACATCCCCGGGGTCGTACGAGAGTGATTCCCTACCCGACACACGTCACGCAACCCTCCGATGTTTCCCCTTGCTCACGCGGGTTTTTCCCCGGTGAGGGCTCTTTCTCCGGCGGCACATGTATATAGAGCAGTTGGGTAGCTATTGCCCGCCGTCGTCGTGGGCACGGTCCAGTAACCCCCCCCCCGGGGGGAAGGGGGGAGACCGGTCGGAAAATAGAATTCGATTCAATCCATTTTAAACAAAACATAGAATATTTATACCTTCAGCACTTACTGAACACGATACCAACTAACGTCTTCTCTGACCAAGTTTCTTGATCCAGACTCTAGCATAGTGCAACCTTAGGTAGATAACCTGGTAGATAGGACGTTGACGGATGTCCTATCCTGCCAAGTCATAGGGCAAGTCTTGCCCTTGTCCATGCACTCTCCCATCGGTACAGGTGTACATCTTTTCATTGAGGGTAGTAGGTAACCTCAAAGTAGGCTGGTAGAATCAACGGAAGAAACTTCCCATCAGTCAGAAGTGCAAGAGTTAAAGACAAACCGTCCATCCATTCATTCCATCACCCATATACCTACCCCCCCCCCTCTCCTTCCCTTCCTCATGCTTCATGAATTGAAGAAACCCAAGCCAAAAAAAAAAAAAAACGAGAGAGAGAGAGAGAGAGAGAGA